AGTGCGCAAACCACCAATTTAACACCCAGAAAGCATTAAATAAATTGCAAGTTTGGAAGAATTACTTACCTGGAAGCAACGTAAGCATCTGCATTGTTAGCTAGAAAATCACATTGACACCCTAATATGATTTCTAATTAACAAGCAATTCACTCAATTTCTTTTTTGGATTTTCACTTATTTAAATGAAATCTAGCCTATATGCAATGACATGCGAAAATGACATGCGATTAATGCAACCTAGCATGCAAACTTCTAATGACAAGACGAATGATTATTTTTGGTATTTTCTCAATTTAAATTCGGAATAATAAAAATGCCTAAATTAACATGCAAACTATGATGACTTAATCTACCCTAGCATGATTTCTTTTTAGGATTTTTGTTAAAATTCGAAATAATGAAATAACCTGAATAATCTATTAAGATTAGAATATTACTTAATTTAAACTAGGAAATAGATCATCTCAAGTCCTAATTTAAATTAAATAACTACTCTATCTTCTAGATATATTTAGGATTCCTAGACATGCAAAAACTCTAATTCAAATCTAATTAATATTTTTTTGAATTTTCTGTTTATTTGAAAAAGGAAAGCAATTAAATAAACAAGGATAGCAACCACATTCAAAACGTCCACGCGATCCGCCATATTTGTTTCAAACTCGGATTAGGCACAAAAATCAAACTATCGGTCATATCTATAGGTTATAGATATCGACGGAAAGCCGATTATTCAAATTTGGAAAGCGGATAAAAATCATTATCGTACCCAAGTGGTTATGGATAGGATAATAATTTTCCGTATCGCCGCGTATCGAACCTTAGGGATAAGGTCGGATAGTCGTCCAGATACGTTGCTAAATTAGGAAGTTTTCCTAATTTTGAATATTTAAAAATATTGCGGATATATCGAACAAACATTATCCTAAGATATCTAAATATCCACATGATATTCACGAAATATTCAAACACCCATATTAGGAAATTAAATATTCTGAAAATATCGGATAATGTTGAATTACCTAATTTGCAGATAATTCCCAAATTCAAATCGACTCGGGATCGAGTTTACGGATCGGGATCGGACTCGGACGACGGGCGACGCGGCGTCGGCGCGGTGGAGCGCGCGGTGGTAGCGGTTCCCCGCTGAACAACGGCGGGTCACGAGCGGCGATAATGCGTCAAGGACGACGTGGTGGTGGTGCTCGTCGAAGGCGATGCTGCGTAAATCAGGTGCTCCCTGGAAAACTTTTCTTCGTTGAACAAAACAACCCAGTGATATTGTGATTTGACAGTGAACGTGGCTTCTCTTCTCTTCCTCAAAGCCACCTGTTTGTTACACGATGAAGTCTTCCTTATCAAACGGTGGTCAAAGTCCCTCTTTTTCTCACCACACCTCCACCACTGGGCTCTCTATAATCACGTCATTATCAATCTTCATCTGCTCGTTTGACTTGTGGCCATTGGAGGCGACTGATGCTCCCGGAGACACTTGTTGGTAGGCGTTGTGTGGCGGCTCAGCAGGGATCACGAGCCAGGAGGCAGCAGTGATGTTGAGAGGGACAGAGCTGAGCAGCAACGTCGTCAAGGAGTTCTGGACAGAACAGCTTCGCGTCGGTGCAGGGGAGTCCTCGGCAGGGTCTTCGACTGGATCGGTTAACAGGAAGGAGCAGCACTGGCTGGGGAACAGCAACTACGTAGCAAGGACGGCGTCGAGCGGCTACGACTGATTGCGGTGGTACAGCAGCTCGGTCAGCGGAGAGACGCGGCAAGGGGGGTGCAGCCAAAGGCTTGGCTGCGGGCTCTCTTCAAGTTGTCTTTCTCACTCCTTTGGCGTTTCCTCCTTTGCCTTCTCTGTGAGTACAGAACGTGGAGACCTTTTGTTCTCCACCTTGACTCTCGTGAGTTGAGCCTCTGCCGAAAGAACAGAAAATAATCTCTCTCTTTCTCTTTTCTCTCAAGTGATTCACTCGTGTGTTCTCTGAAATTTCTGAACTTGAAAATTATGAAAGCCCCCATTTGATTATGATGCATAACGATATATTTATATCGCAACCCTAGGTTAATTAACCGGGCTTCCTAGTCCTAATGGGCTTAGACTTAGGCTTAGATTTTAATTTAATTTAAATGGGCTGAATTAATTAAGGATAATGGGCTGAATTAAGCTCAAATTAAAACAACCGAGCCCGTTTGACTTGTAATTCCCGGCCCTTGCATTCCAAGCGAGCCGAGTCCCATTCGATGAAATTTAAGCTCGTTCGTCACCGCCGGTCCGATGCAAAATGCAATTAATCTAAAATGAATTTAAACTATATGTTATGCAACCTAAATATTTTTGTTTAGGGGTTAAAAATTTAATCCCTAATTTTCTATGCAAATTACACTAAATGATAAGCCAAAATTTAGGTGTCAACAGCATGTAATCTTAACTGCAGATTGGGGTTGAACAATCTGGAAGTGCATGTCAGTAGCACAAACCAGATTTATCTCGAAGCAGGTAAGCCACAAAGCTGAATCTCAAAGGGAATTAAGCATGCTACGATAAGGTATTTTGCCGTAGGACGAAACAATGATAGCATCTACCACAATGTATTGCGGCTTTAAACTGCCACTAGTGTAATGACACAACACATGGAAAGGGCAGGGTCTTTACGGATGGTATTAGAGAAACCCCATTCAGTAACTGTGTCGTCCGTGGATGGATTCGGCTCTTACTCAATTCAACGACGGCTGGGATGATAACCGACGCAAGAAGGTTCGAACAAAGAGCAACTCCTGACAATTTTTCAAGGATGGCAGAGGGAGCAAGATCGGGCCGAACCACACATCAAAAAAGAGGGTTTTGCTGGGCAGTACGAGCCAACACAGACGATGACGTTAGTTTCAAATAATACGAGCTTCCAGTATCTTCCTAGCTATTAATATTTTCCGCCAGGCATGTGTGGAATCAGATATAGGAACAATAACCCGAAAGGACTCCTACTTTATTAAGTAACAGTGAACCCAAGCCACCCAAATTGAGCTCGATTTCAGTAGCCATTTCCATACTTTGCATACTATGTATCTATAGAAGTTTAAGTAGTGAAAATACACATACTTGCATTCCTGTGCAAAGCCTGGGTTAGTGGTCTAGTATCTTGTCTGAACAAGACACATGAAACGAGTGAAAAATGTAAGAGAACACCGCCATCCTTTCGACTCGATCTTTTATATTTGGGATAAGTGCACTAGAATTCCTAAAACTTATCACGAAAGTGCAATTGAGTCATAAAATTTTCGTAAAGTTTAATCAATTCCCAAAACTTGTAAAATTGGTCCAATTAAATGCTTCCAGTCATTACACTTTTTGAAAGTTTTGGGACTCTGATTGCACTTTCGCGATAAGTTTTAGAACTTATTTATACTTTCTTAACAAGTTTTAGGACCTCCAATGTACTTATCCTTTAAAAGAACTAGATGTACATCTTTTGGTATAGTCGCGCCCGGAAGTTATAGATGTATGTCACTCATTGTAAGGTTTGAGGATCGTTGGTCCACTTTGGCGTCGGCGATGAAGAAACTTGTTGGCTTTACATTGTTGAAGTCTTCAATATATCCATGTCATTCCCTTTCTTTCTATTTTCTTGATAAACTCATTTCCTTTGTACTTTATTTTCCATAACATGACACAATTGATAACATATACATTATCAAATTGCACCTACGTAGAACACGTACAGAAAAAAAATACTTTCTTTCATCTTACGAAGCGGTCATACTTTTGACTCGGTCCGTTTATTAAAACTAATATCTTTCTGTAATACGTATCGTCCGCAAAATTAAATTTTAAATACGAGAGGTCGCTTTCTCTCAAATCAATCTAGACTTTCTAGAATTCACCATAGAAAGTCTTAACCATAAAAAAGAAAAAAGGAAATTGCTTTAGTCTTTGGTGGGAAAATTAGTAAAAAATTCATAAACCTACTGTACTTGTGTCAATTTAGTCATAAACCGTTCAAATATGCCAATTTAATCCTAATTACCAATTGAGTCTATCTAGCCAATTTTTGCCAAAAATCCCTTACATAGATGTTGATTTCTTACGTGGCATAGCCAACACTAATGCTGACATTTTTTTTTTATATTTTTTAACAATTTTTTGGGTTCTTTTCTTTTCTTTTCTTTTTGGACTGAGGGTTGGCAAGGGTTGCCAGTCGACCCTCGTTGGCCACAGGCGAGGGCGTCGCAGCCCTCACCAACTCTGGGCGAAGGCGCAATGCCCTCGCCAACCACCAGGCTAGGGCTCGCAGGACCTCGCCCAATGCCCTTGCTCAATGCTCTCGCCATGGCCAAGGAGGGCCGCGACATCCTCACCGGTCAAGGAAAGGGCACGCAGCTTCTTACCCAAATCTAGGCCAATCGAGGACGTTGCAATGCCCTAATAAAAAAAAAAAGTCCACATTAGCGCGAGCCGTGCCATGTAGGACAATTGGTTTGCACGTCAGCAATTTTTAGCCAAAATTAGCCAAATTGACTCAATTGGCATAACGTGAAATATTTAGGACTAAATTGACACAATTGAAAGGTTTATGACTGAATTGGTATAAATGAAATAAATTTAGAAATTTTTCGGTTATTTCCCCGCTCGTTGGCTATAAGCAAAAAATGCTTGAATTTATTTACCGCTAGCACTAGATATAAATCAAGATTAGTTTATGTAAAATTAATCTACCAATTGATGAGGCAAATTGTATATAAATATTTATATAATTGGGTCATATTTCGTAATCAACAATAGTCCATTACGGCGCTCTCTAAATCAATTATATCCAAAAGAGTCAACTGACGAGGGCAGACGGCAAAGACTTGCAAATGATTTGAAAGATTCGTCAACACATCGTTGTACAAAATAGAAAAAAAAAGAAAGGAAATAAGACCTAAGACGTGGCATTGGCATCTAGATTATCACGGCACAGATGCAATACAGATGCATTCAGGAACACGACTGTTCTTCTATAAATTAAGGATGGAAAGAAAGAAGATGAAAGACATAAAGATTGAGGGAAAATGGTGAGCAGAGCTTTGCTTGTTGACGTCATATGTTGCTTACTTGTGTTTTTGCTGCTCCACCTCCATTTCACCTCTGTAACTGCAAGGTCCATCACTCCTCAAGGATGTGCTGGTAAATATATTCGACCTCTCTCTCTCTCTCTCTCTCTGATTACGAGTGTATGAGTGATGATGATGATGATTCTATTTTATGGATGGATCAGTGAATACTAGCTTATATCGACACATGAAACCGGATGTATCTAAGTACTAGCTTGTTAATCTGCTTAACGTGTTGGACATATTGCACGGTTCAATTCTTGTAGATTGTATGTGCTGATAGCAGATTAGGCAATGTTCTTTCTTTCCTAAGCAAGATTATTCAGCAGTTTATATGAATGATTGTTTGGGGCTACAGGTGGTGTGGGTGGAAGCAGCCCAATACATTCCCCAGGATGTCGTCGTAAGTTCTCTCTAAACCCTCGGGACGATTATGTATTATTATTACTGCTTAAGTATGTTAACTTCGTTATATTAATGGTTGGATTGCAGATGGTTGATGATGGACGCCGTGTGCTGTTCCAGCGCCAAAGGTTCCGCCGTGAGCATATTTGATCCTTGAGGGCATTACATACTAAGACCATTTTCCTTAAGCAATAAAATGTGGAGAGATGGAGAAACAGTGGTGTGTTTTTTGGTGGAAAGCTCCTGATTACCCCTAGCATGAGTCATTTTGGAATCATCTGTATCTTCCTCCATAAGGACTAAGGAAGTCATGTTTTGTTCTTATTAATGTTGTCATAGTCCATAGACATGGTAGTTACTCTCGATCCCTTTGGTGTTGTTTCTATTATGAGAATATTGATGTTCCGTAAACTTTTGTGGGATTATTGTCTATTCATTTTAAGCTTAGCTTATTAGCATTCCTCTTCATGCATATTTTGGTGTGATGTTAGAGCACGGGAAGTAGATATAAATGAGAAGACAGAAAGATATTTGCTCAAAATAATTTACTTTAATACCGTGTAAAGATGGTAAGACCATTATCCATTCATCTAAAATTTAACTTAGAAGCCTTCACATGCAAAAGAAATTGCGACTTTTGATAGAGAATAAGCATGTGACGATAATGTCTTGCCACAAGACAGAATAAAGATAGTCTATTCACAATATAGTTGGTTGTGAAACATCACAAGCAAATGCATCTCAACATGCGCTGAGGGGAAAATTTCCAGTACAATAGTATGCATTGTTACGCGGAAAAGCAAGCCAATTATTGTTCACGAAAATGAATTTCTACAAAAGGAAATAACTAGAAAAAATCCTCTTGAATTTTAAAACCCTGAGCTCTATTCTGTGATGCATCTGCAACTATGCAACTATTGCACAAGATAGTTTCTTGTGGGCATTCTTCAAAAGACCGGGTTATAATGCCACTAGCTTAGGTACTTCTTCCTCACAACTAAGTAAAGAGGGTGCACCAGTAGGTTCTAATGGCCACTTCGGAGGTATTAGTGACGTTTCTTAAGCAGTCTCAGACGATGGTGTTGCTATAATATGTTATTATCAGTTAGCTGGTAATTTTCAGAAAGTTGAATCGCCGTATGTATCTTGACGGTATGTGCATCCCCCTCTTAAAAACCCCCGATGAATCGTAATGAATAACAATCATATCCTCTCATCTACCATAATGTGATGTTTATCTACGATTGACGTCTTCGCTTAGCATTGTAGATGAATGTCCATAATTTGAATGAACCCTTCAACAACTGCACTTGCTTTTCATCGTTTCCTCTACTGCATTCCCTACTTACTATCCACTGGACCAGTATAAGCTTCACCTTGCGATGCATACCGTGCATCACATGACACTTCTCTTTCACACCAAGGCCAATGCTCGGTATATCGTTTTATTGAATACTGAAGCGGGTCGTGTCAACCTACCACGGATAGGTAAAGATTGATTGAGACATATATCTAATCTGAAGGAATTTCAACACATCAGACTTTAACGATTATAATTTCATTGAATGTCCATAGAAATCATAAGCAGAAAGTAAATCGTTAAATAAGACAAGACATGTGGTCTTCGCCAAAGCCACCAACCTTACAGGAATCGTTGCCTCACCCTTGTCCATGGCTTTCGTTGTCATCTTTTTTTTCCAACCCTGCTTGCGAAATTTACGTCTTCTTCGTGGATCTATGAAAACCAGCTTTACAACGTTGAATCCCAAAGAAAATGAATACAACACGACATGAGAGCTCGGAACAGCAAAAGCCAAGAGCAGCCAGGGCAGCCAAGTCCAACCTCATCCCTCTCCTAAACTCCTTACAATTGGGCAACACACCGACATTCCACCCACTTAGTTCTGATTTCCCCAGGACAAGAATCGAACTTGCAACATCTGTTTTCGAGCCAAAATCGGATCATTTATAAACATGCAGTCATCACTTTCTTCGGAGAGTGTGTGTTTGTGTGCTCTCTTTCACCAGAGTCTATCAAGATAAAAGATTTCATAAATTTTTTTTTTTGGTCAGAAAAAAAAAAGATTTCATAAATGAGTGGGTAAAAAGGAGAGGTTGGACTTGGAGAATCCGATGCAAAAGATCTCAAGAGTCATAAGCAATGCTAGAAGATTCATCTTAAAAAGTTTCTAGTTGTCAGCAACGAACGACCTTGTATAAACTTTTTGTATGAATTTGAATCGGTATTGCTGTGTTGCAGATTGGTTGGGAGAAAACCGACAGAAGCAACAATGGTTGTTCCAATGCCCAAGATGTCCACTGAGCATATCTACTCCTGGGGGTCCATTACCGATATTATATGGGGACTTTAGTGTTGTCAGATTTTGGAACCTTATGTTGATTATCAAGTTCATTTTGTATTAATTTCTTTTTTACCCATTTACCACAAAGGCAAACTCATTTATACACATATCGATATTTGCTAAACACGTATGGTAATGAAGCCTCGGTGTTCATTCTGGGCGGTTGTTTCTATACTATGAGTATATTTACTCTTGAAAGCTTTTTTTTTTTTTTTGGTTTCGAAAAGAATTAATATGAGATTTACTCATCGTAAGTCGTGTCTACATTCGGTTTCAAAATAATGTTGTATAACTGTTGACGCCAAAAAATCTCCAAATCCCCAATCGATGACTCGGCTAGCAGAGGCCGGATTAGAAGAGATAGAGGCAAGAAATCACCAAGTGTCGGGAGGCGTTGGTCGACAAAACTATGGGTTGTAGTTTTTGCCGATAGAGATTGTCGATGGCGCAATTAAGTCTTGGAGCAAAATGTCGACAAATGAAGATCGACTTAATCGACCAAGGAACCATGATTGACTTAACCATTGACAGAGTGGAAATAAAATAAACAGGAAAAATTGTCCAAAAAGTTCTAAACATATTGCACTTTTGCCAATTCAGTCATAAACCTTTCAATTTTATCGATTAAGCCCTAAATATTTTCACATTTTGTCAATTGAGTCAATTCGGCCAATTTTAACTGGAAATCGCTGACGTAAATGTCAGTAGTGCCACGTGGAATGACCGAGGCTGATGTGGACAAATTTTTATAATTATTTTTTAATTTTTAATTTTTTATAATTTTTTTTTCTTTTTTTCTTTTTCTTTCTTTCTTTCCCTTTTTTTTCTATCAAGTGCCAACCTCGCCGGTCACAAGCGAGATAGTTGCCGGACTAAAAAGAATGGCAATAAGCAATGCTCTTTCCTCCTCCTCTTCTCCCATCATCCTCATTGTTGCCCAATGCTGGTCATGACCTTCGGCTTCCTCCCTCGAAGCTCCGCCAATCCACGAGTTCCAGTTTTGCCCTACTCCGGCAAGATCTCTCCCTGTTTCTCGGCTCGCACCGTGGCAAGGATCGTTGCATCACAAGATGCCCAAGATGTTGATGACCATCATTATGTGACTGTGATAGATAGGGAGTCACTCTGTATAGAAATACCAATTCCAAACTATACCCACTTATGAAACACGCAGTATGAGAATCGGATGGTTAATTATCATAGGCGTTTTTCTTTTAGGAAGACTATGTTTCGAATATGACAAGAAGAGCAAAGGGAAAGTGGATGGAAAATGGAAGCAGTAATGATTAATCTTTATGATTATAAGAGTCCAACCGTAGTCACAATGCGAAAATGAGAGCCCGTCCAAAGATTATAAATGACCAGCATTTGTCTGGTTCGACTGTAACCAACTTTATATGGTTGTATCTCATCCTTCTTCTTTGTTGACCATAAGTCTCACCCTTGTTATAAATAGCAAAGAGTGCTTTACCATCTCGCATCCGGTTCCATAACAAGTCAAGAACTAAAAGGATGGCAATAAGCAAGGCTCGTTCCTCTTCTCCTCCTCTCACCACCCTCATCTGTTGCCTGCTGTTGGTCACGACCTTCAACTTCCTCCCTCAGAGCTCCGCCGATCAGCAGGTTCCGATTTTGCCCTACTCTGGCAAGTTTTCTCTCCGTTTCACGACTTGCGCCGTGGCATGGATTGTTGCAGCACAAGGAGCACGAGGTCAGGAAGGTGCGGTGATTGGGACGACGGGCAATAAGGTGATTGGGGTGACGGGCAATCCGCCTCGTCGAGACTCCACTAAAAATGGTAAAAACAATAAAAATACATGAGCAGAAATTACATCTCCCATATGAGGGCCTTTTCCTTTTCTGTCTTTTCTAAGGAAATAGTTCTCCACCGAAACTCGCGTTGTAATAAGATTTAGTGTAGGCTCGTTGCTTGATAGGGAGAATCTTATTTGTACTAGTTATGCTTTTTAAGTTGCGAAGAAAATCATAATCACTTAGGACAGATTACTGAGAAATGTGCGGTTGTATGTTGATCCAACCGAAATCGTTCGATTAGCAACTATCAATGAATATACGGAGTCACAAACCATAAATGTTGCTTTCTTATGTGCAATTATGCCATGGCTGGTTGGCTTGATTTTGTTCATCTAAATTACACTTCTCATACTCTATTCCGCAAGATATTATCATTATTACAGTGTTCGAAATGTACTTCTGCTAGCCTCATTCATTGAGCATCCGGATCATTCTACTTTCCATGAACTACATCACCGTTCACAGAGAATCATACCTCCTTCACTTAACAGTAGGCTTTATATGGGTGAGATCTACATAACATGTAAAGAGGGACATAACCTCCTGTGAAGTGTCTATAAACTGAACAGGGATAGGATCGCACCGTTTTGCCTGAAGTGACGAACAAACACGGCATATTTAATCTTAACGGCAGATTGTGGTCGAACAATCTTGAATTCAAATTAGTAGCACAAAACAGATTCATCTTGAGGCAGATAAGTCACAAAGCAAACCTGCCGAACAAACATGAGAACCTTAAGAATGCTGTCTTCACAGTGATGGAAGAAGAGATCGCATACACAATGTACGCCGGGTGATAATCAAGAAAGCAATCTGTCGTTCTAGTTTTTCTTCAGTAATCTGGAACATCCCTAACACACATGATAAGCAGTCAATATCATTCGAAGAAAGACGATGGTTGGAAAGGAAACGAGGAATAAGTCTCACATTTCTTACATTAAATGTATCAACTAACCAAGGTTAAAGTGATGTCATGGATGATGCCATCACTTTGTTAAAAGGAACAATGACACAAAAATTCCCTGAACTTTGGCCCAATGTGTAATTTTGTCCCTGAACTTTTAATTTATTCAACATAGTCCCTGAACTTTAGCTTAATGTTCAATTTGGTCCCTGAACTTTTTGTACATATTCAATTTAATCCCTGAACTATATGAAAATGTTCAATGTAGTCCCTAAACTTGAATTAATGGAACGATTAAATTGAACATTTTCATATAGTTCAAGGGACTAAATCGAATATGTACCAAAAGTCCAGAGACCACATTGAACAAATAAAAGTTCAGGGACCACATTGCACATTGGGTTAAAGTTCAGGTACTACATTGAACAAATTAAAAGTTCATGAACCACATTACATATTAAATCAAAGTTCATGGACTCTTTGTGTCATTTTCCCTTGTTAAAACATATGGTTGGGAATTTTGGAGATGTGGCAACATGAATGAGTGATACGTGGTTATGAAAGAGGAAGAGAAAGAGAGCATAATTCGGCCAAGGCAAGTACACAAATGAGAAGCTTCATTTGAGTTGCAATCATTTAAGCATTCATAGGTTAGAGTTAATAAATGATCCGATGTATAATATAATTGCATAGTTTGAACATATGGTTGAAAATCAAGATGTGGCACAATAACTGAGTAATAAGTGGCTAACTTTGTTGGCAAAACTTGGGGTAAAATGATCCTAAGAGTGGCTAGTAAGTTGTGGCATTAAGGGAGAGTCCGAGAACTTCTTAGATTTTGTGGGGCCCATGGGCTTTTCGCCCAACAGGGTATGCTCTAATTACCTCCTTCGCTTAACAGTCGGCTTTGCATGGGTGAGATCGACATAACATGTTAAAGAGGAAGGACATAACCTCCTGTGGAGTGTCTATAACCTGAACCTGCATAGGCCCGTGCCACTTCGCCTGAAGGGTCGAACAAATACAGCATGTATACTTAACTGCAGATAGTGGTGGAACAATATTTAAGCGCTTGTCAGAAGCACAAAACAGATTTATCTCGAAGCAGATAAGCCACAAAGCTCACCTGCAGAACAAACAAGAGAACCTTAACAACGCTATTCCATGTATCTGAACATTCCCAATGAAAGAACAAGAGATTGCATACACAACGTACACCGGGTGATAATTAAGAAAGTAACCTGTCGTTCTAGCTTTTCTACAGTAACCTGGAATTCCCCTAACCCACGAGATAAGCAGTCAACATCATTCAAAGAACCGAAAAAACAAGGACATTGCAGAGGAAAATGGTAAACACGAATGTCAAACCACCCAAAAAACCAATCTATCAGATCCACTGAGCAGCGTCTCTCCTGGCAGATCTAATAAATAACACAGCCAGTGTCACCCTGCATCAGTTTAAGTCTCAAGCAATAGAGGTTCAATTTTCAATACACAACTTCTCAGGCCGAATAGCTTCACGCATTAGGATTTGTATTTTCTGCTGTAATCTCCTCCTTGACCTCCTTGTTCCCTTCCTTATCTTCTAAGATGAACTCCGAACTGTCCTCAGCGACCGATAACCCGTCATTATATTGTCCAGGCTTTGGCCCATTGAAGAGCTCGTGATTTTCTAGTTCAGCTACTTTATCTTTGGCTTCACCCTTCAGAAGCTCCAACACCTCGAGCATGGTGGGTCTCTTCTCTGGCTGGCTCTGGGCACATATTAGAGCGACGAGCGCAACTCGCTTAAGCTCTTCCTCCACATACTTTCCATTAATCCTTGGATCTGCCAGGTCGCTGAACTTCTTTTCACAGGCCAGTGGTAAAGCCCAATCAGTGATCGTACGCTTTGTAGTGGCATTCAGTTTCTCGAGGGGTTTCTTCCCACTGGCAAGCTCAAGCAATAGAATGCCAAAACTATACACATCACAGCTCTCCGATGCCTTCCCTAGCATAGCATATTCCGGGGCCAAGTAGCCAAGAGTACCCTTAACTCTGGTTGTTACATGCGTCGCACCGTCGGGAATGAACTTTGCAAAACCAAAATCAGCAACTCGGGCCTTGAAATCAGAATCCAGCAAAACATTGCTGGCTTTGATGTCCCGATGAATGATATGTGGGGTTGCATGGTGGTGAAGATACCTAGATTGACAAAAGAAAAAATATAAGCAGTTGATGACACCTCTATACAGAGCCATAGTTAAAACAATATTCTATTCTCGAACTACAAGACTTGATCATCTTTGACTCGAATTATAGAACTTCATGTAGATCTTTGATATGGGAGAAGCAGAACCATCTTACAAAAAGAAAGAATATAGTGAAATATATATCAGTAGTTTAGCTTAATTATAGAGCCAAAGTGGTCATTCAACGCCTTCATAAGGGTTTAAATCAAACATAAAAAGACAGGCAGGGTTGCTCAAAGCTTACGCAATTCCCTCAGCAGAACCTATTGCAATATTCATCCGCCTGTTCCAGTCAAGAAGGCATTCTGACGAGTGCTGCCCATGCAAGTGGGAGAGTAAGCTTAAATTTGGCATGTAATCATATACAATCAGACGCTCTTGCCCTTCCGCGCAATAGCCACGAAGGCTAAGCAAATTGTCATGCCGTACTCTTGCCAGTATCTCAACCTCAACAGCAAATTCCATTTCTGCTTTGTTGCTCCAGACCTTCAGCCTTTTTACTGCAATCTGCCAATATTTCACTTTAAGAATAGAAGCTACTCCATAAAATATGAAAATTTGGAGTAAAACACGGATGCAAAGAGTTAAAATCCATGGTAATGTCTGGACGCAAAAAAGAAAGGATCTCTTTTGATGGTGATTGAACATGCACACTGAAAAAGCACGCAAAAAGAAAGGATCTCTTTCCCATAGGCACGAGCCGTCAATGTCACTAGAAGAAAAAGAAAAACAAGAAGGAGGAGGGAAATCAGAGAAGAGGGCTACTAAAGAGTTCATACCCTCCCTCTCAAAGGTTGTGCAATTTTTACACACTTCATAATTTTTCCAATGTTGAGGAAAACTCCTAAGGAAAACTCTGATTTCAGTTGACTATTGATCAGGATGTCATACTAGCAAAGTCCAAAAAAATTAATCACATCCTAGGAATGTAGAGATCTTTGGAGTTAAATCTCAGAGAACTACATAGTGCTCCATCTCCCTAGTCGTCTTAGCCAGATACAATCACCACCAAGAGCCCTAGTCAAAATAAAGGAGTTCAGTTACACCACACTTTGTAAGTGGCCAAAACTATCATACATTATAACTCAGACTCTACCAAAGTTGCTGTCCTTCATCTAGTTCCACGTCCTAGACAAAAGTCAAAATGTACAGGACTTCACTGGTCAAGATTAATTACTTTGGGAAAGCTTCATCCAGAACAATGCATTTTCTACTGAGCAAGAAATTTGGTGCCTCATAATTTAGAATTTTTCACTGCAAGGAATCCAAGAATGGATAGGCATAACCAAATAGCAATACAAAATCAACATAATCACAGCGAATTTGAATGAAGCAATTGGCTATTACTTGAGATCCATCCCATAGCTGTCCCCAGTAAACGCTGCCAAAACCACCTTCTCCAAGCTTATTATCGTAATTAAAATTATTCGTAGCTGAATGCAGTTCCTTCAATGAGAATATCCTCCATGTCAGCTGCTTCTTGCCCCGTTGATTTCTGTGATGCAACTCACAACATCAGACCATCGTTACACTGCTAAGGAAACCCAGAAGAAAAATATAGAGGCACCTCTCCAGAGAAATCAAGATATCAACACGTAAATGGGACAATCACGATACAAGCGCCGTTCGTCTCAATCAAGTCAAACAATAGCTGTTAATCTCAATCTGTCTCTGTCTATGGTCCTCTCCAATCAAAAAAAAAAAAAAAATTAGTCATCTCCAGCTTCGACTAGCAACTGGACACTAGACAGAGCATCAAAACAGAACTTTTCTCAAACACCCATGTAACAATCAGCGAAATCCGAATCGGATCAAGAATCTGAACCCTCCCTAGATCACATTTGACTTTGGCAAAATGGAAAATCAACAACGGAGCACGGTTCATCCGCAATCAAAATTCACCAGCAGACGAATCAAAACGACCCTGAAATCGCACGACCCGCGAGCTCCAAGAACCGGCACAACAATCCATTACAGAAAAAAGAGCGGGCCAACTCACCGATCCAGTCCCTTCCCACAACAGAACAAGGGACAAAACGCCATTTCCGCACCCACCCACCAATCAAAACCCACTTCCCTTTCGTCTCCCTGTCTCTCTCTCTCTCTCTCTCCTCTGTCCCTCTCTCGGCTCCTTCCTCTGCCCGAGCAGGCAGGCTAGCTAGCTTGTGACAGGCCCCCCTCCCTCCTTGCCGTTTCTCTCCCTAGAACGGAGCCGGGTCAGCGGAGGAGAGAGAGAGAGAAAGTGAAGCAACCGTAACCGACGAGGAGATGCCAAGCGTGAGCCTCTCGAAAGCAACACCGCGCTCCACATTCGCTCGTCTTTCGTTCGTTCTTGCCTGCTTTCTTTCCTTCTCCTCGGAGAAAAGCAGAGACAAGCGAATGTCGCGCAAGCGCCTCTGTTTCGCTGGACAAGAAAGTGTGTAAGCCAAGTCTCTCTTTCACTCTCTTTCTCTCTCTAGAAGTTTTGGTTTTTTCCGGTCGAGCTGATTTCAATTTTCAAATTTGCCCCCCCAATTGGGCCCCACGTGGGGGCCCATTCCTTAATTTTTAATCACATCTGTACCTGTCGTGCAATGACATAAAACCAATTTTGAGGTTCGGCTCGGTTCATTATTGGTTTTTTCTTTTCTTTTTTTTTTTTACTTGTCTTTGGTGAGAATTTTGGTTTGCGGGGTGGGCAGAGTCTTCTTCACAGCTTGGTCACAAGGATTTTTAAAATTTGAAATTTGTTAAATCGGATCTCGGGGGTTCGAGTTTATACTCCTGAAATAGTTCGGGGATGAATACAGCATAATGTCCGCATGATTTGTTTGCTTAGCTATCTCTATATAATAATTCCATATTTAATGAAGTACACCGTTACATTTTCGCGATTGTATTCAATTCCGATGTCCCGTTTTTTAGGTAGGTCAAAGGCTAGATTCATTATTGGAGATGTGGGATAGCATTGATTCCTAGATTAGAGTGGTCTTCGCATGCCTAGTGTCCTTGTTATATGTAGAAGTGAGGAAATCGCATGCGGATTATTAGAGATTTCGCCATGCAACTACTATTATTGGGATTCAAGAAACATTCTTGCTCTACATCTTATTGACCGGCGGAATCCATTTGTTAAAATTCGAGGGTCAGTTGAATGGTAAAATAATTGAGATCTTACACATTATAAAGCGTGAAGTCTCAGGTTCGATTCTCACTCGGACCGTTCATTTAGAGAGAGCTAGTTCGAAACATCAAATGATCTCCTTTTTAATGAGATGATCCATTTTAACATGCTCCAAGAAAGCTAATTTGTCTTATTGCCAATGTGAGGAGGAAAAAGTAATCCCAATTTGATTGTTTAAACCCTCTCATTTGATTGGTTTTGGCTAGAAGAGTTGGTCTTCCAAACGACACCAAAAAGTTAAAAAAAGTATAAAATTTGAAAAAAAAAAAAAAAAACCAAAGAAGGACGGAGCAGGTATCTTGTTGGGCTATGTGCTTCTTGAGTGGCTAACACAACACTCACTTCCTCCTTTTGAGGAACCAAAAATTAGCATTTTTCTAGAAAATTTTCTTGGGCAATGTCTATTATCTTAGTGCAGCACTTGTTCTAATCAAGGAATAACTTAGTTTAATCCAAACAGCATCACCTGCAGTCAACTTGGTCCGAATCCTACAATGTTGTTCCAAAACCTTTGAGTTCTTCAATGGGATGAGTGATTAGATTAAGATAAATTGTTAATGAAAAATACTCAACTTATTCAATTGGGGAAATGATTCCCTAATTAAAATATCAAATGGGGAAAAAAATTCACTAGAGAAACGTGCTTGGAAATATAATGAAGAATTTAATTCGTTAATTGCGCGGATAAATTGGCAAGGCAAGATAATGAAAAGCTTTGCTGGAGATTGCGACCGACAAATAATTCCATTGAATTGTGTGGGGCTTGATTGAACGGACGTTAGAAAGGACAAATATGGTTACGGGTATTAATTAATATTCGATTAACGCAATTACTTAAACCATTCAATTCAAATTAAATAAATAATTCACCCAATGGACATATATTTTTATTGTTGGGTTAATATCACAAAAAACTACAAACCGGTACACTTATGATAATTTTACCCCGAACTAATTTTTTGACCATAAAAAACCCCAAACTAGTATATATGTGACATATTTACCCCAAACTAATTTTTTGACCACGGAAAATACTAAACCGGTACACATGTGACAATTTTACCTCGAACTAATTTTTTGACCATAAAAAATCCCAAACTGGTACGTCTATGACAAATTTATCCCGAACTAATTTTTTTACCACCAAAAACCCTAAATCGGTACACCGGTGACAAATTTACCCTCCTTTAAATTGGATAAATATCACGAAAAATCACAAATTCGTAAACTTGTGACAAACGGAGGGGTAAAACCCCAAACTGATACACCCGTCAACTACCGTGTGTTATCAAACTCATCAATTTGATTATAAAATTTAACGAAAACTAACGTAAGCTAGATTTTGTCACAAGTGTACCAGTTTGGGATTTTTGGTGATCAAAAAATTAATTCGGGGTAAAATTGTCACGTTTTTCGTGATCAAAAAATTAGTTCGAGGTAAATTTGTCACACGTGTGCCAGTTTGGGGTTTTTTGTGATCAAAAGATTAGTTTTTGGTAAATTTGTTATAAATATACCGGTTTAGAATTTTTCGTGGTATTAACCCTTTTTTATATCAATGGCTTATCTTTTTTTATCTTTTACGGTGGACGTTCGTGCTCCTTAAAGTAAGATCTCTTCCGCTTTCTTTTCTGGCTGAGAAAAGAGGAGAAAAAAGGAGATAATATAATTAATTAAACCGTATCTTTTCTCTACTTTATACATTACCCAGCATATCCTTACTTTGAAGTCCTCATCTTTTTTGGCAGAGATGAGCTGAAATGTAGGCCCACATTGCAATAATGATTGCATAATTCAAGAATTACATAAACGGTCTTGTAAACGAGTGACGTCGGAACAATTAATATACGTAGTAAATAAATATTTCGATTTTCCATGCATTAACTACACACGATACAAGAGAGACACAACGCATTGAAAATAGTAATGATTTTAGTTTTAGGGAACTTATTAACAATTACATCTTTATATAAATTCCAAATGGATGTTTTTCTTTGGTTGGTAAGAGTACACTTGACCCAAAGTAAAACTGTTTTTGAGACTCAAAAAAGGTGCTAGATGGGCACTTAGTTATGTAATTATGGGTCCGTTTGTTTCGAGGAAAACGAATAATTTGGAAAACATCTTCATAAAAATGGCCACTCGTATTTGTTATGTAAATTAATGAACAAAAAAACATTTCCATCGTACACGAAAATATATTGACAAAAATTGCTATTGAAAATGAAAATATTTTTATTAACTGATCATTTATAGCGATACGAGTGATTAGTTTTAGGAAAATATTTTTACAATCATTCATTTTTCGCGAAACAAATGAACAAGAAATTTCAAAAATGTCAACTATATATAGGTACATATATCTCTGTTGTTTTCTGCCATTACTTACCTAGAAACTTCAAAATAGGATTCCTTTTTTTTATTTTAACATAACAAAGCAATGAATAAGACATGATTGCTCAACTTTGTCTGGTTATCCGGTTTGAAAATGCTTTCTCATCACTCTAAGCAAGTTCTGGGGAATAATAAGGACATTGGGGGTGGGAGGTGGGTGAAGAGATTCAATCAGATCTTTCTAAAAGTACACGAAAATGACAAGAGTGTACAAGGACTTGATGAATATCTTGGACCACCTTTCCTAAGTACTGCGAAGCTCGGTAAGTCGATAGGATTTAAAGTTCAGAGCTTAATTCCAGCTTTGGTGCCCGAAAATTATAGTTTTCGACTACGGATTTGTTTAAATTGTGCATTTGTTGATGTCCTAATATTGCAAATTAATTTATTATTTTTAAAAAAAATTGAAAACCATTGAGTATTTTACAAGACTCCTTTGGCTTTGTGAGATTTTGTCTTTTTCTTTTCTTTTTTTAGCAAAGTGACTTATCTTGGATTTGCAGAGCAGCAAGCTGATGGCATATTTCGATGCCCAACCACTTATTGCACAAGGCTCCAAAGTCTCTGGGCTGGTATGCCTACCAATGATTGATGTCAGAAAAAAGTGCACAACAATATTATAGGTCTCCCCATTCTTACAAGACAAAAACTGCCCTAAATCATTCTATCGTGCTATCCTCGGTGTCCATACCAAACTTTACAAGCAAGACAAAAGCTGTGAAATCCAGACAAGCTAGTGCAATTCTTCTCTTTTTCATCCATTTGGACTTTTTCTTTTATTTAACTTGCCGGCTAGCTTTTATTACGGGTAAATATTAGGATGCGATTCATACTCCTCATTCACAGAAAGGCACGAGGGATCATGCTCTCCGGCGAACAGGCGGGGGGTCCGGAACCAGCGCCTTCGGGCCACTAGAGGGTTTTTATAACTTGGGCTAGTATTTTATTGATAGTTTGGACTTGAGCCCGTGAATAATTACCGAGTAACTTAGGGCTTTCTCAGGCCCACATATATATGATCTCTTTCTCTTATTATTGAGAGTTGTAATAGCGATGTGAGATATGATAATTATAATGTGATCTATCTGCTAGATGTAACCCTAGGTTAAGGGCGAATCATAATAAACTTTGTGTCTTAATTTCTCTTTTTCGATTTTATACTCTATTTCGTTGTATTTATGCACATAATCTTAATAGGAAAGTGATGAATTCGAAAATTGTCTTCAAATTGGTTTATGGGTTTTTCTTTAATCTTCGAAATTTACTCGTCTATTATTATTATTATTATTATTATTATTATTTCTTTTACAGCTGCCACACAAAGACAAAGATCAGCAACCTCTGAAAAAACAAAATTCTATTGAAAGTGTATATATCCTTGTTTAGTTATTTTCTTTTTGTTTTGAAGAAGAGGAATGCTATTGAATTCATACTTTTGCAGGGCCCATAATTGTCCCGAAGAAGGCCCAATTAGGGGCATGATACACCAACAAGCAATGGCAAAACCTGCTGGTGCAGACCCAACATTGGACCTATCTTGAACTTTCCCTTTGTATTTGTATATAAATCCTCTTCAAAAGCCCAACAAAATTGACTGGATTTCTTTTTCCCTTGGAAATGCAAATCACAGTAGTAATTTTAGAGTGTATTGACATCCCTTAGCCAAAAAAGAATGTATTTACATCTTTTCAATGTGCATAATGTTTACCGGGAAATTCAAAAAAGTTCATTAATTCAAGCCTTTGCATGTTGAGAAACCAAACATTCCAAAGCAGGTCCGAAGCCGCCTTGAGCTAAAGGCCCTTGGAAATGTTAGCATTTTCCAATGGGCTCCAAAAAATATTTGCCAGACACATTTGCATTTGCTCCCAAGGGCTTTGCAAATGTGTTGTCAAACACACCCTATCACTGGTCTAGGAGTATTGCCTTGTAACTTATCGGAGAGTGTAGTAAAGAAAAATCTCATATGATCCTATCGTCATCTCGAAGACCAAAGTTCGAAATTGAAAACTAAATCGTTCGTAGATGGTTCTTCTTTAGGAATAGTCAACAGTCGTCAGCTTCATAAAACAATTTAAAAATTGTATGACGATGTATTATACAGGCTTCAGACACTCCTCTACGACAAAAGTGGAATAAATACAATCGAAGTCATCAAGACCAGAGGCAAAACCAGTAGAGAACGACGACGATGGGCTTCGACCGATGATGACGCCTGAACTGTTCTTGTCATGTCCCCATCGTTGGCTTCAGACATATGCTGCACGGTTCTTGCGGACCCACTTCTTGCTGTGGCATCATCGCACAAGCCAACGCCTGCATCGTAAGAAGCGTCCGAACCATCTTCAAAGCCACTGCCAGCGTCGTAGCAGAGTCCTGAGTTATTGTAGAGCCTCAGTTTCCTTCTCATCCTCCAGACCATCTCTCTCCCGAATGGGATTGGCCCCGTCAATTGGTTGTCATTCAGCCTCAACTCCGCGATGCTCCTCAAGTTCCGGAAGCTCTCCGGTATCGAGCCATTCAGGCTGTTCCGGTCAAGGTGGAGCACGCGCAGGCTCGGCAACCGGCCTAGTGATTCGGGGATGGGTCCACGCAGGTTCATGTTTGACAGTGCTAGAATGGTAAGAACGTTCATGCCTGCGAAAGTGTCATTTGGTATGGTTACGGATTCCATCGGGTTTCCTTTCAGTATGAGTGCTTCGAGAGAAGTCATGTGCTCGAGCGAGTCGGGGAATGGACCCGAAAGGCGATTGTAGCTCAAGTCCAGCAAAATGAGGTCTCGGAGATGGTTGATCGACTCGGCGATCGGACCAGTGAGATGGTTGTGGCTGAGGTCAATTTTGATCAATGAGAGGCATGTTCCTAGGGTTGATGGGATTGGACCGGTTAAGAGGTTTTGGTTCAGGTCTAGTACACTCAAGGACGGGAAGCCGAAGCCCGGTATCGCCCCGGTCAGTCTATTTCCGCTCAAATCAAGCGACCTTAAACCGGCGACCTGGCCCAGGGAACCCGGTATCGAACCATTGAGGTTGTTCTTGTGGAGATCAAGGACCCTCAAGCGGGTTAGGTTCCCAATTTCACTAGGAATTGGACCCACATGCCCATTTTCTCTGAGCACCAAGGTTTGCAATGTGGAGCCAAGTTGGCCCAAGAATGCTGGGATTGGCTGAGGATTATAGCTGAAGCAACGGTAAAAGAACAAGGTCCTGATGTGAGGGAGCTTGGTCACGGACGGCGAGATGTAGGACCGGTTCGGGTCGCAGGTCGGGAACGCGGTGTCGTCCGACAGCGCCCCGAACGAGAGCGAGACGACGTGGTACACATCGTCCTTGTCGGGCATGCACTCTATGCCATGCCACCGGCCGCGGCACACGTCGGCGATGTCCGTGGCCCACCCGTTCCCCGTGGCGCGCATGACGTCGTAGACGGCCTCCTGCTCCCGCGCGTCGGTCCGGGCCCCGCTCTTCAGCCCGTTCTGCGGGGCGTCGACTAGGCCGGAGTCCGAGGGTATCACGGTGAACGGCGCCACGAGAGGTACCAGACGGAAGAGGATGGCGACCGTGAAGACCAAATTTGGTAGGAAGAGATGGAGTTTCATCTTTGCGGGAACGACGAAGGAAGTGAAAGTGGTTCGAGAGAGTGATCTTCGATTGAACCGTGCGTGGGCCTTGTTATAAGGGGGGGATAGAGGATGAGATTGTACAAGGTTGGTGCAGGCATTGAAGTGAGCTAATTATAGGGTTCACGAGAATGGAGAGGAAACGAAATAAATGTATGGAATTCTCAAAGCATTCAATGAGTTTCACGGGACTTTCACTCGGCTTGGGCTGCTTCGAGGTCCTATCTAATTGGATACGAATCGAAGGACAGGCTCGGGATGTCCTAATCATCAATCACACCTAAACCTATTGTACGGTATTCAAAACATTTCAGTTTTGCCAATTTCATTTTTAAATCTTTGCGCGATGATTGGGCCGCCACAATAGCAATTCCGGCTACATTGGAATTTCGCACAAGGATTTAGACTAAATCGATAAAATCGAAAAGTTTAGGACTGAATTGACATCCGTACAATAAATTTAGGATCGATTATCTAGTTTTCTCCTAATGACTGAGCTGGGGAAATTTGGCAAATCATGCGGCCAATGAGAATTGGAGCGAGCGACATGATTAGATTGCAAGAGTTTTGGCAAATCTTTAGATCCAACAAGAATTTGGCGCACGTTTTCACCATTCCCCAATTGTTAAGATCGATCCTACTGGTAGGAGACAATCAGTGAACAATCTCGTCCAAAAAGCAAGCTTAATCAACAGCCCTAATCAATTGCACATAGATCTCATGCATGCACCGATTCTTGATTTTTTTTTTTTGTTTTGATCGAAAACCGATTCTTGAATTAGGTGGCCCGTTTTGTGACCTGTCTGATGCTAGACTCGCAAAAGCCGTGATTGAGTGCACCAAGCTTTCTATCGATTTGAATTGGACTCAAGTTGGTGTTTCACAATCGTCTTCGAGTATTAGAATCCACTAAAGGTAGCTTGGAGTAAATCGGATTTGTTTTTCCGTTCTTGGATAAGGAGAAGAGATGTCAGGCAGAGTGTTAGAAGAAGCAAAGTGTCCTAACTTTAGAAATGGGTTTCAATGCTAAGCAGGACGTTCTGATGACCAATGAAGGTCGGACCAACGTGCACGTGACTCGATAAAGATTTCAACGCTTATTTTAAGTTTAGAAGTCTTTAAAAAGAATAGATCAAAGTGGCAGGTGACACTTGTGAAGCTCACGATCGACGCTCTCTCTATTGAATGGAATCTCTTGCTTTCCTCTATTGATCACAGTGGTGGGTGGCACTTATCAAAGTTGAGGACTTTCTGATTGTTATTCTATATAAAGAGCTTGAAAATTTGTAATGATGGAAGAGGAGTGATATAGTGTCATGAGAGATGCTAGAGTCTGTATATGCATTTCTAGAAGTTTCGACTAGAAAGTAACACGTTTTGTACGAACTTGTCGAAAATCTTTCACCGAACGCTGCGTTTCGGATTTTATTAGAGGAGACTAGTGTCTTGAATCAAGCTCGGACAGAGAATGTCAAATGCATTTATTAAACCCAACTTATATCTTACAACTTAACACGATGATACACCAAACTCGACAATACTAACAATGAGATGACGACTTGCAAATGCTGAGACCAAGCTATGTCGGAATCTAATCAACGACACGACTAATATATGACATTGCAATTCAAGGTACGCCAAAATCTAATCAATGACGTGACTTGAGAGAATATGGCTGTAATCTAATCAACAGCTATATTCTAAGCACAACGCCGGAATTTAATTGACAACGCTGAACTGGTAGCACAACACTGGAATTTAATCAACAATTCTGGACCTGACAAAGACTCTCGCCGGAATTGAATCTACGACGTGGAATCTGAAAGCTACAACTTCGACTACTCCTAATGTGCTAAAAGTAAAGATAGATAAAAGATGTGTTGTGTTGTTCGGGGGGTTTTCTACGTCGGAAATCCTTGAGCATTTATAGAGCAGCCTGATAACCGCTGACCGGCCACTTCTCCTTGAAAGTCGTTTTCTAATTCATTACGTTTCGCACTTTAACCGCTTCTTGACTTGTCGATGTTGCTTACGCTCCTTGGGCATCACGTAATAGCTGATTTTCTTCCACGTGTCTCTTTATTTCTTGCTGTTTCCTAAATTTCATTCCTTAACTTCCTTGATCTTCACGCCCACAGTCATGTCTTTACCTTTTGACGCGTGGAAATGAATTTCTTTATCACGTGTCACCATGTATTTAATCCATGATTTTAGACTTATCGACATCACGTGCAAAGCTCGTGATTTTGGACTTGTCGACGTCATGTGCAAGGCCCGTGATTTTAGACTTGTCGACGTCACGTGCAAAGCTCGTGATTTTGGACTTGTCGACACTTTTATGACGTGTCCTGTCGATAACTGCTCCAAATTTTCCCAATGCCTCTGGGCCTAATTCACGGCCTTTTTCCGGATTCATGCTATGTGGGCCATGTTTTATGTCCTTTGTGACTTGCAACCGGCCCACTCCCATCAGGGGTAATTTTGAGTGTCAACAGAGCTATAATGGCTTGAGAATTGCGTAGTGGGTTATGGCCTTGTTGGAATCGTTAGAGCTGGGAGAATGGAGTAAGCCAAAGTGGAAGACTGGACCACTATAAATCTGATCAGTACTTTTTTTATTCCTTAAAACTCTTTCGAGTTTGTTTGGTAATTTCTACGGCACAAGTGCACATTCTATGCACTATCCATCACTAATTTGCGAAAAAAAATTTGAAGGTTTCTAAAATAATCAATTCACCTCCTCTTGATTGACGTGCACATTCTACACACGCGATGAATCAAGTGAATATAAGGATGATACAAGTTTACAATGTCCGCCCAATTAACTTCTCCCTACTATATTCTGAAATTTTCTAGGTGTATATTAGGTAAATTGTCAATGGACTTGATTTACCGTGGACAACGTGATTGAACTAGCAGGAAGCAACACACCATCTTAAAATTTGTCGTTTCGTCCATATTTTTAGAAGTCATTCTCTCTTCTTTTCCAAATTTATATATGCTTTATTGATGTTTTTGTATAATCCTCAATAAAGTATTTATTCATGTTAGGGATAAGTGCATCGGAAGTGCTAAAACTTATTACGAAAGTGCAATTGAGTCCTAAAACTCATAAAAAGTGCAATCAAATCGTAAAACTTGTTGAATTAGTGCAATTAAGTTATTCCATTGACTCCGTTTAACTAGGTTGACAAAAAATGCTGATATAGCTTTTTTTAATATTTTCTCTCTTCTATGTGGCGATGAAATGGCTAAAACGACATTGTTTGGTCTAATTTGATTTTTTATACAAATTTTATTTAAATTAAAATAATAAGCTAAATTTAAAAAAAAAAAGAGTTGGAAACCAAGTGACAAGGGCTCTTCTAACTCTTCTCCTCCTTTTTTTTTATTTAGATTTTTTTTAATTTAATTAAAATGAAATTTGTATAAAAAATCATTTTTGGACCAAAGCATTGTCATTATAGCATTACGTTTCGCGTTTTAACCACGTCATCGTCACATAGAACAGATAATAGTAAAAAAAAGCCATATTAGCATTTGTGTTAGTTATGTTATACAGAATTAATGGAATGATTTAATTGCATCATAATTTTTAGGCAAATATTTTACAAATTCTTCAATTTTCACGAGACAAATATTTATGTTTTCTTTTCATTTTTTAGACCCTGCTTCTAGAAGCGTGCGAATTCCTGGGATGTCCGCATGTGCTAATCGATAGTCAGTTAGGCTGTGTTCGTTTGCGGAAAAATATTTTTCCGGAAAATATTTTCCGCGTTTTCCGGTGTTCGGGGGCGGAAAATATTTTCCGTGGGAAAATATTTTCCTTCCCCACCCCCAAATTCTTCATTGTTTTGAGGAAAATGATTTCCTCTTTTCACAAAGAGGAAATCATTTTCCCTCAAATTGAAGGTAAAATTGCCCATGGGAGGGAAAATATTTTCCGTGGGAGAGGAAGTTGATCGCCCGGTCACCACTTTGTTAGCCACCGGTCATTGTTGCCAGCGACGCCGCCGCGCGCCGGCCGGCCGCCGCCGCCCGGTTGCCCGCCGCCGCCCGGTCGGCAGCCGCCCCGCCACCGCCGGCCGCCGGTCGTCGGCCTCCGCCGCCGCCGGTCGCCGGTGAAAAATATTTTTCGAAACTTTTTCATATTGGTCGCCGAACACCAGAAAATTATGTTCCGGGAAAACATTTTCCAGGAAAATGACTTCTAGGAAAATATTTTCCAAAAGGAGAATATTTTCTGCCAAACGAACGGAGCCTTAATATAAGTAAGGAAGAAAACAACTGAAAAGTGTACTGTCTTATCACTGGCTCGTTTTCTTTTCTCGTGTGAAGGGCTGCGCGACATATTATTTTAATAACTTGTGAACGAATTCAAAAAATAAACCAAAAAAAATAAATTCAAATTACAAGTTCTTGACGATCTAATTGTGTTTTCTCAAAGAAATAAGTTTTGTTTTTGATCTTGTTCTACTCTAACTCTCAACTCACTCTCAGACTTTTGTCCTACCTCATTGTAGAGCATAGAAGTCAAACTCCACGCCCGAAACTAAACGTCAACATCCCTAACCCATTGAAAAAGTGGGGATTCGAACTCTTCACTTCTCCCTTCCCAAGTGGGAAAAGAAATAAGTTCTTTTTTTTGGTCGAAAGAAAAAGAGAAATAAGTTCACGTACCAAATTTTACGGCTTTTCATAATTTGGTTTGGTCTCAAATTTTTATGAAATTTCAGAGAGCCGCAATGCACTAGATAGTGCCTAATTGAGAAAAAGTAATAAAAAAGTCCTAAACATATTGCATCGGTACCGATTCGATTTCAAACTTTTCAATTAGATCAATTTAGTCCTGAGCATTTTCACATTATGATCAATTAAGTCCATCCGATCAATTTTGGCTGGAAATCGCTTACTCCTCATTGGGCATTGGACAAGGGCCATGACCCTCGTCGGCCACAACAAAAAAAGAAAAAGAAAAAGAAAAAAGAAAAGAAAAATAACATAAAAAATATTTAAAGATGTAAATTTTGTCAGCCTTAGTGCCATTCGTGTCACGTAGGACGGCTAGCGTCCACGTCAGTGATGCCAGATAGACTCAATTGATACAAATGTGAAAATGTTTAGAACTAAACTGGTCCAATTGAAATATTCGTGACTGAAATAATACCGATGCAATAGATTTATGACTTTTTTTGTACTTTTTCCCTTTAATTTGTTTTCCATCTTTATTCATCTTTTTAGCTGGAAAACTTAAAAATAGAAAAAAGAAAGGTGGCTTGATGGGCGAGCCTGGGCAAGACCTTAGGAGGTTCGGGCCTGAGCAGACTAGGCAGGAGCACGCCCAATAAACAGATCTAATAATGCTTAATTTTTATTTGTTATTTTAGTTAGATTTGAACTAGATGTATGCGGTTTATTTCATGCAAGTGAATACGAATTTGTGAAATATTATTTCTTATTATTTTCATGAATAATGAAAATATCTTCTATTTATTTATTTATTTATTTTTGTAAGCTATATAATTGACCATTTTCAGAAAAACATTTTTCAAATCATGCAAATTTCCACGAAACAAATGAAACTTAAATTGAACCATATCGTGGTTGCTCTTGTACTCGAGCACACTCTCAGTGTCGCACAAGTGTCTCACGAGGGTCATATCCAATTACGAACAAGGTAGGAGCAGCTAATAATTTTCCCATTGTTCCGTTATGCGCAACACTTATCACATTTTCCAGCACGACTTACTCATGCTGTCAATATTCACGCAAGTCACGCATTTCTTTGCGTCTTATATAACAATTCCTCTAAAAAGAATTTAATGCCGACGAGTATCTCAAAGAAACTAGCTAAATATGCCACTATATGAAGTCTCACTTTTTAAACCAAATCGAACCCCATCGTGCTTGGTCCTGTACCTAAGCACACACTCTCGTGCCATACAAGTACATGTCTCATTTTAGTAGTGTCCAGCTACAAACAAAGGAGGTGCAAATAACAATTTTCTCGGTGATCCGTCGCGTGCAACACTTGTTGCATCTTTCGGCACAACCGATACTCGCTGTCAATATCCACGCATATCACGCATTCCTTCTTGTCTCGTAAAACAACTCCTCTAAAAAGAGCTTCCAGAAGGTCGTGCTAACAAAGTAGTTCAAAGAGATCGGCTAAATATGCCATTCAAGGAACTTTTACTTTTCAAACTGAAATAGGATGAGCAATTAACAATTTTCCTGTTGATTCGTCATGTGTAACACTTGTCGCGTCTTCCGACACGACCGGTACTCATTGTCAATATTCATTGCCATTATAGAGAATTTTACTTTTCAAATTGAATTAGGAGGAGCAATTAACAATTTTTCCTGTTGATCCATCATGTGCGACATTTGTCGCATCTTCCGGCACAACTGATACTCATTGTCAATATTCACGCATATCACGCATTTCTTCTTGTCTTGTGTAATAACTCCTCTAAAAAGAGCTTACAAAAGATCATACTAACAGAGTATCTCAAAGAGACAGGCTAAATTTTACTTTTCAAACCAAATTAGGAGGAGCAATTAACAATTTTCCTGTTGATCCGTCATGTACAACACTTGTCACATCTTTCGGCAAGACCAATAATCATTGTCAATATTCACACATATCACGCATGCCTTCTTGTCTCATATAATAACTCCTAAATACTAATAGAGTATCTCAAAGAGATCGGCTAAATTTTACTTTTCAAACTAAATTAGGGGTAGCAATTAACAATTTTCCCATTGATCCATCATGTGCAACACTTGTCGCATCTTCCGGCAATACCGGTACTCATTGTCAATATTCACGCATATCATGCATCCCTTCTCGTCTCATGTAATAACTCTAAAAAGAGCTCCCCGTAGGTCATACTAATAGAGTATCTCAAAGAGATTAGCTAAATATGCCATTAAGGAAATTTTTACTTTTCAAACTGAATTAGGAGGAGCAATTAACTTAACAATTTTTCCTGTTGATCCATCACATGCAACAAATATTGCATCTTCTGGCACGGACGATACTCATTGTCAATGTTCATGCATATCACGCATTCCTTCTTGTCTTATATAAGGACTATTCTAAAAAGAGCTTACAGAAAGTTATGCTAACAAAGTATCTAAAAGAGATTAGCTAAATATATAATTAGAGGAAATTTTACTTTTCAACCTGAATTAAGCTACATCGTGCTTGCTCGTGTACCAGAGCGCACTCTCTTGTGCCGCAGAAGTATCGTGCCTTGCGTGAGTACTGTCCATCTGCAGACAATGCAGGGAGCGGTTAATAATTTTTCCGGTGTTCCGTCATGTGCAACACTTGTCGCGTCTCCCGCCACGATCGACACTCGCTGTCGGTATTCACGCATATCGCGCCTTCCTCCTTGTCTTGTATAATAGCTCCTCTGAAAAGAGCTTATCGAAGATCGCGCTAATTAACGTGCATCTCGAAGAGACCGGCTAAAATATGCCGGTAAATGAAATTTCATTTTTCAAAACATTGGTCACGTGAGAAAAAGGGATTGATCGCTCGAAAAGCTCATTGTTAGTAAAAAAAAAATATAAAATATGAAAAATTCACTTATGTTATCAAATCATGGGATTACCACGAATTTGTGTTGCCTTTACCATCCATGATTTCTCTTAATTCTAGGCAATTTGAAAAATTTGATTAGACAATCCAATTCAAAGCAGCGTGTCGCCATAAATCCATGCAAAGATGGAAAGGCCAGCTATTAAGCGCAGCTTATTCAGTGCTCTCGGTACCGTTGTTCTCGATCCATATCAACCGTTGGATACGTGCGTACGTAAGACCTGGATGCGTACGGGGAAGCAACGTGCCCGACCGCCCGATGCGAAATCGACGGCGGCGGCGGGCGAAGGCCCGCGAGGACTTGTGGGCTCGCCCGCACCTGATCAAGATCGCTCCCGTTTTTATTACACGCCTTGGCGCCAAGCCTCACTCCTGCTCTCAGCATTTTCCAGGAAAATCTTTCTCTCCGAGAAAGGACTCCTCCGAATTCCGTTTCTGGAGAGAAAGAGAGGGAGAGCGAGAAAGCGAGAGAGGAAAAGCGAGAGCGCCGCGAAAAGGAAACGGCAAGGGCGTACGGTCGCGGCCCCGAGAGCGCTGCCTCGCTCGCCTTCGTCGGTCTTCGGCCGAAGCTGCGGCGAGGAGCCGAAGGTTCGTCCCGCAGAGGTACGGGCATTTCGACGCCCTGTTCCTGTTCTTGTTCTTGTTCCTGTTCCATTTCGTGCATGTTCTTGTCCGGCGCCGCGCTGTTCGCTTGCTCGCGCTTGCTCTGCGGTTCTTGATCGTCGCCCGTGTCTTCAGAGGTGGCGAAATGCGGAAGCTGGAGCCCTAATTTCGGTTGGGTTTTTCGTTCTTTTTTTTTTTTTTTTTTTGCAGTGAATCGAGTTGATCAGCGTCGGCTCGAGCATGTCGTCGCTGGGTAAAGAGCTGGTGCTTCTGATACTTCAGTTCTTGAACGATGAGAACTTGAAAGAGACTGCTCACAGGTGAGCTTCCTGTCGGTGGGGGGAATTTCTCGCCGTGTCGAGATCGTTGCGCGCCTTTGCGCTTGCCTGTGTGATCGGCTCTGTTTGCTTGTTTAAGTACGAGGGAAATGGAGAGCAGGTCTTCTCCTTGTGTGATCACGGCGACGGCGCATTCGTGTGCTGCTGGAAGTGTTTTTTGGACTCTGTTTCTTCGTTGTATCTCTGTATTGGAACATGGAACCCTTTAGTTTCCTTGTTCATCTGGAGTAAGTTCCCGGTGCTGGAGTTAGTTCGGTTTTGATCAGGAATTAGACTGTCATGTTTCTCTCTGTTTGGTTGATGTAAGAAGTCGTGGGAATCTTGAAGGCCGGTGATGGTTGGTTCGGTGGAAAACGAGCATTTTGAGAACTCAGGGTAGTTATTTAGGGCTCCTGTGGTCCTGTCATTGATCGAACGTCGTGACATCGTGATAGTTGGTGAAGATGCTTGAGTAAAATTGTCATGCATTAGTATATTTTGGTTGATTGATTGCTAAGCACATTGGAAAAATAGTGAGAGCCAATGGTTACTTGCTTTCTTTTTCCCTCTCTGGTTTTTTTTTCTTTTTTTCTGATTCACACTGTTGTCACGTGAAGATTAGAGGAAGAATCTGGCTGCTTCTTCAATATGAATTATTTTGAGGATGTTGTGACCAATGGGGAGTTGGATGAGGTCGAGAAGTATCTTTCCGGGTTTACAAAGTTTGATGACAATAGATACTCGACAAAGATTTTCTTTGAGATTAGGAAGCAGAAATATCTCGAAGCATTGGACAGGTAAACCAGAGATTCTTCGTGTGTGCTTTAAGAGGTGTAAATTTTCTGGGACTATTTTTTATGGCATCTTGACTTTGTCTTTTTCAGATGCGATGATGCTAAAGCTGCAGAAATTCTTCGTAAGGACCTCAAAATGTTTTCCACTTACAATGAAGAACTTTTCAAGGAAATGACGATGCTTATGTCCTTAAATAACTTTAGGTATGTTGCGTAATTTTATTGATTTGTCTGCAGCTAATTACGATACACGATGCAAAAGTTTGCAATTTGTAAGCTGTAGGACAAAATGTGGACATCTACATAAATAGCCAAATTCATTGAATAATCACTATTGGCCATTTGATGAGTGACGTTTGCAGTTTCTGGAAAATGGTTTTGGAGAGCAGGAAAAACTTTATATGTTCAACAATGTTAGAAAGATGAACCATTTTATTGTCAACATAACGACACAAATGGGTGTCAAAAAGAGGAAGAAAGAAACATCTAATCTTGCTGCTTTTAAGTCCTTTTCCATTAGAGACAATAATTTGCACCTTGAATTTTTACGACAGTTCTGGTTTTTTGTCCTTGGAAACTGAACTGTGTTAATTTGCCCCTTGAGGTTTACTCAACTGCTTTATCTTTCCCAAGCTTCTGTCTGTGAGACTTTTCAGGAAAGAAATCGGCATGCCCTTCGCACTGGACTTGTTCCTAGCTTCATAGTTGGGTAAATTCATCAAAACCATCGGTTTGGTCCTGAAGACATGTTTCTTAAGTAGCAAAGCGTGTTTCACTGTGAAAATACTTCATTTGCAGCAAAAGATGAGGTTAAACGAAGCTAAGGAAGATGGTAGAGTTTTGCCTCTGTTGAAAGAAGACTGCCATAGGGACATCTTGGACTAGTGAAACCTGGGAGGCTTTTACTTGCATGTGAGAAGCTTATGGTGGAAACACCCTCCTGGATTTGCATGGATCTAATGTGTCCTTGTTTCCACCTAGCTTCGCGGCTGTGAAACTCTACCATCCTCTTCAGCCTTACATGCCACTCTTGTTAGTATGTTAATGAATTGGCACAATAAAACTCTTCCATTGCCTTAAGAAGTGCAACTTTGGTGCCAAACCGAATGGTTTCGACAAGCATGCTTTTCTTGAAGCCGGGAACGTGTCACTTACATAAAGCCTCATGATGTCTCACTTTTTGGGAGGTAGAGTAGTTGCGAAAACCTCAAGGGGCAGACTTAGGTTTCCACTTGCCTGTCATTACACCTCGAGAATGTAACAACTAACAAGTAAAGGGATGACAACCAGATGAAGTATAACAGTTAGGTACTTGTTTTTGCCTTTTTGGTCGATCCTTCTTCATTTCTTTCTTTGGGACAATTTCAGGGAGATTGAACAGTTATCAAAGTACGTGGATTCTAAGAGTGCGAGGGCCGTAATGCTAACTGAAATTAAAAGGTTGCTTGGGGCAAATCCACTCTTTCGTGATAAGCTACAGTTTCCTTGCTCAAAAAACTCCAGGCTGAGGGGACTTATAAATCAGAGGTAAATCAATCAACAGTTAAGTAATTAAGGTTTTCCATATCGCAGCTTTTCTTTAATCTTGTTTATCCTGCATAGCTTTACTGTGTTGCATTCAAAATGCAGTCTAAATTGGCAGCACCAGATGTGCAAGTATCCCAGGCCTGACCCTGAGATAAAGACCCTCTTTGTCGATCATTCTTGTGGGACATCAAATGGAGCTCCAGCTCTACCTCCTGTAATGAATCCTTTGTTGAGTTGCACTCCTAAAATTGGTGGATTCTCAGCGGTAGAATCTCTTACTGTAATTTAGAAGTGTGTTTCAAAGGTCTTTGCTTTTGGTTTTCTACATTTACCTTTGCTTTGACATTTGGAATTTGGCTTTTATTTAAGATGGAACACTTTAGATCTTTAAAGTAATATTATGTAGAAAATATTTTTGTTAATCTTTCAGAAAGGAATATAATATCTTTTCATTTCATTGGGAAACCTAAAAGTACGTTTGACATTAAGTCGAGGTGGACACGAGTTGATTAGCTCTTTTATGTCTTTTAAATGAATTATGAACAAAATGTCGGTTATTTTGTTTGGTTTTTCTTATTAATTAACAAGACATTTATTTCTTTCAGCCTTTCCGGTTCTTCCAGCTAGCGCCAGCACCAGCAGCTCCGATGGCATCTCTGGCAGGATGGCTGGCTAATCCGTCCCTGACACCGCAACCAACAGCCTCTGGCTGTCCCATTGTAGTACCTGCTCCCAGGCCTGCAGGTTGGAATTACACTTTTGAGAAACATTTCTCCTTCTCGTTATGCTTACGTTCTCAGGAATGAAGTATGCTAAACCATGTACATTCTCGATAAGATTAATGCAACATGCCTTTTCAAATCATAATGTCATGTTCAATCTGAATAGATTTTAGGCAATTAAATAGCTTGTCTGAAACATTTGATGTTTTTTATCAAAAGAGTTTCCATTTTTTCCCAGCTTACGTAGAAAAGCAGAGTGTGACACAAACATACTGAATATGATCATGCAAATATGTGTTTTGTGTGAATTGAACAAAAGTTGACATAAGTGGTTTACTTCCATATGCATGTTGGGCTTTATATGTGGTGTGGCTGCTTTCTGGTTCCCATTGATGTACATGATATAAATACTGTTTGTGAATGTGAAGGATGTCATTGCATGCGAATTCTCGATTCTTATGCTTTTTCAGTCGTGTCTTACCATTTGGCATGTTACATAATTGGAGCAGCACCTGTGAATAAACGCCTTAGAACGCCTCCTTACAGCCCAGCAACAGATGACGTGCACATTATCAAGAGAACCAGACCTATTGAGATATCAGACGAGGTAATTTATTAACTTTGGTTGGGTTGGAAATCCTTCACATTAAATGAAAAAATTCATATGACCTTACGATTGTACCACCAATCTCAAACCGAGAATTGAAAAACCAGATATTATCTTCTTAAACATTGAAAAAGTTACTCAAAAGTGGTTAGGACAAACTCCATAATACAATCACTGTCAACTCACAGATTAGTTGGTGGGCCATGGTCATTTTTACGATATTAATGAAAGTAATCAGTTTACTGGTTTTTGGACTGATAAACAGACACGGAACCATTTCCTTACCAAAAAAAAAAAAAAACAGACACGGAACCACTAATTTGAATAAATGAGAAAACAGCTCAACCTAAACCAAACCTATATCCTGATCACACCAAAGGTTCAGATTATCTGATTTTGGTTTTTTAACACCCCCAACTTTGGGTCCATGGAGTGAGGTTGCATGTCTGCTATACATACTCCATGGATGCCGCCTTATGTGCCACCAGAGTCATTGTCCTTTTCCTTTGGATTCCAACCTATGTAGATTGTGGTGGTAGAGTTACAGAGGAAAGGGAGACTTGACAATTGAGAAGTGACATCAGGCTTCTTTTTTGGTCTAACGATTTCCTGATTGAGTGCTTATGTGTATTTCTCCCTGCAATGTATATGCTCGTCGTTTTTCCTTTTTTTTTATTTACTTATTGTTTTTGCCACTTTAACAATGAAGAGTGAGGTCAAGCTTTAATTGCTACTGTTAAAAAAGATCAAGTTGTAATTATAAAATAGTAGTTCAAGGTAATCCAAGATAGATTTGAGGTCAAGCGGTTTCTTTCACCCTAAGGTTCAGAACTTTAGGTTCTAAACATTGCCACCTATCTTTGGATTGATCAATTGTTACTGTGGCTGCGTATGCTGTTAATTTTCATTTTGTTTCTAGTCAATAACCATACACCACACTTAGTTTGCTTTACGCTGTTAGAATTCTGGGAAGCATGCTATTTTTTTTCTCTTGCAGGTTAACCATCCAGCTGTGCTGCATTCTTCTGATGATTTGCCAAAGACTGTCGTTTGCAATTTGAATCAGGGATCTGCTGTCAAGAGCATGGATTTTCATCCAGTACAACAAACCCTACTTCTTGGTTAGTTCTTGTCTCTATATAACCTTTCTGTGCGAACATTGTATCATCAAATCTTTCTTTTGACCCTTAAATAAACAACTGTTGAATTCTCATTAAGTCCTCTAACATGTCAATTTTAAGTTGGAACAAACATTGGTGATATCAGAATCTGGGAGATTGTCAGCAGGGAAATGCTTCATTTGCGGAATTTTAAGGTCTGGGACCTTGGAGCATGTTCAGTGAATTTGCAAGTATGTGTTTCATGCCTAAAATAGTTTAATTAGTTGATGATATGATTTTCCAAATCGTAGGAGTGATTATCATGCTTATGTCAGTTATTAATTGTATAATAGGCATCCTTGGCCAGTGAATATACCGCATCAGTGAACAGAATCGTCTGGAGTCCTGATGGAGATCTCTTTGGTATGCTTAAGAGTGCTTACAACTTGCTTCGTGAAAATTTGTTGATATTTCCTTCAGAGTGAATCATTAAGGACTATTTATTCTCATTCATGTTTATAAATTTATGCTTTTTATTCTTAGTATTTGACAACTAATGATTTCATGCTTAGGGCAGTGTCTTTGAAGGTTTCTATTTCCCGTTTAGATGAAAAATGGACTTGTCCCTTATTTGCTGAGGATCTTGCTGGCTTCTCTTTTAGGTGTTGCATATTCGAAGCACATAGTGCAAATATACTCCTATCATGGTGGCAACATACAGAACCACCTGGAGGTTTGTTTTATTCATGTGTCTGAATATGTTCCCACAGTATATTATTTTTTCTTCTGTTCTGACTTATATTTTTCGTAGTGCTCTTTCATCTTTCAGTGTATGTTCTTCTTCTCACAAAATGCTTTTCAGATGGATGCTCATGTTGGTAACGTCAGCGATCTTGCTTTTTCACAATTAAAAGAGCAACTGTTCCTTGTCACTTGTGGTGAAGACAGGACAGTAAAGGTTTGGCTAAAAGGACCTCAACCCTTCTTCATCCTATATCTTCAAGGATGTTGGCGTCCTAAAACATTTTCGTTGTCTAGGTGTGGAGTGCTATTACCGGCAATAGACAATACACTTTTGAAGGTCATGAATCACCTGTTTACTCGGTGTGCCCCCATCACAGGAACAATGTTCAGGTATCAACTTTATTTCTGCTTTCGGAGTAAATAATTGCACAGGGGGCAAGATTTTAAGAAGTGTGTATTAGGATTGGTTCCTCAAAACTTTCTAAGCATTTCAGGACCTTTTACTTCCTTCTGGTCCTGCTTTCTTACCCTTGATCATGTGTTTTCTTCCTTAGTTCATCTTTTCAGCAACAGTTAATGGGAGAATTAAGGTATGGTTGTACGATAACCTGGGTCCTAGACTTGATGTTGATGCTCCTGGCCGTTCTCGCACAAAAATAATGTACTCTGCTGATGGGACAAGGTAATGTCTGCTTTCCTCTAGGATCAAATAAGCAAGTTCGTCAAGTCCTTTAAATATTTCTTCCCTTTGTTTATGCACTTGACAGGGTTTTTTCATGTGGGACTAACAAGGAAGGGGAATCTTACCTTGTTGAGTGGATTGAAAGCGAGGGGGCCATTAAACGAACTTATCATGGCCTAGGAAAGTGTTCGGTCGGGGTTGTCCAATTTGATACAGCTAAGAACCGATTCTTAGCTGCTGGTGATGAATTTCTGATTAAAATTTGGGATATGGACAGTGATAATGTCTTGACAACTATCAATGCCGAGGGTGGTTTACCGGTATGCTTGCTGAGGTCACCCTTGATTAATATGCCAGGATTCTTTTGGGAAGGGAGTTGAAATATTGTTCATTTGACAATCTCAAAATCTCTTTTAGGTATCTCCTTGCATAAAATTTAATAGAGAAGGTTTACTCTTGGCTGTCTCCACAAGTGAGAATGCTGTCAAAGTACTTGCAAGTGATAAAGTTGTGCACCTTCTTCAATCCAATGGAAGTCGTGTGCTGGATGCGTCTAAAGTTTTTTATGGGACCACAGCAAAGGTAGGGTGAGTTTTATATTTCTTCAACTGGCCCACATATGAGCCATCGTATTTATGCAGTTTCATCATGCAGGGTCCTACAACGGGGTCTTTGGGTGCTTCCGGTTCATCAGCTGGAACAAGCATTCCCACCAGCAGTAGAAACTCCCCAGCACCTTCAATATTTGGAATGGTAAGAACATCCTTCCCCCATTGAAAGTCAGAAAATCAAGGTTCAAATATTGAGAGCATGGTGATTTTGATTAAGTCATCGTGTACTCTTTAATTTCTCATTAACTTGTGTCAGATGTGTATGTCATTTATCTGTTTTTGTTTAATGAATTAAGAACCATCAAACTGGATGGCACTAATACATATAATTTGCAGAATGGGGATACCGAAAACTTTTCAGATGTCAAAACAAGAACCAATGGTGAATTAGAGAATTCTCAAGCCTGGAAGCTAAAGGAATATAATGAACAGTCTCAGTTTCAGTCTTTACGGCTTCCAGATAGGCTTCTGCCAACTAGAGTATGTATTAGCTCCTCTGGGGACCTCAATGGAATTTGCAGTTCTTATATATATATTTATTTTTTGCCCTTTGGCTCCTTTGGGTTGAATGTCTGCCTTTTTATTCATTGGTTCAGCTTTTTCTGTGAATCTAGTAGGTTAAACGTTTGATCTACCTTTTGGATTAATGTGTGCTTATTTTTAAGGGAGTTTGGTCATTTTGCAGACATCAGCATAAGCAGAAAGCTTAGTTTCGTTGGATGTATGTTCCTTTTTCTATTATTTTGGGTCTCCTATTTTACTTCCCCGAAGATTTGCTCATATAGCAAATATCTGTTCTGAAAATTAAGAGGACTTTAGTTTTCTCTCATCTCTACTTAGAATATCTCCTTTTTGGTAGATATGTATTCATCTTTTGTATGCTACTTCTTTGGATATACTTGTAGAGTTAACCAAGAGATAGGGACCCATTTTTTTTAGTTTTACATTTTGCGAACTTGCATGATCATATTTATTGACACAGCAGTGAGATCCATGCATGCTTGATGTGCACAGCTGATTACAACTGTGGATGTATAAAATATTTCATACTTCATATTTCAGATTGTCAGGATGATATATACAAGTTCAGGAGGTGCTATACTTGCTTTAGCATATAATGCCGTGCACAAACTTTGGAAATGGCAACAGAATGAGTTTAATCTATCAGGAAAGGTATGTCACGTGTTTAAATAGTTGCTTAGCATGTTTGTTTGTCGATCTTCCACTTAATAAGCCCTGAATTTGTTGTAGGCAACCTGTGCTGTCGAACCAAAATTATGGCAACCCTCCAGCGGAATAATCATGACAAATGATATAAGCGACATAATTGTTGGCGATGCCAACCCCTACTTTGCCCTTTCAAAGAATGATTCTTATCTACTGTCCACTTCGGGAGGGAAAATTTCTCTTTTTAACATGATGACATTTAAGGTGTGGTATTATGGAGTTTTGTTTCTTGGTTTGGTGCTGACTAGAGAAATTATAGTGCTTGTGTTTGAAATTTCTTGACCCAAGGTGAATCCTCACTTATTTTTTTTTTTTGCTGCAGACAATGACGACTTTCATGCCGCCACCCCCTGCAGCAACGTGCCTCGAGTTCCACCCTCGAGACAATAACATTGTAGCCATAGGCATGGAGGATTCTTCCATCCAAATCTTCAATGTCCGAGTTAATGAGGTATTTGGCTTCATCGGAAACTATGGTTGCCAGTTTCATACTTAGTAGAGTCAGACGTGAATCTTCTTCTTGTGACCACTTTGTAGGTTGAAAGTAAGTTTAAAGGTCATCAAAAGAGAGTAACTGGTCTTGCCTTTTCTGACATTTTGAATGTTCTTGTGTCGTCAGGAGCTGATGCTCAGGTATGTTTTTTATGATATGATGGAGAATAGTGTTTTGATGTGTGTCGATTCTCTCTTTCTCTCACGTTTTTGCGCTCTCCGTAGCGCCATAATGTGTATGTTCTCTCTTTGAGCTGTGGGTGGGTGGCTTGGCATAGAGATAACGGTCAAATGTGGATTTGGTTGCATCATTTTGCTTTAACATTGAAGTGATAGGTTTCCAGTCTGGAAATTATTATGTGAGAGTTTAGATTCCATTGTTGCTATGAGGTCAAACTTTATAGGACACGGGGCTGGAAGCCATCTTTGAAGGTAATTCCTATTTTACGAGGCGCCTACCTATAGCTGGAGTTTAGATTCCATTCTTGCTATGAGATCAACTTTATAGGACACGGGGCTGGAAGTCATCTTTGGGGTAATTCCTATTTTACGAGTCTCCTACCTATAGCTGGAAATCTGTGACTTTCATCAACTGAGAAGAACCCACAGTGGCAATCTAGGATTTTTGTTGTCAAAATCAGACACTTGATGTACTTGTTCTAGTGCTAGGTAAAACTCCAACAGAAACTTTACCTTTTGAATTTGTGAGGTGGCTGTCTGTCTGGAGTGATGATGTATTAGCTTTTCGTTACTCGTTTTAACTGGTGCTACATATATGAACTAAAATTCACAGCTTTACTTTGGTTGAATACAAGTGATTGCCTGGATTTCTTGGTTAAATTTTCCTTTTGCAGCTGTGTGTATGGAGTACTGATAAGTGGGAAAACCTGGCCAGTAAGTTCTTGCAAATCCCAACTCGGCGTATGTCCTCTACTCTCGCAAAGACGCGTGTGCTATTTCACCAAGATCTACGGCACTTCCTTGTTGTTCACGAGACTCAAATAGCCATATATGAAGCTCCAAAGTTGGATTGTCATAAGCAGGTGTCCACTCGCATACTCGATGGTTTTTTTTCTTTTTCTGCTTCAGTTAAATGTGCTAATTATAGAACTCTTGGGATCATAAGTGTACCCCAAAGTGTCCCCAAAAACTAATTTTCTCCTTTTATTTCCTTAAGATCTGACTCTGACACGCATCTCCATTTATTAGATCCAATCATCCAATAAAAAGTTATTTACATTTCATATGGTTAAAGTCCTTCTTTTGTGCAGTGGTTTCCTCTGGAGTCTGATGCTCCAATCACGGATGCTATGTATTCGTGTGATGGCATGTCGATCTACACAAGCTTCGAAGATGGAAGCGTGGGCATTTTTGCCTCCTCAATGCTCCAATTGAAGTGTCGGATCAGCGCCACTGCTTATCTGCCTTCTAATTCCAGGTGCAATCTTTAAAAATCCGAGGCCTTGTCTATTTTGCAATTTAAACTGTACTATTACTGATGCTGCTATATGACAGCTCCCTGGTATATCCAGTTGTCGTCGCTGCTCACCCTTCTGAACCTAACCAGTTTGCTCTGGGACTCACGAATGGCGGGGTTATTGTTCTGGAGCCTCCAGAATCGGAGCGGGAATGGGGCACGGCTCCTTCTGTTCCAAATGGTTCGGGGCCAGAGCCCATCCAGGTCTGAATCACACAAACTGCCCAGGGGACGTTGCTCATCTCTAAGTAAATAGAGCAAAAGTAGCTGTAACGACGATGCGGCGCTTGGTGTATAGGATTTCTAGAGGCTCACAAGGACTTCCCTCCGTGCAAATCATGGGTCGAGACTAAAAGGTACAGATATTGACATAACATAGAGACTTAGGAGATGAAGATTGGGAACTTTTAGTTTTAACTCACCAGGAGTATAGCAAAAACAAAAGCTTCTACAAATCTCATCATACAGTGGAGATATACATAGTAACACCCGACGAGCAGAATGTGAGTACATTTTCCTCCTTGGTTCATACCAAACCCTGTACAGGAAGAGGATGCTGTTGGACTGTCCTTCAAGAAAGGAAATTCTGTTATCAACAGTTTAAATTGCATTCTGTCATGTACCCTCTTTTTCTCTGCAGCTCAGGTACCTAGTGTCTTTCCTTATACAGTGAGCGAAAAGAAGACAGAAATTAGAGGATGAAGTATGTGCTCCGAAGTTTAAGTGCATGACAGTCTCTTGTTATATCACTGTCTCTCAGAATTTCAAGTTCGCCATTAATGATAAATTCACAACAAGCGTCGACATAGTTAACAAAAGCTTCTTATAATGTGGATATGGTTTGATGCAGACACGTAGATACTGGGCTAATTAGATCCATTAACGATCCTGCTACTGAGGATTTTCCGGGTATGCTTGAGTTGAATTTTGAAACCAGCATACAACACCGAGATCGAATTTAAATCTTTCTTGAGACCTGTACCGACAAGGCGCAGTGTTTCATTTTCCCCTGCAAACCTACGTGGCAAAGGCTAAGCACATCCATGCAAGTCATCTTGAATCGAGTCTCGACACGTACGTAGTAACACGACATAGAGGCAGTCTTCGTTTGCACTTTATCTCATGTCCTCCTTCGATGCTCGAACCAACCTCCTTTGTGTACTCACAAGTTCGGCGACTTTGCAAAAAAGAAACCGAACCCAAAGCAAAAACAATGGCACAAATCAGCAGTGCGTCGTCACCCAGGCCACTCGCGACCGATTCAAGCCAGCCCTTGAGAGACAAGAAAGTGAAGGACATGGTCGTCAACGCGAGGCGGCTTGTGGAGGTCCCTTACACGGCGTCGTTCGCCCACACCATGAACGCGCTAGTGGTGAACAGCGTGGTGGCACTGCCCGTGGCGGCACCACCTGGCCAGTGGATCGGCGCGGGCGGGTCCATGATCATGGAGTCTGACAAGCAGACAGGCACCATCAGGAAGCATTACATAGGGATGGTGACCATGCTCGATATACTCGCCCACATCGCCGGAGACGACCAGGTGAATGGCGGCGGCAGTGGTGACGGGTCGTCGGATCTCGATCAGAAGATGGCCGTTCCGGTGTCTAACATCATAGGACACTGTCTTGAGGGTCTCAGCCTCCGGACTCTAAACCCCAACACAAGGTGATACGAAGGTTTGACTTCATTATCTTATATTGGAATTAATGTGTATGAACTCAATCATTAGTTCAGGATGCTATATAATTCATGTTGCTGCCAAGAATCTTTATCATGTCAATCGGAGGAAAATTCGATCATGTAATCAATTGTAGCTCTTATTGTAGCCTGCGAAATTCCAGTGTTGGAAAATATCAAGGAGCTTTTGGTTACTAATTACGGAATTTATCAGACAAAACTAATCCCCATGAGTACGCTAAAAATACGCAGCATCCTAGATTGTATGGAAGTGTTCAGCAAAGGCATACACCGAGCCCTGGTGCCACTAGACAGCCACATGGAGAACATTTCAGGGGTCGAGCTCGTGGAGTCAGCGTCGAGCTATCGGATGCTCACGCAGATGGATGTGCTCAGGTTCCTGAAGGAACACGAGTCCGTGACCGCGGCCATCCTGTCGCAATCCCTAGAGCAGCTAGGAGTGATAAATAGGAATGTCTTCGCCATAACCGACAGGACGAGTCATTGAAGCCATCAAGTGCATGAGGGCTGCTCTGCTCAATGCTGTCCCAATCGTGGCTTCGGGTGTTCTTGAGGAGGAAGATCACAGCCAACTTGTGGATGTATGGCCTTCTCATCCTGCTAGTTCCCTATTATTTCAGCTTTCTCCGGCATCGCATTTTCAACGACTTCGCAAGTCGAGGCCCGTCTTTTTCTCATTTTCGAAACGGGTTCACTTTGAGATTCTGGAGATTGAAAACTGCCTCGATCTATAGTTTTTGGCGAATCATGGGAACTAACAATGCATCACCTTCCCTTACCAAAAAAAAACAATGCATCACCTTTTGTGGGCGTAGATTTTTGTGTCAAATTTATCACTTTGACATTTTTGCTGCCAGTATCATAGCTTATGAAAATGTTAGCATGGCATTTCAGAGTATTGTCATCACTCTTATCCTATCCTCTCGATTGTGATTCACACAGGGAAGAGGCAGGAAGCTCATAGGCACGTTCTCGGCAACAGACCTGAGGAGGTGCCACGTTTCCGCGCTGCAACCGTGGCTATCAGTGACCGTGCTCAAGTTCACGGAGAAGATATCGATGAGCCCTATATACTCGACTCCTAGCGAGGGGGTTCCTTCAAGGGAGCTCGTGACTTGCAGGGACGACACCCCGCTTGCCGAGGTGATGGACAAGGCCGTGGATAAACACGTGCATAGGGTGTGGGTGGTGGATCACCAGGGTTCACTGGCCGGGCTCGTGTCCGTCACGGACATGATCAGAGTCCTCAGGGCTTCACTACTGTCTGCTTAGCGCTTGGCCCCTGTCCAACATTTGCGGGTTTTTTGCAATGCTAGTGAAGATTTTTCTGGCACACGGCTTCAGTGGCAAATTTCAGGTTTTTTCGACTGATTGGAAGCTTGATGTTGACCATTGGAAAGCTTCACAAGAATCTCTCTATCCTGTGCAGGTCAACCTGTCAACCTTAGAAGCATGCTGTGTCTTTTGCATTTTGACCTTCTAGGACTATAAAGTCCAAAGCTAGCCAAGTCCAACCCTTTTGGAGGGTCGTAATCCTGCATGCGTTTCATGATTTGTCAAAGGAAAGAAACGGAAAACTTCTCGGTTTCGTTTATGATAGCAACATGTATCTGAATTAGGTGGTACGACCGATTGGAACATCACAGACCCCAATTATAGCTTCGGTATAGATCGTGTTTATCATGTTTCTTGTACTATGCGTGGCCGAATTGTCTTGATCATGTCAATCATACCCTTTTTGCTTCCGGCAAACATAAAATGACAGTGAATTCGTGAATTCAAGATTGGGTAAATGATACAAATGGTTAATGAACTTGATTCAATGTAGAATGTGATTCCTCAATATTGAACATTTTCATACAGTCTAAGGACTAAATTAAACATGTACAAAAAATTCAAGAGAAAAGTACCAAAAAAGTCCTAAACCTTTTGCATTGATGTCAATTTAGTCCTAAATCTTTTTATGGTGTCAATTCAGTCTTAAACCTTTTGCATTGGTGCTAATTCAGTCATAAAGCTTTTGTTTTTGTGCCAATTCAGTCCTTTCGATCAATTTTGGCCGGATTTTGCTGACATGGACGTCGATCGGTCGGCGGCCAGTCACCGGCGCTGACATGGACAACTTTAATAATATTTTAATATTTTTTGAATTTTTATTTTTATTTTATTTTTTTCTTTTCCTTTTTTTCCCCCCTCCCCTGCCTCCTTCCTCTGGCCGGCGCCGACGAGGTTCGCCCACGCTGGCCAATGGCAAGGCTCGCCCTCGCGCTGGGCGAGGTCGTGCCTCGCCCAGTCGCTAGCGAGGCTCAAGCCCTTTTCGGAGGCCACTGGCGAGGGCTCGAGCCTCACCGGCGGCTAGCACGACCTCGCCCGATTGCCCGATCTGGTGAGGCTCGCCTTCGCTATCGCTGGCGAGGGCGAGCCTCGCCCAACCGCTGGCGAGGTCGAGCCTCACCCAATGCGAGGCCGCCTTCGCCAGTGGCCGGCAAGGGCGAGCCTCGCCAGCGCCGACTTCTGGCCTCTAGCCAGTCGTCGGTCCGGCGACCGGCTAGAGGAACGAGGGAGGGAGGGGAAAAAAAGAACAGAAAAGAAAAGAAAAGAAATAATAAATAAATAAAAATTCAAAAAAATATAAAAAATATTATTTTAGTTTTCCACGTCAGCGCCAGTGACTGGCCACCGGTCGGACGGCATCCGCGTTAGCAAAATCCGGCCAAAATTGATCGGAAGGACTGAATTTGCATAAAGACAAAATGTTTAGGATTGAATTGGCACAAATGCAAAAAGTTTAGGACTGAATTGGTACCAAAAAAAAGTTTAGGACTGAATTGGCATCAATGCAAAAGGTTTAGGACTTTTTTGGCACTTTTCCCAAAAATTCAGGGACTCCGTTGAACAAATTAAAAGTTCAAGGATGATATTGCACATGCCATATTGAACAAATTTAAAATTCAGAGATCACGTTGCATATTGAATAACATTTTAAGGGAAAATTTCATTTTGGTACCCAAAGTGGGGCCTTTTTCTTAATTTGGTACCCAAAGTGGACATAGTCTCAAATTGGTACCCAAAGTGCCCATTCAGTCTCAATTTTTGGTACTGAGTTCGCCGGCCGGTCAAATGCTCACCGCCGGCAAGAATCTGTTGGCTCACGGAAAAGTATTTTTTACTTTTTATTTTTTTCCTTTTTCTGTTTTTTTTTCTTTTCCTTTTCCTTTTCTTTTTTTTTTCCTTCTTCCCTCCGCCGGCCACAGCCATGGCCGGTGGAGGTCGCTGGCGTCGGCCCTTGCCGGCGTTGGGCGAGGGCCGACCCTCGCCGGATCTGGCGAGGGCGGCCCTCGCCAGCGTCGGACGAGGGCCACCCTCGCCTGGGTCGGCCCTCGCTCGACGCGAGCGAGGGCGACCCTCGCCCGGCCAGTGCGGGCCGCCCTCGCCCAACGCCGGTGAGGGTGACCCTTGCCCAGATCCGCGAGGCGACCCTCGCCAGCCCAGGCAAGGGCCGCCCTCGCCCGACGCCGGCGAGGGTGACCCTCGCCCAGATCCGGCGAGGGCAACCCTCGCCCTCGCCCTCGCCGGAACCTGGCGAGGGTCGGCCCTCGCCCGCCCAGGCGAGGGCAACCCTCGCCCTCGCCGGAACTGGCGAGGGTCGGCCCTCGCCCGCCCAGGCGAGGGCAACCCTCGCCAGCCCAGGCGAGGGCAACCCTCGCCAGCCCAGGCGAGGGCAGCCCTCACCCGACGCCGGCGAGGGCCGACACCGGCGACCTCCGCCGGCCATGGCGGTGGCCGGCGGAGGGAAGAAGGAAAAAAAAAAAGAAAAGGAAAAGGAAAACAAAAAAACAGAAAAAAGAAAAAAGAAAAAATAAAAAAGTAAAAAAAATACTGTTCCGGTAGCCGGAACAGTAAATTCTTGCCGGCCGGTGAGCATTTATCCAGCCGGTGAACTCAGGTACCAAATTGAGATTGAATGGGCACTTTGGGTACCAAATTGAGACTGAATGGGCACTTTGGGTATCAATTTGGGACTATGTTCACTTTAGGTACCAAATTGAGAAAAAGGCCCCACTTTGGGTACAAAAATAAAATTTTCCCACGTTTTAAGGATTATTTGTGTTGTTATCCCATCAAAATTCAATTCAACTGTGCTTATATGAATGTATGTAACCTTTCCGTAAACTCTGTTTTGCTGGAGAAGGGAAGATGACGAAAAGCAAAATGGTATATGCTCAGAGACGCAAAGTTGAACGAAGCACAAAAAAGCTCAGCCATGAATGATTCACGCCTCAAGTACGTTGAATTCATCGCTCTTTGAGAGAGAGAGAGAGAGAGAGAGAGAGAGAAGCAAATGACTAAATATGATACAGAGAGACGTCCTTAGCGATAGCGAAACAGAGGAAAATGACAAAACAGAGCATCCCCTCGCAATCCATCACAGATTACCAATATCTGGTTCCAATTCCCTTCCACTCTCTCTCTCTCTCTCTCTCTCTCTCTCTCTCATTGTCGCTCCACTATAAATTATAGTGCTTCATTCATGTCCTTCTTGACCGAATCTGCAACCACAAGAGTGCCAATAATGTCCTCTGTTCTCCCACTTCCAAGCCATTTGTCACCCTAACCACCTCCTTCCAATTTGACGCATCATGGCTCTGCTTCACGCCAACCCGAAACCCTTCCTTCTCTCTCCTCGCCGCCTCCCAATTCGCTCCTCAACCCACCACCCGACTTCGTTCAACAATCGTCAGAAACTCAATCTCATTCTCCGCCCGCCAATCCAATACAATGCGCTTCGCGAATTCGCAATCCCAAACAATCTCCCCAGCAAAAACAGAACGTCCCGGCTCAATGCCGAAGCCGGGTCGGTCGGAGTCTCCGAACCAGGGGCCGCGAGCGGGAGGAGGATTTTTCTGTCGGACGTGGTGGTGAAGAGGAAAAGGCGAGTCTTTTCGGGGAGAAAGTGGAGTTCCCTGGACATTGGGACTGCTGTTGTCGTTTTGGCAATGCATTTGCTCGGCTTGTTAGCGCCGTTTTACTTCTCTTGGAGCGCCTTCTGGGTCGCCGTTTCGTTGTACGTAGTTACTGGTCTGTTAGGCATTACGCTGTCGTTTCACAGGAACCTTTCCCACAGGAGCTTCAAGCTGAGCAAGTGGCTGGAATACTTGTTTGCTTATTGTGGTGCCTTGGCTCTTCAGGTTAGATAAGAAACAGATGAAATGGGGAAAAAGTTTGATTTTTGATGGGCTTTTCTTTGTGGGTTAATTTGCTATTTTTCTAAATGGGATTTTGCAGGGTAATCCAATAGATTGGGTGAGCACACACAGGTACCATCACCAGTACTGTGATTCGGAGAGAGACCCTCATAGTCCCCTTGAAGGCTTTTGGTTCAGCCACATGAGTTGGCTCTTTGATACCAACTCTGTTGTTCAAAGGGTATCAAACATGAAACTCTCTCTCTCTCTCTCTCTCTCTCTCTCTCTCTCTCTCTCTCTCTCTCTCTCTCTCTCTCACATTATAAGGGGAATGATGTATATATGAATGACATTTGTTTACAGTGTGGAGGACCAAACAATGTGGGGGATTTGCAGAAGCAGCCATTTTACAGGTCCCTGCAGAGCACCTACATTGCACACCCCATTGCACTTGCTGTTCTGCTCTACGCATTGGGAGGAGTTCCTTTCCTTGTGTGGGGAATGGTAAGTGAAAGATGATTTCTCCGATCTCATCTTCTATATCTGAACACAGTCACTGAACACCACTAGATTTGTCCAGATTTTTGTCATCTTCTGTCACGATCCTCTCCATCTGATGTCTAAGGCATCAGCTAAGTCTTGTGGGCCTAATTTTTCTTCGGCCACTCATATTGATGGGCCAGCTCAGGCATCGCAGACTCCATGAGCTGGGTCTATAGACTTTTTGGACTCTTCTTTGTTCAAACAAAGCACTTGTTTCTTTACTTTAGGGTGTTTTGGGATTGAGAAATTGCTGTTTTAAGCTAGAACAGAAAATACCAAGCATTCCATTAATCATGATTTTCCAACAGAACCATTTTAGTTTTTGGAATCTGTGGACTATGAGCGTGCTTTGTGAATGTTTGGTTCAACTTCAGATTTCTTTTCCAAATTCTTGTTGCTTTTTGAAATTGCTCATTAACTTTTTTGTCTCTTATATGAGCTTTCTTTGCTGTGTAGGGTGTAAGAATCGTATGGGTTTATCACATCACATGGCTTGTGAATTCAGCTTGCCATGTCTGGGGAAGGCAAGCATGGAACACTGGGGACTTATCAAGGAACAATTGGTATTGTAATTTTTGTCCCCAATTTCTCACATATTCATTCTTCTTGGTTTTTTTTTTTTTTTCGATCAAAAAAGTACCTCATTCAATAAGTGCCATAATTAAAATAAAGATGTTCGATATCGAAACATAAAAGATCCTAAAGGGGTTTGGGAGTTTTAGTAATCTAATTAGAGGGGAGGGCGTTTTTATGAAGGGCTTTGGTGATACAGTCCGCCATATGATTTGCGCGGACAATGGACTAACGAGTGCTTTTAAACTGGGCCAAACTCCTTTCGCAATTCTCCATAACAGTCCGGATACGCCATGGGCTTAGATAAGTGCCTGCTATAAGCCCACGTACTAATTAGCTATCACTTTCGAGCTCTAGCTTCGGAGTAGCTTCTTGGTTATTAATTTATTCACAGATGTGGGTTTTTGTTTCGTATAGGTGGGTGGCAGTTCTTGCATTTGGTGAGGGTTGGCACAACAATCACCATGCCTTTGAGTACTCGGCTAGGCATGGGCTAGAGTGGTGGCAGCTTGACATGACATGGTATGTGGTGAGGCTTCTTCAAGCTCTTGGCTTGGCCACCGATGTGAAGTTGCCCAATGAAGCACAGAAGCAGCGCTTGGCATTGAACATGGGCACCACCAGTTGAATCTGGAAAGTCTAGTCGAAGGCCTAATTTCAACAGTTTTGAGATGGATTGCCTCCAATTTCCTATTGACCTCCTTTTAAAGGCCTTTGCAAGCATGAAAAGCCACTGATTTTTGACTGAATGTATATTATAGAAAAACTTATATGCATTACGCTGGATTTAATTCCAATGAGAAGAGAAACTCGATTATGTGAACTTCACCATGTACTTGAGCTTTGCATGGATAAAGACCCCCACTATGTTGAACGCTTACAATGACAAATGTAATGTCATATATCTGTAACGATGACAGATTAAGAAAACCAGATTTGCAGAAGCAAGAATAAGGAGATGTTAATTCACAATTGCGTTCAGGTCTCCAGCCTGTACAGTTTGGATGAATATTTGAAAGAATTGGATGTTACTTGAATGAATCAGATAGCTACACATGGATATACAAATTGAGAACATTAATGCTCTGGTTTCTGGGTTGGCTTCAAATGTGTACTAGGACTTGAGAGAACTCCGGACTGTCTTGTTCTTACGAAAATGAGTTTAGAAGGAGCACAGCCGCACCAGTTGTGAGCGCCAACATGTAGGAAGAACTAAAAAACTCCTGAAAAACATCATGTAAAAGAACAATGCATCAGAGCAAGAACAACATTTCGCTGTGCATAAAGCTGCCAATAGACGGGTACAACAAAAATGGCACGTTGGTATCGTCTTGTTATTAGCCCTAAATACCAACGTAAAATCTCCCATTGTTATGATGATATGAATTAATAGAAGTAGCAAAAGTTTGGTCAACATGTGCGATCGAGATTTCGAGAATATGAATGCTAAATGTGATCATCAAAATTCAGGCCCTTGCAAGTACACTCCCAGCTAGTAATCTAGGAGAGTCCTGAAACTCTCTTTGAAGACTTCATCCTGGCAATTACGGAAAAAAAAAATGAAGGATAGGATAGAGAAGCTAACAGAGAGATCCTGTACCTTGAAAGAGATCCGAGTCGAGGCTGCTTTAGAAGATACAAGACCAGTAAACCCAATATCGTACGAGATGCTCCCATCAGCCTTAAACAATCCGAAGTTCCTTTCGGAGGTTGGTCCGGGCTTCAAATTTTCATTGAACAACGCGAACACGTATGCCTTCACTGCGATCTTAGGTCTGTAAGGTGTGCCCTTTTTTTTCGCAAGCTTTTTACGCAGGTTAGAGTTGTAAGCCTTGGCGTTCTTCATTGTGGCCCCAGCTTCGTCTGCATCACCCTTGGAAGCCCAGCCTGTTTCCGACACAATGATCTCCATTTTTGGGAACCCGACCTTTTCAAGAGCTGCATATGCTGCATCTACCTGAGCCTCAAACATGTTGTCGTAATGCAAATTCGTCTTATCATCATGTATGCCCTGATTTGATTGGAACAGGGCGTAGTTTACGTCGATGTGCTCAGGATCGCTCTTATATGCTAGGAAGGGATATGCGTTTATGTAAAATGGAGATCCAATCCGGGAGAAGAACTGTAAAAGAGGCTTCATGTATTGAAGGACATCCTCCTTGAAAGCCCCTGCAGAAGGAGGGTATGAAGTCGCAAAGACGGCTTCCGAATGCGCAGTCTGGACTTGAATGCTATTGGTCAAGCCTAGACGGTGAAGCGCGTTATAGACATTTTCAGCTGCTGGAAGCAAGACTTCCCAAAGTTCGGGATCAGTACTTCCTAAAATCTCATTTCCTACAGCGATTCCACGGATGCTGGTCCCTGGGAGGTATGGCTGGACATTCTCTTTAATCCAATTCATCGCGCGGTCCTCACCTACGCTTATATCTTTCAAATACTCGTTACCAAGGCCGACGACTATTTCAATACCAGAGTTCTTAAAGGCGGTGAGGACGGACTGATCAGCATCATAGATTCTGATGTTCTTGATCTTTGCCGCTCTGAGGAGGGTCACCACGCTACTAGGCGCAGGTATATTATCTGCGATTCTTCCATAGCACACTCCATATGTCCCCGTGAAAGCATGCGCTGTCAAAATAACTGAAGGAAGGAGAGCCTTGTGAGCCAAGCATTAGAAAATGAACTTCTAAAAGTGTATGTTTATATTCATATGAAGACTTCTTCCTTCTAAGCAGTTAATGAACTTCTATCACAGCATTTCCATCCTCTCGGTAGCATTAAATGTTCAAAAGCCACAAAGTGTAATCAATAATCAATTACAAAACTTTTCTACGCAAAATTTCAAATTCTTGACAGAACATCTGAATGCAAGTGCAACTGCAATAAAAAACTTAGAAAGAGAGGATCGAGATTGTGCATACCATTAGGAGTTGCGAAAAAGAAAATGAGAAGGAGCCAGAGGAAGAAAGAGGAGAAATCCTTCATTGTTAGAGAGGAGGGGAAAACAAGGTTATGCAGAGAATAGCATTCCACTTGTAGAAAGGATGAAATGCGGTGTGACCCTGTATTTAGTAACTCAAGAACTTGTGACAAAAAACCCATAAAACAATTCTTTGGATGATTCAAATGCTTTTCCTTGAGGCATGCCCATGGACCAACCCAGATTCTTAACCTTGGTCCAAAGATGGTGGCAGAGACAAAAACACCACCCCACGCAGAGATTCTTGACGTTAATCTAAAGAAGGAAAGAGAAATGGGTTGGTTTGGCTAAGCTAAAAGGGCTTGGAATAGATTCTTCCTTTGCCCTCACTTTTTTTCTATCCTCTCAGAAAAAGATACTTTATCTACATTCCTTGATATTCTTTCTTTACTTTGGATGTTTTCATTTACTTCTCTCACAGTTAAACCATGTTACGATTCAATCTTTGCCTGATATTTGGTTTATCCCTCGTGCTACAGGTTCATATCAACCAAACAGGTGAGTAAATTATTCGATAAAACAAGTTCATGCATGGCCCCAGGTGCCTTTTTGCTTTTTTATCAGCTTATGAAGAAAAGAAGAATATATGAGTGTACAACGATGCCCCTGGGCATTGTTGATTGATTTGACCACATGATACGAAACGAAACCCGAAACACACAGGAGTGCTTCTTGGTTCTTGGTTCTTGAATGAGCGCATGTGACTTGACCACATATTGAAGTTACTTTACAAATGGCTGTGATTTGACCACATGATGCGTAACGAAACCCCAAAGCTGACGTTTTGAAGATCGTTCTTGCTTCTCAAACGTTGCTGAGGTGTAGCAGGGAATTTCAGAGAATGGTCAAGTTCTCTATGTGTATATTTTTTACTCCTTATTCTGTGAAATTTCTCACTTATGTACGTTTGAGACTGCAGAACTTGGATCAATTACTTCCTCGGGACTTAGCCTCAAAAGGTTACGCTGAGGTAGCCCGAAAAAATTCGCACTTTCTTCTTTTTCTTTACAGGAACAAGTATGTCTGGTCTGACACTTTTCCAGATTAAGCTAGTTCAGCTACAAAACACACCCAGCGCCATCGGGCAAAGAAAAAAGCAAACTGTTCTTTGGCCATTTACTTTCCTTTTGTTTCTAACGAGAGACTTTGCGACCTCAGTTAAAATAGAGAAACCTTTTCGAAACAAGTTTGACTTTCCTGTATTAAAAGAAGACCCACGATCCCAAAAGTTACAGCTGTGGCTGGAAACATGACCACTTTCCATAGAATAACACCAATGAAGTTTGTGCGTGCGCGCATGTAAGAGAGAGAGAGAGAGAGAGAGAGAGAGAGAGAGAGAGAGAGAGAGAGAGAGAGAGAGAGAGCTACCATATATCTTATTCATCTGCCAAGTGCATCAGAGAATTTACGCGGCATCTCAAGATATTCAGATACTTAGTTAATTCCCGTCGACCAACATAGGCAGCTTCCCTACTATCTATTCAAAATGAGTAACAGGGAAAAAGCTCAAATGCCAATAAACTAGGGAGTCATATTATCATGTGATTCCTCATAGTCAGTATACAAAGCGTTTCTTGATTAGTAACTTCTCTTTCAAGCAAAGAATGTATGTTACAGCAGCCGATAAGAGCATTTGGAACCTCTAAACATCTTTTTAAGCTCGCGCGATTTCTTCAGTCATATAGTCCCTCCTGTTCCCAGGTGTCCACGAGAAAATCCACCATTTCCTGTCAGATGATGAAGTTGCACAAAGTTCATGCATAATATACATCTCCGAAAAAAATTAGCCCGCAAGTCAAAGACTTACCGAGAGAGGGATAGGCTGCGGGAAAGGCTTGTCGCTCCCAACTAAGTTATCATATGTAACATTCCAGCTGCAAAGCCAGACAGAAATTGATTCAACAATGCAGGGGCTGCAAGTTTCACATAAAACAACCACACATTGTCCATGCACTCTCACAGAGAACCAGACTTTGATGACAAGATCTACTCTACAGAGAGTTCCCACACATCAGACAAACTATTGGCAACACAATAGTGACCTCAAAAATATGCCATTATTAAAAATCACATTTATGTAAGATGATGAGTGACGTCCACAGATAAAGAATGTCAAAATGATGCAATTAAATGGGACAGAGCAATCCAGCAATTCCAAAATCTTTCTAGTCACACAAGACCGAAATCATGTCGGAAGATTGCTTTGCTTAATTGAGGCAAAAAGTACGAAAATGCTAGTCTAATTGGCTCTGCTAAATTGTAATTTAGTCACAAGAAACTCACTTTAATTTAGGTTGAACTTGTTGCGTCTGGTTCTCAGACCTTTTGTTACCTCTCCAACGCTGTCTAGTCTGATTCCAGAGCATAAGACCTACAAGCAAAACTTTTCATGTCAGGTAAAAAAACAGACAGACATGCATGCTCTAGTGGTAATTATCCCCATATACCAGAAAACAACCCAGCAAAGTGGAACAACGCATGTCAACACATTATCTTCACGTCATTGCATGGTATCTTAATGCATCTGACCATTTAAGGATATCAGAAAGCAAGTTTATTTTCAAAGATGGTCCAACCGGGAAGACAGATCATGGTATGTCAGTTTTGAGGCAACATTCTTCACATCACTCCGACAATTCGTATTTTGAAATGGTATCAAAATAGCCATTCTAGCAAGCACCCTTTGTTTCTCTTGTTAATGGAAGCCTGACCCAAAGGACAATCCACAATCGAAAAAACTCGCCATGATTAATGAATTCAGAAGGTGTCCCAGGATTGCCAGCTTGTGGGTCGATAGTCTGGTTTGAAGTACTGATTGATGAGATGCTTCCCTGTGACTGAACTGCACTATTGTCCATATCAAATGTGCTACTGCTCCAGAAGTCTTCTGATTTGCTTGGATTTTTCAACTTCTGATCATGAACTTCTGACCCTTTTGATGGCGCATCCACTGCAGTAGTCAGTTTGGGCTTCAAACAGCATCCAAAACAACTTCTGCTCTGTTACAAATCATATTAAATCATGTAGGAACATACAACAAAGCAAATCCAGGCTAGAAGAAGTCAAGAAGCATAAGAAGCATATTCGTTTTCTTATGCGACTGGAGTACAATAACAAGGAAGGGGTTAAGGCTGAGAGAGCACAAGAAGCAGCTCTAATTTTTTCCCTTTTCATTAGATAGGAAGGGGTCGTTGGTGAGAAAGCATGACATCTAAATCATCAGCCGCAAACAAGAATGTTAAAAAAAAAAACCTTCCAGAAGAAGTTATGTACGAGGCCTATATTCAGCGACCCTTTCCAAAAGATAAGGCTTCGCTTACAGAAAGAATTCCTAATTGCCATGGAATGACAAACATCCTGACCATAACCAGTAACCTTGCTATGATGTGTAATCATTTACAATCTTTCTTGAAGGCAAAAAAGAGAGCTTGAATTACATGATAAATAATTTCATACTTCTTTCATAGATGCATTTTCCAAATATCACAAAAGCATAACATTCCCTCTAGGAAAGGATAAACCAAATGCAAAGCATATCACTGGATAGAACAGCATCGTCTCTCATATCTAATGATCACTAGAGACTGAGTAATGAAAGAAACAGATAATATCCCTACTTCTCAGGAACACCTCGTCCCATGAAAGTCCATTCTTGAACAAATTCTGAAGAAGTGCTTCACAGACTATACCAAATTATACGGACAAACACACAACAGAAAAGAAACCTCAGGAACTTCATATGCAGCATGAAAATCTCAAGAACTTCATATGCAGCACGAAGTGCCACATGACCGCTAATACCAAACAACTTGTGAGCTCAAGTAAATTTGTCCCACCGCCGGCGAAGAATTCGCTACTTTCAGAGCAAATACCCTCGCAGGAACAGAAAAATCACTCATCAAATTCCTCAGCAAATGAAGCAGCAAGGATGCGATCAGTGCATTGCAATCTTTTGATCCCCATCCCATGATTAACACATAACTTCATCGAGACCTATGCATACAAAGAACTCCCCCACTACCGCTGACTAAAACAAGCTGGTCAGATTCCTCATCCACTTCCCCAAAGCAAGGAGCACTTAAAAAACCCCCAAATACGAAAACAGATTACTCGGTTATTCCACACACCGAACGTAGTTCTCCACCAATCTCATCCAAAAAAGGAAGAAACTTTATGCAAACCCCAAATCCAAAACTGAAACTTTGAAGTGGGAAAATTACCCCATGCATGGAATATGTCAAGAAACAAATCCGGGAGCTGGAGCAGATTGGCCCGTGCGTGTACCCAGGAAAGAGCCACCACAAAGGCCTGACAGAGAGACAATCACAAACCTGAAAAACAGAGGAACAGATCATCAGAAAAATCTTTGCTAGAAATTCAAAAGGGTAAGAAGATGGGAAGATACCCACCTCGGAAACTGTCCATGCGATCTTTTCGTCTTCTTCTTTCTCCTCTTCTCCGTTGATCTCCTGTCCGTTTTTTCTTCAGTTCTGATCACCTAACGCAGGACAGAACAGATGGGTTCTTGTCTTTGGATTCTCTGTCGCTCCTCCTGTGCCGTACTGCTATTGGGGAACGTAACCCACGCTAAAACTGAACAGAATATTTTATTGATAAAAAATTTATCTGCCTTATTTAAGTCAAAAACTCCGTTTTTATCTCGCTTTTGTATTTTCCAGTAAACCCCTTATACATTTATTTTCCTATTTATAAACCAGATAGAGAGCTTGATCAAAAAAAAAAAAAACCAGATAGAGAGAGAATAAAAAAAAACGTAAATTTAACCCAAGAAAAATGACGAAAAAAATATATAAAGTAATTAACCACTCGCTTATTATTAAAAAAAAAGTGCACTTAGTAGAATTACTTTATTGTCTTATAGTGGAGTCAACCCCATCCTGCACTCTATGGAACGATTTTAGAATGCTTCTCTCTTTTATCTATTTATTGAACTTTAAATAAATATCCGTTTCTAATCATTGAAAATATGACGAAAATGTTGATTTAATAATTTTATAATTCAGGGAAAAATATTCTGTATAATTATAAATAGAGAAAATGGTGTTAAGTACTTTTTCGTGCGGTCAAATTTCTTAATAATTTGACTGCACTTATTGAATTAGTAGAGTTTCATAAAATATAGTAAAATTCTTCTAACTCGAGGACGTTGCCATGAGTAAATTATCCAGTAATAAGTAATTTTCCTCAATCAGCCACAGTGGGTAGTTCATTATGGTTAGTAATTTTCTATCATTAGTAATAACTTCCCTTTTATATTTCGTATGTTGTCGATGGAATTACTAAAATTGTAATTTTCCTCGATAGGTCATAACTTGTAATTCCTGTTCTTAATTATTATACCTCCAACTATTGGTAATTTGCCTGAAGTCTTCGTGATCTCAATTGCACCCATAGTAACTTTCCTTTTTTTGTGTCGTAATTTAGTTATGCGGATCGTCACAAGAAATTTATATCACTTCGTAATTAGTCGATGGGATAGGAAGGTACCTGTAGTCGTCTTAAGAGATAGAACTTATAGTCAATAATTGACCTCAATAACCGTAAAGTCTCTTATAAGTTTATATATATAATGGTTAGTAATCTACCTTTGGAGATAGTAAATTACCTCAAACTTTTGCAAGCATGTAGGTTCTCATGATTGTATCTTCGAAATAAGAACAACATAACTATCATAAAACTTTCATATGACGCTCACTTGAATGTCGTAACTTTTTTTTTTCACTCACTTAATTGCCACAAATTTGAAAAATTGATCAATTAAGTGCTATTGATTATTTGTCTCGCCGGAAAATCTGAAGAGTCATTAAAATAAATTAAACCGTTCGACATGGCGTGCCGGCAAGCTAAAGTCAGCAATTGAGATGGTAAACGATGTCACTTACTCATCTAATTAAAGAAACTTAACCTTACTTCGACAAATTGGGATAAAATTCAATTTTCCTATTTAAAAACCCTAATTGCTTAATCACTCGTATTTCCCCAGTCCCAAGGCACAAAACCTCATAGCCTATCGTGTTTCTCTCACCGAGTTTTGCTAGAAAAACTCTAAGAGGCACTCTAATCAACTTGTGATTGTGTTCCAAACAAGACAGGAGAGAAATCCTACTTAAACACGGGATACCGCGACAAAACGCGTCTTCCCTGGGAACTCGGACAAAACCTGTCCGGACATGCGCCCCTGACTAGGTACCCTCGCACAATTTGGCCAGACACCTTGAATGTCCAGAAAGCATTTATCTTTCTGGGCTGCTGATCCGAAATATTTTCGGGATAATCTTCTCTCTCATGTATTACAGAGTTGGGATTCGATCCAAACTCCAAAACAACAGATTTAGGCTCCGTTCGTTTGGCGGAAAATATTCTCCTTTTGGAAAATATTTTCCCGGAAGTCATTTTCCTGGAAAATGTTTTCCTGGAACATAATTTTCCGGTGTTCGGCGATCAATATGAAAAAGTTTCGGAAAATATTTTTCGCCGGCGACCGGCGGCGGGCGGCGACCGGCGGCGGCGGCGGCGGCCGGCGACCTTAGTGAAGAAGAAGAAGAAGAAGCTCCGGAAAATGATTTCCGCTTTTGAAGAAGCGGAAGTCATTTTCCGTAGACTTAGGTTATTTTGTGAGGGGGGGAAGGAAAATATTTTCCCACGGAAAACGTTTTCCGCCCTCCGAACACCGGAAAACCCGGAAAATATTTTCCGGGAGAATATTTTCCGCCAAACGAACGGAGCCTTAAAAAGAAATTGATCCACAAAACTTAACACATCTTTCGCCCATACTGCATTTGGTCGACCGGATAAAAGCCAGGATAGGATATGTTTTATCCTATCTTGTGTTTGGTGGTGGTCCAGGATAGGATAAGGTCGGATATAGACCGGATATAGCCCTGATAAAAAAATCCGAGGGGGGGTGGGATAGACCTGGATAGGATTTCTAATGTCTATTTTTCCAGAAACCCTACTCTCCACTCGCCGTCATCTTCATCCCCACACCTTGTGCACTTTCACCAAAAAAATTTCTCGGCTTTTTTTCCTTCACCGACTCCTCTAGACCCGTGAATAGCAAAAAAAAAAAAAAATTTATCCTATCCGACTTTAAATCCGTAATCCACCAAACAATGGATAGGATATGAAGAAATACCAGGATTTCTTATCCTATCCTATCCAGTCCTATCTTGTTTAAAAATCTGGACGACCAAACGCAACCTAAACTCCAATTCTTCAAATTGGGGCAAGATTCATCGAGCGACAAGCCCTAAGTTCTCCCTCCAAGCTGTCGCCTTTTTAGTCTGTGTCCAGTGAGAGAAAATGACGAGCAAGAGCTCACTCGAGAAGCCCTAAATTCTAAAAGAGAGCTGGATTTGGGGTTTTTCATAGACAAGCTCACTCGAGAATCCCTAAATTCTTAAAGAGAGAGCTCAATTTGCTTCAGAGACGAAGTGTTAAAGAAGGTCAAGAAGCCCTAATTTGCAATTAGAGAGAAAAGCTCGATTTGGGATTTTGGGCTTATTGAGATTCAAAGACAAATTGTTAAGAAAGAGAGAGAGAGAGAGAGCGCGAAACGACGTCATCGTTCGAGGAAGAGAGACGGAGTGCAAATGTCGTTGTTTCTGTTAAAGAGAGAGAGACGACGTCGTCACTTTATGTTGAACAAAACTTTCATTTATTTTTAAAATTCCAAGTCAGAATGAGAAATTACGTAAAAATTCACGTAAAAAGACTTGCCAAAAACGTACGATTTTACTCTGATGTGATACTTAGGGTGAGCGAAAAAAAATTATGGCACTCAATATTCCTTATATCTTCTCTCTAAAAAATTACTGTAACTTCCTCTTTCCCTCTTCTTAACATCGTTGCTCTCAAATTCGTAATCAATGGATCTTATTCAAAAGCAATAATCATTCATTGTCGTAATTTCCACTAATTAATTGTAAAATTGCAACCCCATTTCTGTAAACATCCTTTAATGCCGGTAAGTTACGGCTTTTAATAGGTAACGGTCGTTTTTTGTAAATTGATCTAACGGACAAAATTGTTCCGCTTTAAATCCAATAGCCCATATTTGGGAAAAGTGCCAAAAAAATTCTAAACCTTTTGCATTGGTGCCAATTTAGTCTTAAACCTTTTTTTGGTGCCAATTCAGTCCTAAACCTTTTGCATTGGTGCCAATTTAGTCCTGAACATTTTTTTTTGTGCCAATTGAGTCCTAAACCTTTTGCATTGGTGCCAATTCAGTCCTAAACCTTTTGTCTTTGTGCCAATTCAATCCTTCCGATCAATTTTGGCCGGATTTTGCTGACGTGGACGACGACCAGCCGGCGGCCGATCACCGGCGCTGACGTGGACAATTTTAATAATATTTTTTTGAATTTTTTTGATTTTTTTGATTTTTTTTCTTTTCTCTTCCCTCCCTCCAGCCGGTCGTCGGACCAGCGACCGGCCGGTGGCCAGAGACCAAAGGCCGGCGCCGGCGAGGCTCGCCCACACCAGCCACTGGCGAGGCTCGCCCTCGCCGGTCACTGGCGAGGGCGAGCCTCACCGGCGGCTGGGCGAGGCCGCCCTCGCCAGTGGCCGGCGTGGGCGAGCCTTGTCGGCGCTGGCCTCTGGCCTCTGGCCACCAGCCGGTCGCCGGTCCGGCGACCGGCTGGAGGGAGGGGAGAGAAAAACAAAAAAGAAAAGAAAAGAAAGAAAAAAATTTAAAAAAATATTAAAATATTATTAAAGTTGTCCACGTTAGCGTCGGTGACCGGCCGCCGGCCGGTCGTTGTCCACGTCAGCAAAATCCGGCCAAAATTGATCGGAATGACTGAATTGGCACAAAGACAAAAGGTTTTAGGACTGAATTGACACCAATGCAAAAGGTTTAGGACTCAATTGGCACCAAAAAAATTTTTGGACTAAATTGGCACCAATGCAAAAGGTTTAGGACTGAATTAGCATCAAAAAAAAGGTTTAGAACTAAATTGGCACCAATACAAAAGGTTTAGGACTTTTTTGGCACTTTTCCCGCCCATATTTTATCCCGACCGATCCGGCAAAACACCTCCTAGGACCATAGATTTAATGTGTGCGTGCAATTCAATGAATGTGTGTCAAGGACACATCTCCTAACGATTTTAATTAATATATAATAAACACAATGAATCACCACTAATTCAACATAAGTTAATTTTTGTTTGAATTAATTGACGACGACCTTTCTTTTCTGCAGAAGTTTCTTGATGGCTCCGGAGAAAAAGGCATACAGAATTTAAAAGAGGATGCAGTTCTGTTGAAATTGAGACGTCAATCCTTAGTTAATGAGTCGGTAGGATGGCGCTTTACCAAAATGACAAGGGAGTTTGCTCGTCTCTTTGTGATATCAGTTCAAGTCTTATCGAGAGCATTCGGAGATAAAATAGTGATTTTGAAAGTATCGAACCGATATGAAAGAGTATGCCCTTAAGATTTGTAGGAAAGGTGGACTTATTGGGAGTACGCGAAAGCTGATCCAAACATCACCTGACCGTTCCACAAAAATAAAATGCATTTGCAGATAATTTTCGCAGATTAATCCTGCCACTTTCAGCTTTCCAATAGGGTACTTTTCACCAATCTCAAATGTACATGGGTCTTGGCTTCAATTTATCAACATTTTGATGAAGTGGGTATAAGTTTATCAAGGATCCTACAAAACTGTTTCACCAAAACATTTCGACCAATAATAAGTTAGGGAAAAAAAGAGGATTTGACTTGTTTATCATGAACGCAGCAAACTATACTGCACTACACGCGTATGGCGCTTGATGACAGAGCGAAAGTGACTCAAGGAGCTTGCAAATTCGGAGATGTTCGATCTTGTCTTTACAACTAAAAGCCATAGCTTCCGGCGAAACAAGGTGTATGCGCCATCAAATCACGTGGATCCCACATGGAGTCGGCTCGCTATAGCTTGAGGTCCGGTGAAATAGTCGCGTGTATGAACCCCGAATCACCCGTGAACAACATTCATATAAGATGTCTAAAAGGAGAATATGGTCAAAGTAGATGGCTCGTTACACAACTTGCATCACACATTGATTGGCCTTATATGGGCAAGAACTGGTGAGCGGCAACTTCTCACAAGGTTCCAGCTTACCTCCTCTTTCTCACTGTGGTCCATCCCCATCAGCTCTATTCAGTTCACCTTCACATTGCCCAACTCGCTAGCCAGCTATGTATTTGGAAGATGGGAGATATGTATGGACATATGTCCATAAAAAATGTGCGGTGTGTTCTGCATAGCAATACCAACATAGTTGTTCACTTTCTTCGGCAGCGTTACGAAAGATAACCCAATTTTTCACACCGCGTTAATTCTACCGACCATGTATCGCTTCATTTAAATAGATATCTACATACCGAGCACAAATTTTGTTTTTGGACAAAACAAAAAAGAGGCGCTTCACATCTATTCATATGTAAGCTGAATCAAGGTTTTATCTATATGGACTTGGTAATATACTGTTAATAAATTTGATCATGCAATTGTTAACAGTTAACACGTCCTTCTCTTATCAAATGAGAAAAGTATTAACTTTTTGATTTCGGCTCCAGAACCATCTGAACAGCTTTAATCAAGCGAATGTGATGGAAGCTCTGATCTTGATGAAGGTTGGAGAAAAAGCCTAGAAACTCATATGAACCAAACGACAGCGACAATTAAAGTAGTCATAAGAAAAAAGTAATCTTCATTTTCCAAAGTCAACGACAAGCATTATTTACATCCACACAAAAAGGCACAGATCTTTTCTTTCCACAGAAGGAGCACAAAAACTATTTGCCCCTTTCTTGCTCTGTTTTCAGAGCCACACATCTGTTTACCACGAGTCAACAGCGGGAAAGACGTGGAAAATCAAAGAAGAACTAGAGTTAGATTGTACACCAAAAAGTGAAAAGAAGAAAGGAAAAACGATTGGAGTTGATGAACTAAATTGATCAGTGCGAGCACTCCATCCGGTTGGCTCGATCCCTGAGGATTCCACTGTACAAGGCGATTCTGTTTGCAGGAATTTCAGGAATTTCGCTCCTGCAACTTCTCTCGACAGGACTTGATGCTCTGATCTTCTTCATCTTCATCCTGAACTCATCCCCATTCCCTCTTGGCTCCTTCACGTCAGCCGCAAACCGTACCTTCTTCTTTCTTTCCTTCTTTTTTCCATCTGCCAAACAGAACAGATGATGTGAGACAAGACCCATGGGTCAATCTTGTTTTTTCATTGAAAAAAACCGGGGGAACAGAACTACCAGGTGAAGAGAAGAAACACTGCCCACCCAAGAACGGAAAGGAACACGAAGCCAAGTACCTGAACATAAGCAAGATCGCAGAATTTGCTCGGGGGGCTGAGGTTCTTGGTCAGGAAACGGGGGTTTTTGCCTGGAAAAAGCAAGAAACAGGATGGTGCTGGAGACAGCAGCCATGGCCGTTGTAGCTAAGACCAGACTCGGTGAGTTCATCGTAGAAGACGATGACGACTGCAGTGATGAAGATGATGATGGAGGAGGGAGGAGGGAGAGCGCCAGAGAGCGAGGACAAAGTTGAATCCGTTGCATGTGACGGGAGGCGTGAACAGGGGAGATGTCTATTTATATGCAGGGCAGGAGCTTGTTGCTTGTTGGCACCCGTGGAAAAAGCCCAGGAAAGTCTCTGTCTTTTCCTTTTGGGAAAAAACCACCAAAAACCCCAAACTTTATCACTTGTGACATATTTACCCCGAACTTTTTTTTGTGTCATGAAAAACCCCAAACTATGCAACTTGTGACACATTTACCCCAATATACTATAGCCTAGGGCATTTTAGTCTTTTTCCCTTTTTCTATTTTTTTCTGCTTTTTTTTTCTTTTTTCCAGCAGGGGCTGCCCTCGCCGGCGAGGTCTCCGGCGACCTCGCCGGCGAGGGCGAGGGCTACCGCCGGCGTCGGGCGAGGCGGCCCTCGCTGGCGGGCGAGGAAGCCCTCGCCGGCGACGCCGCAGGCGGCCAGCTCCCGCCGCCCGGGCGAGGGCGTCATCGCCTCGCCTGGGCGGGGCAAGGGTCCCTCGCCGACGCCGGCGAGGCAAGGGCGCCTCGCCCGCCCGGGCGAGGGGCCTTCGCCTCGCACGGGCGGGGCGAGGGTCCTCGCCCAACTCCGGCGAGGTGAGGGCCGCCTCGCCGGGCGGGGCGAGGGTCCTCGCCCTCGCCGGCGACCTCACCCCAGGAAAAAAAAAAACAAAAAAATAGAAAAGGGAAAAAGACTAAAATGCCCTAGGTTACAGTATATTGGGGTAAATGTGTCACAAGTTGCATAGTTTGGGGTTTTTCTTGGCACAAAAAAATGTTCGGGGTAAATGTGTCACAAATGGTAAAGTTGGGGGTTTTTGGTGGTTTTTTCCCTTTCCTTTTCTCCTTTTTTGCTTGTTTTGCTTCGGAACTTGACACCTTGGTTGGACTGGGAAAGTAGAGTTTGATTTGTGGTTAATGCAATGCCAAAATTACTTAAGGAGAAACTATAGACTCTCCCCCTAGATCATATACCATAAAAGGGGTCCGGTGCTCGCTCGATTCACCGAGTTAGAATCACGGGAAAGGATGAATCTCCTAACGAGCCTTCCAATGCCGACACGAGACCCGTTCCGAAACCCCTTTTTCCATCCTAGTCCCAAGGTTCGGGACCACAAATTAGGGGTAATGTCCAAATCCTTGTGGGGGAGTTTCATGGATTTGGGGAATGTATGGGTAAGAGGTAGGTGGAATTTAGGTAAAGTGCAAAGTTCAAGGCGTGGGGGGATGAGAGAGCAGACGTGGGCATCTCCAGCTCGGTCTCGCTTTAGCTCTCGTTTTCCAAACTGAAAAAAAGGCGAGGAAGTGTGGTGGGTGAAGAATCGGTGTTGGGTTTGGCTTCCTTCTCCAATGCGATGCACCGCACGCAACGGCGAAAGAGGAGAGACCTTCAAGAACAGTCAACGGTCAACCCGGTCGTGGACTTCTAGAAGAGACGTAGGATTAGTATCCCTTTTCGTCCATCGTTTGGATGACTGATGACTGAAGCTAAATTAGACATTTTTTTTTTCATGATGGTACGACATTTATCGTTTAACTTTGGATGGTTGATATGTGTACTGTTTTTTTTCCTTTTTCTTTTTCTTTTTGTTTCCATGTTTGGTCATATTTTCTTTCTCATGACATGGAGGGGCTTAGGAAATGAGAGATCGAGGGCGAATCGCCGTCGCTGACCAACGCTGCCAAGAGCCCTTGCCGTCGCGCTTCTATTCGTCGGCGACACCAACCCCTCGCCCACTCAACTCATCTGGCTCCTCTCTCTCTCTCTCTCTCTCTCTCTCTCTCTCTCTCTCTCTCTCTCTCTCTCTCTCTCTCTCTCTCTCTCTCTTTATGCCAAATTCGCGACTCGCGGCTATGGAGATCGCAACCTCGAAATACGAGGCCGTATGTGACACCCCAGAACGTCACGCGCAACACGTACCAATTAATATTATTAAAAAAAAAAGGCCAGCGGAAGTCAAAGTCTGAACAAGTTTTGTCAAAAATACTTTTGCTTCTCATTAACGACACTTGTGAGAATTACAAGTCCAGACAAAACATCATAAAATCACAAAGAACAAACATCTGGGTAGGTCGAGGTTGCCTATCTCCATGCTACAATTTACTCCAAAGACGGCCCGCACAAAAGTAGACTTTACAACGAGTCGTAGATGTCGTCGCCTTCATATCAACCAAAATCCCGCATCTACCCATATAGTAGATATACATCTAGTACAAACTATATCCACCCTCGGGACAAGCATATCAACGTCCTGGCATTCATAGTATTTAGGGAAAAACCAGCAAGCATCGGTAGCAGATTGTCCATTCCTACATGTCTGAAAAATAATGGGATGAGCCGAAGCCCAGTAAATGAAATCTCTAGTTTTAAGTTAGGAAAATCAGCTTACCACTTCACCTGGCATAAACACATATGCATGCATAGCAAACGATATGCATAGAATTTGAATGCAAGTTATACCTTTTCCGTCTGGATGTGCCGCAAAATCTGAATAATGAAACATATCATAATATTTTCACTCAGACGCAAGCATGATGTAAAACATTTATGCTCATGCGATTAGGTTCATTACTTCATCCTCTCGAACACTCCCGGGGCATCCCGACCAACGGGGCATCCCAACTCCGAGGCATCCCGGCACACACCCGGGGCATCCCGACCTACGGGGCATCTCGACTCCCAAGGCATCCCAAAACACTCCCCGGGGCATCCTGACCTACGGGGCATCCCGACACACGGGGCATCGTCACACACCACTAAATGGGCGACGGAATTAATATTATTCTCATGCGAGTCATGACAACCAAGTATTTGCATGCATAAATCCGCTTTGGCCCGTCCCATACCGAGCCATCACGGTTTTTGTACTTTAAAGCCATGAAATGCATCATCCGAGCAATTAAATATGAAGCAATACATTTCAAACTCAGAAGCAAACTTAGCTCATAAGTAAATTCGGGTTCAGAAGCAAATTCGGTCATCAGAGGTAAGTTCGGATCATCAGAAGCAAAATCGAATTGGTCATCAGAAGAAAATTCGAGTCATCAGAAGGAAGTTCAGACTCAGAAGGAAGTTCAGAAGCAGAAGCAGGTTTAGAATCAGAAGCGAATTCAGACTCAGAAGCGGGTTCAAACTCAGAAGCGAATTCAAATTCAGAAGCGGGTTCAGACTCAGAAGCGAATTCAGACTCAAAAGCGAGTTCAGACTCAGAAGCGAATTTAGACTCAGAAGCGGGTTCAGACTCAGAAGCGAGTTCAGACTCAGAAGCGGGTTCAGACTCAAAAGCGAATTCAGACTCAGAAGCGGGTTCAGACTCAGAAGCGAGTTCAGACTCACAAGCAAGTTCAGACTCACAAGGCTAAAGTTTGAAGGTAAAGTCTGAACGAAAAGTCTTAGCAGTAAAGTCTGGGCAGTTTCAAAGGTACACAAAACCAGATTTTGACAGTAAAGTCTAAGCAGTTTCAAAGATACACAAAACCAGATTTTGACAGTAAAGTCTAAGCAGTTTCAAAGATATATAGAATCATCATTCATACTCACATAATATACTCCACTTTCAGTAAAACGATTTTCTACCCTTTTTAAACATACATAAACCAACAAGAAGAATCCAACAATCACCTCAAAGATAACACTTACACGATCAGATTTAATCGTTTCACTTGCCGATTTTCACCATACTTTAAGGAAACAAATAACATCCATTTGAACATGCACAGAACTAGCAAAACAGATTCAACTATCATCACAACCTCACTATTGCACATCAAAATATCCTTTCTCAAGCGACCAAGTTAAAAGTGTCAGTAGATTTACTTAGCTTAAACCTAGAGTTTTCACTTACCTTGTGCAGAATCTGAACACCCCAAAGGTTAAAACTCTTCCACAGATTTTTGGATCGGTGGTGGTGAGAGTAGAAAATGAAGGAGAGAGTGTAGGTTCATGTGAAATTGTTTTCGGTAATTACCCACACGAAGATGAAAACTGAGAAGTATACGAAGGGGTGGATAATTACAATGCACTCACAGGTGGCATCTTCTCTTTCCATCATGGCCGGGTGTAAGAAATCAGGAAAGGAGTGGTGGCCAAGGAAAATGATTACTTAGGCTAGGTGTCTAGCTCAAGGGGACAAATGGCATTCGGTCAACCTTTCCTTCAATAGTCACGTGAGAGAAGAAGAGTCCAGAAGAGATATTTTTGAGAGAATATCTCCCCCATTTCCTTAACGGCAAATTAGAATAAAAGACTAACACTACTTAACCAAAATTAACCAATAATAATAATACCCACTAAATTCCCAAAACAACTGTAAATTAATTAATACCGTACTACGATTATCGTACACAACAACGTTTAAGATTTTAATTACGACGAGCTCAGGGCGATTACGTTTCCGAATTCGCTTTTCGCGATTTACAATCCAACAACGATTTTTTTCGCGTCCGCACGAATATTAACTTAAATAATACTTAGCTTTATAATCCAAATATCATCTTCGAACATAGAAATTCCCAACATCAATTACTTATTGTTACGAAATTTCCGGATGTCACAACTCTTCCCCCCTTAAGAAATTTCGTCCTCGAAATTCAAAGGTACATGATCTCTCAAAAAGATGATGTGGATATTTGCGTCACATATCCTCTTCACTTTCCCACATTGCTTCTTCCATGTCATGATATTGCCGCAAGACCTTGACCAACTGAATGATCTTTTTTCTCAGAACTTGTTCTTTTCGATCCAAGGTCTGTACTGGTTTTTCCACATAATTTATTCTTTCGTCTACCTCGATCGTCTCAAAATTCAATACATGAGTAGTGTCTGGTTCATATTTCCTTAATATAGATACATGGAAAACATCGTGAATATTGAAAAGTCTGGGTGGTAGGGCTAAACGGTAGGTCAAGTCACCGATCTACTCAAGAATTTCAAAAGGCCCTATAATCCTTAGACTTAGCTTGCCTTTCTTTCCAAATTGCGATATTTCTTTTATTGGTGATACTTTCAAAAATACATATTCACCAACGTTGAATTCCAATGGTCTTCGACGTTTATCCGCATAACTCTCTTGGGCAGTTTTAAGTTAATTCCAATTCACTTTTACAGTATCTGAAGTGATTCGTGTTAACTCCTGTTTCATTAATTTCTTTTCGCCGACTTCACTTCAATAGATAGGAGTTCTACTTTCACTTGTTGATACGTCAAACATTTCGGGCATGTTCGGCGATATCAACCTTTATTCCATTCCACCAATAGTGTTGGTAGAGGTTCTGATACATTTTCATATTTCCTGGATGTACACTATAATTGTTTCGATGTGCTTCTGACAACATCTCGTTTTTAAGTCCTTCCTCTTTAGCTTCGCAATAAGCCCATGAAACCTTACTATTTCATCCTCGGACACTTGAAAATTTGATCTTTCTACCTTCTACTACTTCTTTGCGAATCCTTGAAACCTTAGGATCTGATTGCTGCGTTATCCAAATCCTTTACATAATCTCTGGTTCAATTCTAAGAGTAGCCATTACACTCGTCGAGTTACTTACATTTCTCCTAAAGTCAGAATCAGAAATCTCCCTAAGCAATTTCCATATTTGTCTCTATGGAGTTTGATTTCACCAAAACAAGAACTTGTCTTTGATCGCTATTTAAAAGATCATCTCTTAGACATAAGTAACTATTATCTTCCAAATCATCAGAATAATAGGTCGTCCTCAATTCCACAAATCTTAATGTGAATATTATCAATTAAATGATGAACACCTAATTGAATAACTTCAATTCCTCATATCGCCCAAAGATAAGAACTTACCTATATTCCATTCAATGCTCCTCAAGTTCTATACCTCGAGAATCATCATTCAAACTTTTCACTTCTAAGATTACATCTTAAGCATCCATCTCTTTTCCTTGAAGAGGGTATAATTCATGTTTTCTAATTCCTCAAAACTGTTTAAAAAATCAGGTTGCATCCTACAATCATAAAGATCATGCCTATCACCTCAACCTACAAACCACAAGTGAAATTCCATCACACGTTACAATTTAAGCCTATAACTCCCAAGATCAGAATTTATCAAACTAAGTAACTTCCAGCAATACATCAATATTTTTAATATAGATTCTCCTTTTCCAATAGGAGATCGCAACCTAACTCAATCGATCATAACTTAGTTTCTAAAATCATAACTTACTTTATACATATCATGTCTTAACCAATCCATCTAATTCCACCAATGATTAAACACCTCTATTTCATTCTAAGACTTTCTTGGCGAATAACATTTAAACACCCAAAAGATCATCACACACCGTATGAGCTTAAAATTCAAACTTAACACCTCTAAAATCTATCATTGCCACGATGCAAATTAACCAATACTAGCATCCTCGTATCTCCAAAAATTATCTCTTAGATTCTAAAAATCATAACTTATCGAATAATCTACAAGTGCCTATAGTCAAAGCATACACATAACAGTCCATCCTTCTTCTTCACAAGCAACACTGGTGCACTCCAAGGGGTATCACTTGGTCCAATAAATCCTCTATCAAGCAATTTCTACAATTGTACCTTTAACTTCTTTTCTAGTCACTTATTACCGCTGGATGTCCTTACCAATCATCATTCAAAAGTTAATGCACTTCGAGTACGGAAATCAGCATTACAGATAGATTCACTGCATTCCCAGAGAATTCAAAACTAGGTTGGTCCGGTGGGTTAAACTGAATTTCCTTCCCATGATAATCCACATTGGCTTGTTGTTTAAGAAATAAATCCATCCTTATAATAATGTCAAAATCATACATAACTAACACCACCAAGTCTACCATCTGACTTCATTCTCCTATCGAAATCTTACAATCCAAACAAGTCAGGTTAGACATAACAATGTCCATTAAAGATGTTGAGATATTTAGAGGCGCTCCAAGCAACTTAGGTTTCAATCCACATAGTTGCACACGGAGAGCATACCTGACATAATGGTTTTAGAAGCTTCGGCATCTTCTTGAGTAACTGTATAAACTCTTCCTTGAGCGAGTGGTCTCTAGAAATTTTCTTGCAGTGGGTCTTGGTTTTGTGGTGGCTGCTGCACCTGAAGTGCGGGCACAATTCGTTGCTGCGGCTATTGTACCAATGGACATTCCCTTAATATATGGCCACGCTGTCTACATCCATAACAAACCCTTAGACCCATGCATGGTGCATTTCCATGTTGCCTCCCGCAAGTACGACAGGTATTATTAAGAGACTGCATATGCATCGTCAGTCGTTTGTTCCGTGTGAATCCAAGACCTCAAACATTGTTCCTTTTATTTGGAACAAATGGCCTCTTCCTAGTGTGCACAGGTCTCTTGTCACGATGAAAATTAGGTTGGAAAATTTGGCAATTAGGTCGCGCCTGGGAAGTCTGTGTTGTCTCTACTGACTCCGCCAAATCTTTTTTTTTCCACAAATCGTGCGTGTTCGTACAACTCATTATAATCTTTTAGGTTTAAGGGCACTAGCTTATTCCTGATATTTGATCTCAAGTCATCCCAAAATCTCTTGGCTTTGTCTTCCCTGTCTTCTACCAACTTGGGGGCAAACCTTGAAAGTTCCGTAAATTTGGCTTCATATTGATCCACAGTTAGGTTATTCTGTTTGAGTTGCATAAATTCCATTATCTTCCTATCCCGGGCATAATCCGAGAAATATTTCCAGAAAAATGCCTTGACAAAACCATCCCAAGTTACGATAGTGTCAGTTGAAATCATAGTTTCCTTAGAGGCCTTCCACCAGTGTATGGCATTTTCTTGAAGTTGATATTCAGCTAGGGCTATTTTGTCGGTGTCATTACAATCTAGTAGATTGACTATCTTCTCCATCTCATCTATCCACGATTTTGTCTCTTCAGGATTTTTAGTTCCAGCAAACCGGGGTGGTTTCAACTTCAAAAATTGTTCAATCAGACCTTGTAAACGACGTTCGCCATTACCAGAGCTAGAGGCAGCTCGTTGTAGCTCCTGCTTCTCCATTAGACTTCCGACATTGGCAAGCACTTGAAGGATTCGTTCCAACCGAGGATCCTTTTCTGCGTTGCTATCCGAACTCATCTTGTAATACCTACATATATTGCTTACTTAGTCACTAACTAACAAGTAACAAAAGTTACTTGTAGCGCAAAATCAATCAAGAGCAAATACATGCACTTGATTTTCTACACTCGCGCCATCTAAGTCAAGTCTACTACTCCAAATTCTAAGCGCACCTTATCACTCCATGGGTAAAACCAGCTTTGATACCAAATAGGCTGTGACGCCCTAGAACGTCACGCGCAACACATACCAATTAATATTATAAAAAAAAAATAGCCAGCGGAAGTCAAAGTCTGAACAAGTTTTGTCAAAAATACTTTTGCTTCTCATTAACAACACTTGTGAGAATTACAAGTCCAGACAAAACATCATAAAATCACAAAGAACAAACATCTGGGTAGGTCGAGGTTGCCTATCTCCATGCTACAATTTACTCCAAAGACGGCCGCACAAAAGTAGACTTTACAACGAGTCGTAGATGTCGTCGCATTCATATCAACCAAAATCCCGCATCTACCCATATAGTAGATATACATCTAGTACAAACTATATCCGCCCTCGGGACAAGCATATCAACGTCCTAGCATTCATAGTATTTAGGGAAAAATCAGCAAGCATCGGTAGCAGATTGTCCATTCCTACATGTCTGAAAAATAATGGGATGAGCCGAAGCCCAGTAAATGAAATCTCTAGTTTTAAGTTAGGAAAATCAGCTTACCACTTCACCTGGCATAAACACATATGCATGCATAGCAAACGATATGCATAGAATTTGAATGCAAGTTATACCTTTTCCGCCTGGATGTGCCGCAAAATCTGAATAATGCAACATATCATAATATTTTCACTCAGACGCAAGCATGATGTAAAACATTTATGCTCATGCGATTAGGTTCATTACTTCATCCTCTCGAACACTTCCGAGGCATCCCGACCAACGGGGCATCCCAACTCCGAGGCATCCCGGCACACACCCGGGGCGTCTCGACCTACGGGGCATCTCGACTCCCGAGGCATCCCTAAACACTCCCCGGGGCATCCCGACCTACGGGGCATCCCGACACACGGGGCATCGTCACACACCACTAAATGGGCGACGGAATTAATATTATTCTCATGCAAGTCATGACAACCAAGTATTTGCATGCATAAATCCGCTTTGGCCCGTCCCATATCGAGCCATCACGGTTTTTGTACTTTAAAGCCATAAAATGCATCATCCGAGCCTTACCAAAAAAAAAATGCATCATCCGAGCAAGTAAATATGAGGCAATACATTTCAAACTCAGAAGCAAACTCAGCTCATAAGTAAATTCGGGTTCAGAAGCAAATTCGGTCATCAGAGGTAAGTTCAGATCATCAGAAGCAAAATCGAATTGGTCATCAGAAGAAAATTCGAGTCATCAGAAGCAAGTTCAGACTCAGAAGGAAGTTCAGAAGCAGAAGCGGGTTCAGAATCAGAAGCGAATTCAGACTCAGAAGCGGGTTCAAACTCAAAAGCGAATTCAGATTCAGAAGCGGGTTCAGATTTAGAAGCGAATTCAGACTCAGAAGCGAATTCAGACTCAGAAGCGGGTTCAGACTCAGAAGCGAGTTCAGACTTAGAAGCGGATTCAGACTCAGAAGCGGGTTCAGACTAAAAAGCGAATTCAGACTCAGAAGCGGGTTCAGACTCACAAGGCTAAAAGTCTGAAGGTAAAGTCTGAACGAAAAGTCTGAGCAGTAAAGTCTGGGCAGTTTCAAAGGTACACAAAATCAGATTTTGACAGTAAAGTCTAAGCAATTTCAAAGATACACAAAACCAGATTTTGACAATAAAGTCTAAGCAGTTTTAAAGATACACAAAATCAGATTTTGACAGTAAAGTCTAAGCAGTTTCAAAGATATACAGAATCATCATTCATACTCACATAATATACTCTACTTTCAGTAAAACGATTTTCTACCCTTTTTAAACATACATAAACCAATAAGAAGAATCCAACAATCACCTCAAAGATAACACTTACACGATCAGATTTAATCATTTCACTTGCCGATTTTCACCATACTTTAAGGAAACAAATCACATCCATTTGAACATGTACAGAACTAGCAAAACAGATTCAACTATCATCACAACCTCACTATTGCACATCAAAATATCCTTTCTCAAGCGACCAAGTTAAAAGTGTCAGTAGATTTACTTAGCTTAAACCTAGAGTTTTCACTTACCTTGTGCAGAATCTGAACACCCCAAAGGTTAAAACTCTTCCACAGATTTTTGGATCGGTGGTGGTGAGAGTAGAAAATGAAGGAGAGAGTGTAGGTTCGTGTGAAATTGTTTTCGGTAATTACCCAAACGAAGATGAAAACTGAGAAGTATACGAAGGGGTGGATAATTACAATGCACTCACAGGTGGCATCTTCTCTTTCCATCATGGCCGGGTGTAAGAAATCAGGAAAGGAGTGGTGGCCAAGGAAAATGATTACTTAGGCTAGGTGTCTAGCTCAAGGGGACAAATGGCATTCGGTCAACCTTTCCTTCAATAGTCACGTGAGAGAAGAAGAGTCCAGAAGAGATATTTTTGAGAGAATATCTCCCCCCTTTCCTTAACGGCAAATTAGAATAAAAGACTAACACTACTTAACCAAAATTAACCAATAATAATAATACCCACTAAATTCCCAAAACAACTGTAAATTAATTAATACTGTACTACGATTATCACACACAACAACGTTTAAGATTTTAATTACGACGAGCTCGGGGCGATTACGTTTCCAAATCCGCGTTTCGCGATTTACAATCCAACAACGATGTTTTTCGCGTCCACACAAATATCAAGTTAAATAATACTTAGCTTTATAATCCAAATATCATCTTCGAACATAGAAAATTCCCAACGTCAATTACTTATTGTTACGAAATTTTCGGATGTCACACCGTAGGTCTGAGATCACGCAAGGCTAGCCACCTACATGGATGCAGTGATGGGGCTTAATTTCACCAAAACTATTGAGATATGTGTGCGAATAGTATTAAAAAAATCTCACATTAAATAAGTGGTGTGGTGTAAAATAGTTAATATATAAAATTCTGCAGTGATTCGAATGAGACCTATACATGTTCAAACATATGTCGTGTAACATATATACTCAATATGTCATATTCGGTTTCCATCCGATAAGTGTGTGACATGATATGAGTATACTAAAGATGAATTGTTAGTTGTACCCAAAATTTGCATTGCGGTACAAGTTATCGCTCAAGAGAAGCATTTTGAATGGCAGTGACGCAAGAGATATTACAATAATATATAAATAGAGGTTATTTGCTCATGACAGGATTGAAACATTTTAAAGTAATATTTACCTAAGTCAACTATATGATGCCGCTAGTTGCACTCCTGTGTTTATTTTGTGAAAAATAAATAATTTAGAAAATATTATCATAAAAATAATCGTTTATCTTACTTAAGAAATGAACGAACAAATTTTTTTTTTCATATTTCACGAACATGTTTAGATGTGAATTATTGTCGATAATGAAACATATTTCATCGACTACTTATTTCACACGATACGAGCAATCATCTTTAGAGAAAAAAATTTCAAATCATTCATTTCCCACGAAACAAACGGAGCTTCTATCGAGCACAAATCTCCACCATGTCCCTAGCATCTAATATCAAACATTACTTGATTTTTGCTGCTTCGGCCGACATTGATGAAAAGTGTGCAGCTTGGGCCTTTTGGGGTTGTTCTTCTTGGGCCCTCCCCACCCACGAGAAAGTGGCAAGGAAGGAGGGCCGCCAGCAGTCCGTGACGGAGGAAGGAGGTGGCCGCCGGGCTGCCCCGCGCGGCTGAAATGGAATGATGATTAATAATGATAATTGAGCCAGCGAATGTCCCTTTGGCATCTTGCTAATCAATGACCAAGACTTCTCATTTCTCCTTCTATAAACTATGCAGTTCGTAGTTGTCAAGATGGACTACACAGATTGATTCTTTGGCATCAACCAAAAAGGTACAAAGCCTCTGGCTCAAGATCCCCTATATAACCCAAAGATCAAGAGCTCTTCTTCCTCACGGGTCTTCTTCAAACGTCTTCTTCAAGCTTAAGGGTTAAGCAAAAGAGATGAACCGGGTTCTGACTTTTGTCCTCTGTTTCGCTCTGCTCTCGATTCTTTCCCATGGCAGACCCTTCACTCCAGATGGGTCGGGATCAGTCCCCCACGCCCTCAAAACCTTCGAGGTCAATAGCACTCAGGTATGAACACTTCCATTTTCGTTCTTTGTTTTCTAAGTTTTTGTGAATGGATCCAACCCCTTTTGATAAAGCCATTTCTGAGGGAGAGAAGATATGGGGCCGCAATTTGCTAGAAAGTTGAGCGACCCTTTTTCGTTCTTTCCTTTGGAGACTCGTGTTTCTTGCTTGAAAATCACTCTCTTTTGAGTTGAGAAAGTAAGTTTTGAGGCGTTGCATTTCAGGGTGCGAAAAGCTGTTCTTACACAGTGTCGATAAAGACGAGCTGCTCTTCAACTTCGTACACTCGTGACCAGATCAGTCTTGCGTTTGGGGATGCCTATGGAAATCAGGTAAACTGCTTGATCTTATGTCTGCTGCTCCAAGTGATTTTGGTACGTGTAGTTTCCGGTGGGCGCACAATGATATCCCTTGATCGTACAAGTGATTTCAGTTCTTAAGGATGATTAAGACCATAATGATCTTACCTGTTCCCGCAATAAGTGCATTGATTAGCTGATCTGATAACAACCCATAAAACAAGAAGTTCATTTCTTGATAATTGGGTATTTCGTTACTGTTCGTAATTCTGGCCAACAAATTGCAAACCCTGTTTTCTTTTCCTATTCCAAAAGGGTATTTTAGCTGAATGAAATCTAACTTCTGCGTTCATTTTGATCTGGCCGACCAGGTTTATGCGCCTAGGTTGGACGATCCGTCGACTCGTACATTCGAGCGATGCTCCACGGATACGTTCGACATCTATGGACCCTGCACGTACCAAGTCTGCTACATCTACCTCTACCGGAGCGGATATGACGGGTGGAAACCCGAAACCGTGACCGTGTATGGCTATTACACCAAGACTGTGACCTTTTACTACAACACTTTCATTCCGAACGGCGTTTGGTTCGGTTTCAACCATTGTGGCAGCTATTTAGCATCATCAGTATCCTCATCCGCAATGTAGTAGAATCTGCTTGCACATGTGCTACTTGGTGAAGTTCTCTAGGTGGGCTGCTGGTGGATTGTATTGGGCAGGGTTGATGAGCTGATTTTCAGACTAATGCTTCGGTTAATAAGGATGAGATCAAGACAATAAGACCTACATCTTGCATCAGTTAAAATGCAATCTCAGTTTGATTAGGAATGTATTCGTCTCTGTTACCATTACATTCTTAAATATTTCAGGACCACAAGCAAAACCTTCATCATTTTGCAATTTCTCAAGAACACTCTGCATTGTGTGCTTTTCGCAGAATCGACTCTCCCATATAAGCAACTAATATTTATCTCTGTGTAGGCAATTCATCCTAGAGTTATTTACCATCAAAAAGGATACTTTTGACGGATCAAAAAAGTCGCAATGACTACCAGGGAAGGTGGGCAATACCATAAAGTTTGAAACGTTGATTGTATATGAGATGATCACGAATTATTTTAGCTTAAGTCGTATAAAATTAAAACCATCAGTTACAATATGTAATAGTTTCACCAAAACAACCCTTTTTATTAGCGGGAAAAGTACCGAACTTAACTCCCATCCCACCTAAGATTCATTCTTCACCATCCAACCCTTCTCTCTCTCTCTCTCTCTCTCTCTCTCTCTCCCTCCTTCGTCGCTTCCTCCTCTGCATCAGAACTTATCAATACAGCCCCGTCAACCACCGTCAAAAGGGTTGGTGCCTCGTGCACTCCTCGCCTCCTTCTCCTTGATGGGGAAGAGCTCGTCGTCCCCCTCGCCGTCCTCGTCGCCATTGCCAGCATCGGACATAGAGAAGGGCACCAAAATGCCCCGTCCCGCCCATCACCATTTTCCTCCGCCGCCGCCTCCGAAGCAGTGGTTCTCGTGGGTCATCCCGCTCATCTTCTTGGCCAACATCGGGCTCTTCGTGTACACGATGTACGTCAATGACTGCCCCAGAAAAAAGCCCAAGGGTTGCACCCTGTATCCTCTGCTAGGGAGGTTCTCTTTTCAGCCATTGAAGGAGAACCCTCTCTTAGGCCCCTCCGTCCTCACGTAAGAAGGCTCTCTATTTTCTGATCTATCATTTATCGTTTTCCATCTTCCACTTGTTTTAATTTCTTTCAATATAGCAAACCGCTACATTAATGCTAATTTCTAAACCCTTCTGATAAGCCAACCGAGGGGTCAGGAATTTCTTTTTCCTTTCTTCCATCTTCGTGTTAAGAACGTTTCGAGCGTTGAAGTTCTCTCTGAAGCCAAATGCTTTGGCTTGTTCAGTCAAGGACGAGAAACGATTGTCATGCAGTTTCAATAACATGGTAGAGCTTGATGATTATTGGTATATATATCTCCGTTCAAGTTCACTAGAATTTATAAGAGAGTTAAAAAAGATTTCTTCTCATTGATAAACCCAGCCTAAATTCTACTAACACGGAGACAAAAAAAAAATGCTCTATTGGAAAAGCGGTTTTCCATCCAAAGGACGGGCACATGAGTATACAGAGTCGATTTAGCCTGATGTTTTGGCAGAAGTTAGGCAAAAAAACGTCTCGAAAGTGGGTTAAAAGCCCCAAATGCATTAGATGTGAACGTGAAATTTCGAGGAGGATGTCATTTTGGGTATACCCAGTACAGTCTTCTGCGCAGCATAGTTGATGATAGGAATCTTGTGCTTCTGAGCATTCTCAGACTAGATACCATTTTGAACAATCTAATTGCAATGTGCAGGCTGGAAAAACTTGGAGGCCTCGAGCGAAAACTTGTGGTAGATGATGCTCAAGGATGGCGAATGATATCCTGCATATGGCTTCATGCGGGAGTCTTACATTTGGCTACTAACATGTTGAGCCTCATGGTTGTTGGCATAGGACTCGAGCAAGAGTTTGGATTTCGTAAGAATTATGGACTCTAGAGAGTAGAATTAAGCTGACTAATGTTTCCTAATCGTCACTGATTCCGAGTACCATGCTTGTGCAGTGAAAATTGCAGCTTTATATGTGCTCTCTGGCTTTGGGGGAAGCTTGTTATCTACACTAACCATCGATGAAGACTCGAAAATATCAGTCGGGGCATCCGGTGCTCTTTTTGGACTGTTGGGAGCTATGCTTTCTGAGCTGATCACAAACTGGACCATTTATGCGAATAAGGTAATTCTATCTTCCAGTGACTCTGCTCTAACAGTAAGTTGAACCTGCTTGATTGTAGACTTTCTAGTTCAACATATATGCCATGGTTCCTTACCTCAACAGAGGAGCAAGGATGGCCTTAAAAAAAAGTTCAGAGGGCAAGGTTTTTTAATTCTTGTCCATTCAGTGCACAGCTCTTTTCACTCTAGTGATCGTGGTTGCCATAAATCTGGCCGTCGGGCTTCTCATACCTCACGTGGATAACTCAGCCCATATAGGAGGGTTCATCTCCGGGTTCCTTCTAGGGTTTGTTCTCCTAATTCGTCCCCAATTTGGGTACGTAAGCAGGAGGTACATCCCCGATGGATACGATGTGAAGCACAAAAAGTCCAAGCATAAGAGCTACCAATATTGTTTATGGGTGACGGCTCTAATCCTCTTAGTTGCAGGGTAACTGACCTTTTGTCGATATCCTCACTCAATACCGAAGAGCTTTCAACGCAACAGTCCTCTGATGCTTTCCATTTGATGACAGATATGCTTCAGGATTGGCTAAGCTGTTCAACGGCCAGGTTCTGAAGAATGTGCCGTTTTAGAGAATGGATGATGCCATTGTTTCGATCCCACCGCCTCTTGTTTGAGCAATAGCAGGTACCGAACTAAGTTCTCTCGCATTTCTAACTATGCCATAGCTGAAATAAAATTTATGGCATCATCAATTGCTGGAGGTGGCAACATGCCAACAAATATCGCAGAAGTTTTGAGTTGATTGTATATATGTGTCACTGGATCTCGAAATGCCAGTTTATATGTAATGCTAGTTCGCTAGTATCTTAATGAATATCTGGTTTTGCTTGTCGTTCCAATGAACAGTTGCATCTCTTGCTTTCTGCAGAACATGTCACTGTATCTCATCCGATTTTTATGTCAAAACTGTGATTCTTTTCAAGGTTACATACTTTCCTGAGCATATCAACAGAAAGCAGCAAAATCAGAAGACTGGCGAAAGCGGCTATCGGAAGACATTTTGGAAGACCGAAAGTTTGTGTACACAATAATGCAAAACATATGCCTACTTGATCATGTTAAGCATAATAACTTGCTCGAATTTGGCTTTTTTCTCGAGGAGCAGAACTTCAACGGCGGTTCGGTCTCGAGTTTTAGATAAAAATTTACCCTCCCTCTCTAATCATTTCGAGTTCGTTCCGAGTAGCCGTTCTCACAACATACTTCCCTTTTGTGAGATGACGGCATACCCTTTCAGGGACATTCCGTAACAAGCATTGCGGTAGGAGCGCGTAAGCAGGAAATATTTGGGAGATGAAGTGCTCATTAGTAGTCAAAATGATGCGAGGAACACAAAACCGCGATTCACGACAAAGTTTGGGATTTGGAACATCGATTGTGTTAGAAAGGCTCATTACCGTTTGATCCCGCAAAACGCAATCTCAGAATTCGATTGTTTCCTTTGCAGATCTAAATGAACTGTCATTTAGCAGGACTTTTAAGACAATTTTACCAAACTCATTTTGATGAAACTTGGCAACACATGTTAATGAGTTCAGCATCAAGAATGGCCAAGGGCTCTAGGATCTCAACTTCCATCTAACAAGCTTTAACTTCCATCTAACAAGCTTTAAATTCAATAGGAGCCTCCACAAGCAGAGCGATGACCCAACTTATGCAGCTTGCAGCCTGTAAACCACAAGAACAAAAGACAGCAACAGAAGCTATGACTGCCAGTATTTTGAACTTCTCAATGTAGTTCTGATCCTGATCCAATTCTGTAATCAACGTTCAAAGTTTCAAGATTTAAGATGAAATATTCTCAAGCAGCACCATCCGAACCTCCGAAAGAATTACCAGGAAGTAAGAAAACATCCTTCTGAATAAATTATCAAGTTCATACAAGGAGCACTCAGACTTATTCTCCAATGGCAATTGATTACAGAGAACCCCATATCATCAGTTCACTCATCATCTTCGGAGCTCGCGTCGTCGCTACTGTAGTCACTGCTGTCGTCGAAATTATCTGGAAGTTCAAGGTCGACATGCCGGACCTGTATCGTCTCGGGCTCCTTATGCAATCCCGGAGGACCAACCGGTTGCAATTGCGGCTCCTCGGGCCTGCGAACAGGAAGGGCGTCCATCGGGGGCAATGCGATGGGATCGCCCGGTTTCCATCCAGGCGGTGGAACAGGCAAGTTGGTCGGCAATTCCACCGGCATCCCCGGTTTCCAGCCGGACGGGATGATGATGTTCGGAGGCAACCCTGGAATTGCCGGCACGTTCGTGCTCGGAGGCGGCTCGACGATTGATATACCCGCTTTGTCATCATCCTGGACGGCCGATTTGGGCAGATGGATGTCTTCAACACTGTACAGCTGCGAGCAGCGCAGTTGCTCGTCCTGGGGAGCCGGAGGCAGGGCCCCTCTAAGAGGAGCCTGCCCCGCGCCGAAGTCCGGCGGCGCGAACGTGGTGTAGCTAATCCTATGAGCGTAGGACACGATGTCGGACAGATTCAGCCGCGAGGCGACCGTGGTGGAGCTGCTGAGATCATCGTCCCCGTGCTCCTCATCCTCCGCGGCGGCGGAGGCGGCGGATCTCGACCGCTTCGGACGGCGATAGTCGGCGTAATCATCGACCAGGACGTCGAGGACGTGCTCGGCGTCCTTGAGGCGGTTGGCGAAGGAGAGGAGGGCGGAGTCCTTGGACCGGATCTCGCGGGCGAGCTTGTGCCTGGCGTCCTGGAGGTCGAGGATCTCCTGGAGCTCGGCGACGGCCTTGAAGAGCTGGGTCTGGAGGGAGGTGAAGAGGGAGAGGATCTCCTTCGTCGAAGACGGCGGCGGATCGGGGAGGGCGGCGTGCGGCTGGGCGGGCTGCGGCGGCGACTGGGAGGAGAGGAAGGAAGGGAGGGAGCCGCGGAAGGAGGAGAGCCAGAGGGCGCGGCTGGGGGAGACGTCGAAGAGCTTGGAGGCGAGGGAGGACATCTGGAGTAGGAGCGATTGGGCCCGCGGGAGGGGCGGGAGGAGAGACAGCAGGGTCGACGAGGTGGCCCCGGGGGCGGCGGCGGCGGCGGCGGCGGAGGCGAATTTGGTGGGGTTGGGGTTCGGGAGGGAAGGGGAGCTGGAGCTGGTGGGGCTCGTGAGGCCGAGCCTGGCCGGAGAATGCGAGATTTGGTGCTGAAGCATCGCCGCTGATTAGGGTTCCGGCGACCGGAGAGACGAAGACGAAGGAAGGAGCGCAGAGATTAAATTATAGAGGGATCGAGATGAAAGGGCGAGCTTTGCCCAATAAATAATGTGCTTTTTTTTTTTTCCATTGTTCCACGATTAATTGGTTCATCGCCTCACGAGGCCACGACCAATTCCGCATGATAATGCTCTTTTATAGATAACTACAGGTACCGGGACCTAAGCAAGTCCTAAAACTATTTCGTCTGAATTTTGAGACGTCAAACACAGTGGTATTCCTCGAGGGTAAGGAAGAAAAACTATCCCCCAATTAGAGAGCTAGGCGCGCAGTACTGGCACGTTAAAATAATGAACGTAGACTTATCAATCCATTAGATGTATATACCTGAACAGGCGAGACGGCTCTTGTCGGAAGCTTCGGCTTCTCCTTGGATTTTTAGTAATTTCAATATGTCCCTATTGCACGTTCAATATGGCTGCTTTAGTTATGCACGGACCATAGTATCACGGCGACATATCAATACCGTTTAATACCGTTCCATATTGAAAAAAGTTATGAGAAAATAGTATTGGGCAAAGTCTTTATTGGTTACAGTATTTTCGACAAAGGACTGACCCTTTGTCTGGGGAATATTTAACGTTTTTCCGTAAATATGAGTAAAATTATGTGTCAATGGAAAGAGATGGAGACCCTGTAAGAAATTATCTGGGGAAATTTAGTATATCTCGCCGGTACATTTGACATCAATATTACATGCGATGATGTAACTGACTAAAATACGCAGCAATGATTAATATCTGCAATTGATCTGTCTGACCAAGCTTATCAAATCATTAGAAAATTTCATCATATAGATACAACCTCATGAATGAGATCTAATAATTAATTACTGTATGATTGTATTAATTGATGCTGCATTTAAGATCATCTTGATATTTTCTAAAATGTCAAAAGGGCCTAAGATGGTCGTACGAGTCTTAAAGAAAAGGTCTAATCTCGCTGGCGGGCCAAATTTTGTGGCTGCTCAATGGCATCCTTGTCCACATATATATATTTATTATTATTTTTCTTTCTTTTCTTCTCTGTTCATCTTCTTCTTCTTCATTGCGTCTTCTCTTTTCCGTTCTATATTTTTAGAAGGGCCGGCGAGGGTCGCCGGAGCGAGCCCGTCGGGCACTAGTGAGGCCATGCTGACCTCCTCCCCGTAGCTCTCCTCTGATAAACCAGCTGCTCTTTCGCATCCGACTCCATAAAGCTTCATCCGTGAGCTTGAAATGGGAGTGCACCCCGATGGTCCCGGGCAAGAGCTCCATGAAAATCGAAAGGTATCGTCGAACATTGAGTCAATGGGGGGCGTATCAGGATAGAGAAGGCATCTCTACGCTCTGCGATAAAAGGAAATGGGGGAGCGATTTGGAGGGCTTCCAAATCGAGGAGGTTTCATGAGGTCGACGACGCACGTCAAGAACCTCTCTTTCTCGAAGGCGTGGTTAAGGTTGCGATCGCGGTCGCATTTGATGGGGTGCCTAGCATCGCTCGGTGGGGGTTCGAATTGAGGCCATTGCAGCGCCTCGCCCACGGCCGCGATGGCCTCATTTAGATCTAGGCTAGGCTGGGCAAGGGCATTGTGGCCCTTATCCACGGCTGGTGCCGCCGTTACAATACTCAGGTTGGTCGTTCCGAACACACATGCCTCGTACCAGAGCATATCACACAGCTCCTCCGATCCTCACCATGGTTTTTCATGATACTTTGGCCACTCTTCCCTGTTTCATCTTGTTGGATGAAGAAGATAAAAGAGGGAACAAGAGAAAAAAAATTGTATTCGGGACTAAAATGCCCTTAATCGGTAGGAATGTTTGGCCAACCAACGAGGTAAAATCCTTACTTGAAACTGTTATAGTCACTTCGGGTCATTATTTGAAGCAAGTTCCAGCCATCTCTTGAAAAAATGAGGGCACTTTAAATATTTATCTACCGCCGATCTTTCTAAAGAAGCTTACCAAGCCATTAGGAAATTTCATCATATGGATACAACCTCAAGCATGAGATCCAATAATTAACTACTATATGATTTTAATAGTTGATGCTACATTAAGATCATCTTGATATTATCTACAATGTCAATGTCCGTGTAGGGATCATTTTTTTCTACTTAAAGGAATTTTTTTAGGGACAATAATCTTATTGAAAATAACATTTTAGACGTGTGCCATGTCAAATTTCAAGAAATTTAAAGGTCGAACTTTTGTTAATGTGTGTTTTAGGGAAAATGACATAATTGATCCCTGAAATTTTGGTATATATTCAAACTAGTCCTTTGACTATATGAAAATATTTAATGTGGTCCATAAACTTTTAATTAATTTAATATGATCCATAAACTTTTGGTACACGTTCAAACTAGTTTTTGGACTATATGAAAATGTTCGATATTGTCATTCAATTAATTTAAGTTCATGGACAACAATGAATATTTTCACATAGTCTGTGAACTAGTTTGAATATGTACCAAAAGTTCAGGGATCGCATTGAACAAATTAAAAGTTCATGGACCACATTACAGTTTGGGCTAAAATTCAATGACCATATTGAACGATTTAAAAAGTTCATGGATCTCATTACATATTGAGCCAAAGTTTGGCCTAATTCCCAAAAAAAGCACCAACTTTACCACAATTCTAACCCGAACTTTTTTTTCTCATAAAAAATCACAAAATTTCACTTAAATCCCAAATTTAACTTGGAAAATTTAAAATTTTCACCTCACGGGGGCTAAATTTGGGACTCGAGTAAAATTTGATGCTTTTTATCGAGACAAAAAAAAGTTCGGGCTAGAATTGTCACTCAACGGACAGTCGATACTTTTTTTTTGGAATTAGCCCGCTAAAATTTAGGGACTATTTATATCATTATTTTTTTTTAAAAGGAAGAAAATATCGAAAGAAAACATATCGATTTATTCTCGGGGGTGCCCGTTACGCCACGACGCGTTCCACCAAGAGCCCAGTCAGAAAGCAGGTCCACAGTTGCTTACCGTGCACCCCCCACATCAAAACCCCACGGGCTCCCAAAAACCCCTCCTCCGCGAAGAGCCACCAGAGACGCAGAGCTAGCGCCCACCAAGAAGATGAGCTCGGCCTCTCCCAGATCCCACCGTGTTCCACGGTGATCTCAATCTCTCCCTTTCCCGTTACCAATTCGCTTTCTTTCTCTAGGGTCGTCCCCCGTTTTCCCATGTTGGGTCCGAGAAGACCCGGTTCCTCAATCCGATTCGGGCCATGAATGGTCCCTCTGACCCGCCGTCGCTCCCCTGTGTTCTTCTTTCATACGGGTCTTCGTTGCTGGTGTTCTTTCTCTTTTCGTCCGACATTGAAGACGTTCTTGCAGCAGCAGCCAGCTGATTTCTTGAATTCTTTTTTATGTAAGTTGGATGAAGACATTCTGACTGCTCGGTGTTGAATGTTCTTCGGCATTGGGCTCACGGGGAGTCTTGGAAAGGAGGCATTTCTAACGTTTTCGGGTGATTGCGCTGGAATTTGTTTGTTGGGGGGCATTCGGGTTCCTGCTCTTGTTGGTTTTTATTTATGGGCGGTGAACATCGTCCGGAGTTTGTGCTTGGATTGTTGAGTTCGCTTCGTGGGTATGTTTCCATGTGAAGAGAATCCCAGAACATGCTTTCTCTGCGTCCCATTCGCAGAATTTGCCATGCCGCCGTCGCCACCGCCGCCACCATTGCGTCGAACAGTAGTCCGGCGGCTGTATCGGGCCATGTTCATAAGGCAAAGGCAAAGGCAATAGAGGAACCTGCTCTCGTGAAGCTCAAATGTGAAAGGGACCCTGATAAGCTATTTCACCTATTTAGGGCGAATGCTCACAACCGCCTCGTCATTGAGAACCGTTTTGCTTTTGAGGACACGGTTTCTAGGCTAGCAGGTGCTGGTCGGTTTGACTACATCGAGCAATTGCTTGAGCAGCAGAAGGCCCTTCCACAGGGTCGGCGTGAAGGGTTCATTGTGAGGATTATCATGCTGTATGGTAAGGCCGGAATGGTTAAACATGCGCTCGATACTTTCTATGACACGCATTTGTTTGGTTGTAAAAGGTCTGTCAAGTCTTTCAATGCTACATTGCAGGTTTTGATAGAAGCCCGTGATTTAACAGCTATTGAGGCCCTCCTTAGCGAGGTTCCACAAAGGTTTAGTATAGAGCTGGATATAATTTCTCTTAACATTGTTATTAAGGCGTTCTGTGAAATGTCATTTTTGAATAAGGCTTATTTAGTCATGGTAGAGATGGAGAAATCTGGTATCAGACCAGACATAGTTACATATACTACACTAATGTCCGCGACCTACAAGAGTAATAGGTGGGAACTTGGTAACGGTTTGTGGAATCTTATGGTGCATAAGGGTTGTTTGCCGAATCTAGCAACTTTCAATGTCAGAATTCAGTACTTGGTAAATAGGCAAAGAGCTTGGAATGCTCATAAGATGGCCGCTTTGATGAACAAAATCGGGATTGACCCTGATGAAGTCACATATAATTTGGTGATTAAAGGGTTCTTCCTTGCTGGATATCCTGAAATGGCCAAGAGGGTTTATTCTGCGTTACACGGCAATGGATACAGACCCAATATTAAGATTTACCAGACCATGATCCATTACCTTTGTAAGGGAGGCGATTTGGATTTGGCATATTCAATGTGTAAGGACTGCATGCGAAAATGTTGGTTTCCTAGCGTCGATTCCATTATTGCACTTCTTGAAGGCCTAAAGAAAAGTGGGCAGCTTGGGAAAGCTAAGATGATCATAGCACTGGCCAAGAAAAAGGCACCACCTTTTTCTGAGATTCAGATGGACTCTTTTCAGTCCAAATTATCCTAGAATTGATTTTGGGTGGATGATGAACCTCTCAAAATTTTTTCAGACAGTCAGAATCGTCATGCCTGACTTGAAATTATAGAGCACTGTGATGTCATCACATCAGATCAAAGGAGCAAGAGTATATCATAATCATTCTAAGGAACATTGGTTTCTCCAGCCTATGGGTTTTGGTTTTTGCTACAAAATGAGTATTCCAGGTGGATGACAACCATGCGATTGCCATTGCTTGTAATGTAATCTCTCTCTCTTTCCCTCTCTCCCTCCATCCCTCCCTCCCTCCCTCGCTCACGAGCACTTGCATGAACATGAGCATGAAGAGGCCCTTCCATGTTAAGACCATGGCTTAATAGACTTTTCCAAATAGAATTATTTTGTGGGAATTAGAGGATGAATTTGACATTAACACTAGCTACCACCTCAAAATTGTTCCCAGTCCCCAGTGTTTGTCCTGATAGATTTGGCTTCTGTGTTTTCTCAGTGGGCTTGTCAATTCAGCTTTTTTTCTGTGAATGGATGGCGATGGACACAGAGGGAGGACCTCCTCAGGCTCTCAGTACATCTAGCACGGGATGACCAGCCTTCTTCATAGCCTCGTGGTTGGACTTAAGATGACCATACCTCAAGGTCAGAGGTTCAAGGCATGGTGAGAGAGACAGGCTTAGTCAGAATAACTAGCACGGTATATCTCATATTTCCTTGCTCACGTTTAGTATGTATCCATGCAGCCAATTATTATGATATTTGATTACATAAGTATCCGTCCTTGAGAAAAGCTTGAATCTTGAAGTAATACGTCTTTCCTTTTTTATGTTTTTGAAAGTAGGTTCCATCCTGAGTAGTAGCACACACTTAGTGGAAGCTAGATTTGTTTCTGAATCTGAATTGCTTCTTTTAGTCTGACTTTTTATGTAGGCTTTACAAGTACCTGTTTACAAGGTCTATGGTATCAGTAATCTTTTTATATTAGATGAAATTTATTCACAAGAAAATTTCAGGTATTACACAAGCTATGCAATATCAAGAATTTTGTAAAATTATGCAGAGAATTACTTTGTGACTGTGTTAACGTCTACCATTTTGGACTGGAGTTGGATTACTGAGTACAAAGATATTGAACCTTTGAATTTTACCTGGAAAGTAAGAAAGCACTCATCAACAGATCATGTGGGCCTGTTTGATATCATAAATGGCTGAGACCCGGTAGGGATGCAATGCAATTTCTATACTGCAATTAAACTCTCCTTTTGGAAGAAGGTTTGCCCATGCATCTGGCTGATCACATTGTAATCCTTTTGACATATTGAAAATTGGAATTATGGGGCTTTTTGAGCTTTTCTTTGGAAAATGAAGCAAGAGAGAAATTCTAGCCTCAAGCCTTGAAGTTGTCCTAGGTTAACAATTTTGGTGCGGAATTACTTTGCATCCCTTTAGCTGAAGCAATAATTCTCTAAGCTTGTTGGATCCACATATGTTTTGTATCTAATCCATTTACAGAGACCAAACATGTTGTTAATTCTCTGATTTCCTTTGACTTAATGCAAATGTAAATGCAGAAGTTCGGATCAACAGGACAAGATCGAGCTTAATACAACTTCCACGAGAATTGCCGCTGCCTCTGTTAGGATACTGATCAAGAGCATATAGCAAATAACCAACGGATGCAACTCTTTTCTTTTTCAGATTAAAAAGAAATGGTTGATGTGCTTGCTTCCTTACGATGCTCGAGTCTTTCGTGGTGGTTGTGTGGGAATTAAATCCTGCCACTGCAATATGGACCTAGATCCTCTATGAAGGTAATAGATAAGTGATTACTACCAACCTCTTGAATCCTCAGCCTTAGCACTTGTCTTGTTATGGAGATGAATGCTTACTATATACCCGTCAATACTTTGATGCAATAGGTTTGAAAATTGTTTTCCATCAGTTTCAGTCACACACCATCAACAGATTCCTTTGGTTCAGCCTTTGGCTTCAAGTTGAATAATCAAGTACTGGAGAAAGTGGAAAGTTCCAGAGCAATATAGAGACATACTTTTTGTCGTTAACTGTGTTTTCGTGGAAATGCTGTAATTCTTTGAGATCTGACCATTGGTTCAGTCAGACTCTTGTTACTAATAATGTTGTTTATAAGTCATGGCTTCCCAACAGTGTTGTGGTGATGCATTGTATTTCCACAAACATGCAACATTTCCACTTGTTATCTTTGATCATATACTAAAGGTATATGGCGGGCATGATGGAGTTGCAAAGAGAATGCACCAGATAGCCGTGTCCGGGTGCGTAATTGCAGCGTAAAATGTGAGAATGAGCCTCTTTTTCATGCTAAGTGACCATGCGCTGCGGAAGGAGCGAGTAGTTTGGGCTATCCATTTGCCTATACGAACTCGTGTTTTGTTCGGAGTCGCAGCCTTTTAATTGGACTCCACACAGTTGACGACTCAAGTACAATACAACCCATATGGGATTGAAAATTTGGATTGGTATTACCTGGATCTGTACGAAGAGGCAGGGTCAAGGAGAACTTGCCAAGCAAGTTACTATTTTGTTGATGAGGGAGCATGGAGAGCCTTTCTTGAATTGCTTGCCAAGGCAATTTGAGTAGTGCAGTATTCATGGATTTGTTGAAATCCCATATTAACAGCACTTCTTGTTCTTTAGATATTGCATAGATTTCGTTTTTCTATCCGCATAGTGTTGTAGTTTCAAGGCATTGTTTTTAAATCTATTCGTGGGGGCAAGCCTGGATTTTGGAAGATGAATGAGAAAGCTCACGCAAGTAGGAGGAAGAGGAATGGCAGTTAGGCTATAAATTCTTGCATTGAAGCTGGCTAAATCAAATAATTTTGCTCAATTTAATCATGAATTTGTATTGTGTACGTGACTAAGATTCAACTTCTTTACCCTTAAACGCTAAATCAATACTCGAATAGGTATCTTGTAGATTTGCATACATCTCGCCTTAACAATCCAAAAACTGTTTTTATTTCTTGTAGGGAGATCCGTTATAATTAAGTAAAACTGTTGTGACTAGGGGTGAGCATGGTTCGGGTGGGCAATTCCCACCCTAGAACTGCGAACCGCCCACTAAAGACCGGTTCCGAAAAATTGAAACTGGGAACCGCCTGTTGGTTTGATGGACCCATCTGGGAACTGGATTGGCGGTCTGGTTCGGTTTTCAGGTGGGTCCATAGAACTGGTCCTACCAAGTTTCCTCAGAAAAATTAGAAAATGCATCGGTCTAACCCCGTCTGTTGGTGGATTGTATTCACCACATGCTACTTCCACTATAACCTTAGTGCACGTGTATGATGTATCTTTAGTGTATAGAATCGTCCTTTGGCATTTGATTTCACCAATTCTTTCTTGTCCAAATGAGCCTTCCATCTAAAATGGTCTGATGCAGAAGTCATAGTAAAAGTGCCCCTTCAAGATATTCTCTGCCATCACCCCTTTATTCCGAGTAACCTGCTAGTACGTGCAACCCTCCGAATAAGACGCCTAACTACATATCCTCTTCCTATGTTCGACGGGATCACTCCGTCCGAGATGAGATATACAATTGCCCGCATATGGTCCCTTATGATCTGCGAAATAACCACATGTATGAGGATCATCAGCACTCCTTAAAGAAAAAGAGGATCACCATCTGGATAATTAATTCAAAAGACTGAATGGCACTTAAAAATTGCTACTGATACAAATTTTGAGCTTCGAGTATTAAGTGTCTCATGCGTTTAGGGTATTAGGATTTCTCTTTTTTTGTAAATAAAAATTTAATATATTATTATATTACCGGTCCGGTCTGGGTGGGCGGTTCCACACTTGGAACCGGAAACCGGACCGGTACCCACCGGTTCCGGGCTGGTCCAGTCAGGTTTCGAGCGGTCTGGGCGGTTCCCAGTTCTTTTGCACACCCCTAATCGTGACGTATAATTATCTTTTATTATGTCGTGGATACACGAAAAGTTATGAGATTCAAAAAAACCTCGCACGGAACAATGTTATATCATAGAAATTGCTTTCCGACGAAGTATGTCGAAAATCAATCTAAGATCAATCTTTTGTAAGTGCATTGGAAGTCCTAAAATTTATCACGAAAGTGCAATTGAGTTTTTAAATTTTCAAAAAGTGAAATTAAATCCTAAATATTTCAAAAAGTGCAATCAAGTCCTAAAATTTGTCAAGTTGGTTCGACCAAGTCATTCCATTAATTGCACGTTTTAAAGGTTTTAGGACTCAATTGTATTTTCGTGACAAATTTTAGAATCCGGTTGCACTTTTTCAAAATTTTAGGATTTGATTGCACTTTTGTGACAAGTTTTGAGATTTGATTGCACTTTTTGAAAGTTTTAGTAGTCAATTATACTTTCGTGATAAATTTTAGAACTTTCGGTGCACAAAAAGGAAAAAGAAAAATCAATGGCAGCTTCTATCCTAAGATGAATACTGACCAACAAACAAAGTAATCTTATCATCTCACGCGCACACACACTGATATATATATATATATATATATATATATATATATATATATATATATATATATATATATATATGTGTGTGTGTGTGTGTGTGTGTGTGTGTGTGTGTGTGTGTGAATTTTTAAATTTCAATTACTGTTGTGTAATTTACATGTTGAAAAGGATGTGAAGCTAATTGATTTCCCGGGCATGGACGCGAAGAGAACGTCTCTAAATCTCAAATGACTGAACTCCAAGGTGTCGCCTTTCCATGTCGAAGAACGTTCTCGCCCGAATCAAACCCCTTCACAACCCAACCACTTCATCTTACCTCAAACCCCACCTCAAGAGATTCGTCAACGAAACCATCCGTATCCTCAGCGACCCATCTCCCCACTGGCAAGATTCCCTCGGAATCCACTTCGCCGAGGCCGAAATCCTCGTCTCCGACGTTGCCCACCACGTGTTTGATAGAGTGTACGACGCGGGATTAGCGCTGAGGTTCTTCCGTTGGGCGTCTGAGCAGCGCCCGCAACGTGGGTCTCTCGGGGAGAGCGGTTATTCCTCGCTGTTGAAGCTCCTCGCCAAATGCAGGCTGTTCCCGGAGGTAGAACTGGTGCGGAGCGGCATGGCAAGCGAGGAAATTGAGCCGACCCGCGAGGCCGTGAATGCTCTGATCCGTTCGTATGCGGACTGCGGGATGATTCATCAGGCGCTTCGGTGTTATGATGCCGCGCGGAAAGTCTGTGGTCGGTCACCGGATGTTTTCGCTTGTAATTGTTTGCTTAACGCGCTCGTGAATCGTGGGCAAACGCGGGATGCCCGTAGGGTTTTCGATGAAATGCTCGATAGAGAGAATGCTGGGGGTGTTGACGCCGTGAATAATTTTAGTGTTTGCATCATGGTCAGGGGTTTGTGTAGTGAAGGCAAAGCTGAGGAAGGTGAGAAAATGATCCAGGATAGGTGGGGACATGGTTGTATACCGAATGTCGTCTTCTATAATACGCTTATTGATGGATATGTTAAGATTGGGAATGTCGACAAGGCCCACGCACTTTTCAAGGAGTTAGTATCGAAAGGTTTTTTGCCCACGCTGCAAACTTTTGGGTCCATGATCAGAGGTTTTTGCAATGCGGGGAAATTTGATTTGGTTGATAAGCTCATCACTGAAATGGAGGAGAGGGGTCTCGGTGTCAGTCTGTATATATACAACACGATCATCAGTGGTCTCTACAAGCATGGTCGCGCAGAGGAAGCTGTGAAAATGGTTGAAAATATGGTTCAAAGTGGTTGTGAACCAGACATTGTGACATATAATATCCTGATTGCTTCTCTGTGTAAGGATGGGAGGCTGAGGGAAGCTGAGGGTTTTCTTGGAAAGGCACTTACAAAAGGATTCACACCAAACAAGTTAACCTGTAATCCGCTGATACTAGCATATTGCAGACAAGGGGAACATGAGAAAGCCTCCAATTTGCTTATTGATATTACAGAAAGAGGAGAGAAACTCGACATGATTACTTATGGAGCTCTCATCCATGGAAGCGTTCTCCTTGGTGAGATTGATGTAGCCTTGACAGTTTACAGAAAAATGATGGAAAGGGGAGTTTTCCCTGATGCAGGGATATACAATGTCTTGCTGAGCGGACTTTGCAAGAAAAGCAGGCTTGAAGCTGCCAAGTTGCTACTCATGGAAATGCTTGACCACAACATAAACCCTGACGAATATGTTTTTGTTACTATAGTTGATGGGTACGCAAGACATGAAAAAATCGCAGAAGCTAAGGATATTTTCGAATTTGCAATTAAGAAGGGTCTAAATCTCGGTGTTGTTGGGTACAACGCGATGATTAGGGGTTACTGCAGGCTCGGAATGATGAAGGACGCAATGTCTTATTTCCATGGAATGTTAAAGGAGCAGCTCATGCCAGATGAGATTACTTATACCACGATTATCGACGGGTACGGAAAGCAGCAAGACTTGGAAAAAGCAATGAGGATGTTCAGGCAGATGATTATGCGAAAATGCAAGCCAAACGTGGTCACCTATACCTCTCTTATAGATGGGTTTTGCCGCAGTAAAAATCTTGATAAAGCTGAAGATTTATTTTTTGAAATGAAATCTTCTGGCTTAGAGCCCAATGTGGTAACATACAGTATACTAATAGGCAGTTCTTTTAAGGAGGGAAGGCCTGAAAAAGCGGCCTCCTTTTTTGAACTGATGCTGGAGAATAATTGCAGTCCTAATGATGTTACACTTCATTATCTTGTCCGTGGGCTCATCAACAACATATCTAGCTCAACATCTAAGATAGCTAATATATATCAAGAGGAGAAATGTATTTTCCTAAAACTTTTTAGAAATATGATATTGGATCAATGGGCACCGCAAGCTGCTGCTTACAGTGTTATACTCATTTGTCTTTGCCAGCACAAAATGGTTAAAGATGCTCTAAAGTTGTACGATAAGGAGACAAAGAAGGGATTACTTCCAGATCCTGTCTTATTGGCTTCTCTGCTTCACGGAATTTCCTTAGAAGGTCAATCACAGGCCCTGAAGGGTCTAAATCCATGTAAATTGAGCAAAGAGGATCTTAAGGTAGCTTCAAAATACTCTTCGATGTTGGACAAATACATGTATGAGGGAAGGAGTTCAGAGGCTTCTTATATTTTGCAAACTCTGGTGGCGAACCATGGGTCTCGTGAACTAGAGGTGCATGAGGTGGGAGTGACATAAGAGGACTTTATTCTTCGGTGTGTTTCTAGGACATAAAAGTTTTGCGACCTGGGTGTGATTCAATAGATATGGATTGACATTGCTGTCTCAGTGTTGCTTTCTCCAGAGTGAGGACTGTAAATTTAATACGCCTTTCAGGTTAAGTGAAGTCCCATCTGGCTTTGAACTGTCATCTGATGGTTCCTCCTTTGGAGTTTTGAGGAGCTGCTTCACTCTTGTTATTAAGTTGGATTTGATGATGGTAGATGCTTTTTTTAATAGCAACTTTCAGTGAATGGATAGACTAGCAGCTGCTTTTGTCATAAGACTAACATCAAATCAGGGTTCTTTTGCAGAAACTTTGATGCTGCCTATTGCAAATTATCCTCCCGTTGATTCCGGAGCATAACAAATGTGGATAACTGCAGGAAACAGCTTGTCTTTGATAAATATAAGCATTGTGACCAGGCAAGCGGTTTAAATGAAACGCTAGCCAGGTCGGGTTGCCTTGCTCAATAAGGCAATAGGTTTTGAGGCAGGACTATTTATCGATTACATATTTAGAGCAGCCGTCAGCTGCGAAGCAAGCTTTATCCGGGAATGTTAAGTTGAGTCCTGATTAAGGCAAGCTACATCAATAGAAAGACTGACTGACTTTCTTTAAGATAAATGTATATACTGTAATACAAAGCTATGAGATGAGATAAAGATTTCATATACTGGATTTATTTTCCCTTTTTGCTGGGAGCATGAGAATTTCTGCAATTAGTTGTTGGAACACAACGGTTCTATAGTCCCTTGGGCTTGAGGCTAATTTCGTTCAACATCAAAGCAGGTCAACCACACTACGTATAGGTGACTGACAAAATGAGAATTAGTGACCCCTCTTCCACTAGTTGCCAGTTCCTTATTTAGTCGAAAATAGAACAATCAATATTTTAGTTAAGAGAAACTCTTCCAGTTTCGATTATCCTGACAACTTGGGAAGGTGCCTTCGGAAATCTGCTGTCGAGCAGGCACATCCTTTTAGGGCAACCTCCTTTAACTTTCTCAGCTTGCATCATCGACATTGCATAATTATGTGGGTAGCTACGAGCACGACCACCGGTACATTGAATAAGACGCTCTCCAAGAACCTGTGAGGCTGTCACAGCTCCAATTGTATCTCGAGTTCACTCACTTTCAGGCTCAGTTTCTTCGCTTCTCCATCTTGCACGCACCTTGTTACCTCTCATCATGCTTGCGAACTCCTGAACCGAGCAACAAGTGCTACGATCCATCTTCCCAGCTAGAACATCGATATGCTCCAAGAGGCCCAAACCTAGAAGTCGATTTCTCAACATCTCCACTGTAGAAGAATATGGAGGTATTCCTTCATCAATCATCATCTCAAAATATCTACAAGCCTCCTCCAATTTGCCCTTCTTCTTGCACAGACCATGGACCATAACGGAGTAAGTCGAGACGGAAGGATAAAACCCCACCTTCCCCATACTATGCCAAACAACTTCTGCCCTATCGAATCGCCCCACTCTGATGAGCATTTTGAGCACCATGTTGTAACTGTGCCGGTCCGGCACACAATTCTCTCTCTCCATTCTAGATAACAGTCTCAGAGCCATATTGACTTCAGCGTGATCGCAGTGGTAAGCTTGAATGGCATTGTAACTCCACGCATCTGGAATGACCCCTCCCTCAACCATCTCATCTAGTAATTGGTAAGCCTCTTCAACCTTCTCATTCTTGCATAGGTTATGTATTATGCAATTGTAAGTATACACATTAGACACGAGGTTGTATCTCCTCATTCTGTCGAGCACCCTGAAAACCGAATGCAAGTCATTTGCTTCGCAGTATGCTCGGATGAATATCGAGTACGTACAAGCATCCGGATCAAATCCTTTCGGACCCATCTCCCTAAAAATATTATATGCTTCATCCACATTGCCTCCTTTGCACAAAGCCTCCAATAAGCTGTTCCACGCCCGAACGTCCAACGAACAGCCCCTCCCCAGCATTTCGTCGAACAGCTTACGCGCTTCATTCACTTCGCCTATATCACCCCACCCTCTAATCAGAATGCTGTAACTCTTCACACTCGGTTCAAACTCCACCTTAGCTTTGTCGAAAAACTGCTGAGCATGCCTCACGTGCTTCCTCTTACACAGAACGTACAAAAGCTGGTCAAAATCAGCAGTACTCGGCTCAATCCCAAACTCACTCATTCTACCAAACGCCCTTATAGCATCACCAGGCAAGTTAGCTCTGCTATAACCTCTGAAAACGATAAAAAAGATTTCTGGGTTCAGCTCGAAGTTCTCGGAGTCTTTCGTCTCTCGCAGAAAATCCCATAGCAGAGCAAACTGCTTGCTGCTCCCGAGCACATCAACCAAGATCCTGTAGCTCTCGCAGCTGTGTTCGAAGCCCGGGAGTTTCTTGGCCCAGAGGAAGAACCTGTGAGCCGGAAAGCCGAGATTTTTGCAGCGCTTGAGGACTTGCTCGACCAGGTTCGCGGATATCTGCGTGGAGAAGGCGGACAGGGAGTGCTCCAAGTCGTGGTGAGGGTTGCGATGGTCGCTGAGGACGCGGGAGATGTCGTTCACGAGCTCGGGCAATGGTGGTGGGTCCGACGCTGGGTGCGAGGCGGGAGGAGACGGAGCGAGGAAGCAGAAGGGCCGGTTGCGAAGAGCGTGGAACAGAGAGTGCAGGGTTCTTGATTTGGAGGACAGTGAAGCGACGGCCATCGCCAACTTCGTCAGAATCGAATGGTACGATAATGCGAAATTTTGTCTTTTGATTTGAAGCAACACGCAAAGGTACCTGGTCCCGTCTGTTTGTACGCTCGGCTCCTTGGTACTTGGAGGAGGTCTAGAATCTGAAAAATGGGAAAAAAAGTTGAACTTGGTGTGCCAATTTGCCAGCGAGGGTTTTGGTTACTTGTCCATTGTCATCAACATTGTTGAGAGATCGAAATCTCATTTCTGCATATCCAGAGTTTTAAGCAGGAGATAAAAGTAAATTAATGCTAAACCGTCGTTGCAGTAATTGTTCAATTGAATGTCGGCTTGCCATGGATGCTTATTGTTATGGTAAATACACATATTTGATTGATCTCTTGCATGATATCGCGTTGACTCATTGTATAATACGACATATCATAGTATGATGTGACATAATTTGTCGAATATTTTTATGTCGAAGATATTGCCGGGTGGCATGATTCTAGGAAGAAAAGCTCGATTCAAGCAGACAAGCACCACCTAAAATTGGCTGATATTCACAGTGGAGTCAAGCATGATCTAATACAGACATGATCATGGATCTAGTAGCTAAAGAGCTCTCTCCATGGGCTGGGCCATGGCAAACCGATGGATTCTTTCAGCACCCACTTTTCCACAATGGAAATACTTTCCCTGGATACAATTCTTTGGCCACTTTAATGCCGTTCAAGTACTATCTATGATTCGACCAAAAAAAAAAAAAGTACTATCTATGATATGCTGTTCTTACAACCTCTGAAATGCTGCGGGATATTTTTTACAATGTAATCCCACGTTCATTTTGTATTGTCTCGGTAGCGACGAGCCACCTGCTCGCTGAGAAGAATAATCTGTCTCACATGTTAAGAGTTGATTTAGCTTGGTGCTTGATCTGCATTGAGATGTACTAATATGTTCGGTAGTCGTTTGATTATGTGAGACTCACCATGAATGACTGCGATTGATCAGGTAGGGATAAGAAAGCGTTCTAAATACTGTTTTTTTTTAAATATATATTTCACTGAGTGATGAGCTTTTTGATCACTCGACTAATCCTTATCGAGTGTGACAGTCTCTCCATCCAACGCGTACATACTAAGTAATTACCGGAGACGCTTACTACGTATGTATAAGAAATCAAATTCTGCTAAATGAACAAGTGATTGTGATTGATCGAGATATAGTATATGTATGTTAGAAGTCAATCTTGCAAGTTGTTAAGTTAGAAAAAAAAAGGATGACCTTTCTACATTGCGTTAAGGAAACCTCCTAATACATTTTGAAATTGACAAAACTACCCATGTGAATTCTGTAAGTCTGATACTGACGCAGATAGAAGCGATAACTTGGAAAACTCTTTCACGATTCGACTGGAATTCAATTCAATTTCATAACATCTGAATACAAAGCTGGACGTCCTTTTATAATGATAAGACTCCTAAAGATATCCGAATTAATGAAGATAACATCTAATAAAATCAAATCAAATCTTATCTAATAAAATCAAATCTAATCTTATCTAATAACATCAAACAAAATATTGATAATTCGAAATTTCCTAAAGTAAAAAAACTGCCTAATCAGAAAAACTGCCGAGATTTCCGGCGATTACGGCGATCACATTCTTCAAGATAATCACAGGCTAACTGTTCTACATCAGATACATACCCTAAAGTATTTTGATCCAGGTAGACATATTCTAGAAATGGTAATTCCAATACTTCGATAGAACTAAACTTTATGAACACTCAGACTTTACGAGGACTAGAAGGAAGACTTCAGACTTTACAGGATTCAGAACGAGAAGTTCAGACTTAACTGAAAAAGTCACTCAGACTTTATATTAAGTAAACGAAGAATTTCAAACTTTATTGATAAAGTCATTTAAACTTCATATAGTACTTCAGACTCTACATCTAAAAGGTTTAGACCTTACTAAATACCCATACTGACTTAAGTTCGGGATGTGAAGCAAGAACTAGAACTTTTCCAGATTCTGAAAATTATTCAGAATGAACATAACGGCTAGTGATCTGGCGTGATTTCACAGAAGGAAAGTTTTGATTGACTCAATCTTAAAAGACTATAATTGATTGACAATCAAACATTAAGGCAAGTATATATCTCACAACGAATAAAGTTCTACTTAGACGTGGCCACGATTCGGAACCGGTAGTTCTGGTTCGTGGCCATGTATGAACCGGAACCGGCGGTTCTGGCCCAGTTCGGAGCCGGCCAGTAAAAATTTTAAAAAAATTTATGAAATAAAAAAATAATGAATTATCAAATTATGAAATAATGAATTATTCAATATAAAATGTGATCAAAATGTACATTATAATTAAATTTGAGGAAAAAAAGAGTTTCTCCACTTATCTGCATTTTTTTTTTTTGGAACCGGGCCCGGAACCAGCGGTTCCGAGCCAGTTCCAAAATTGTTGGAACCGGAACTGGGCCCGTAGGCCACGGGCCGGTTCCGAACTGCGGGCCCGGTCAACAAGCAGGTCCCCAGTTTGACTCAAGCCGAAATCGGCCCGTGGCCATGTCTAGTTCTACTTATGGAAACCAAGATTCTGGTTGTATGGGCGACCAGATTCAGCGGGATTCAGATTTTGTCAACCAATGGCTACTCAATCAATTTTATACAAATCTATCCAAGTTGAAGATTGGAAGATGATCCTCTAAAAACTGTTCAACGGCTAATTTGCAAGTGGAGGAGTATAAAAGAAGATTAACGAGAAGTAGAAGGTACAGAACGAAGTCAAGAATCAACAAGTCCAAAGTTTGAGCATACTCTGATTCTATTACTTGTCTTTCCCAAACCAAATACTGAGATCTTGAGAAACATTTTGTAAGAGTGATTGTGTGAGATAGAGAGTTCTATCATTCACAGAAGTGATATCACTCAGAACTTCTAATTTCTTTGATTATATGGTGGAATCCAGCCAGTAGGCTGTCAGCGTGGGAGAGTGGACGTAAGTTTGATATAAGCTGAATCACTATAATTTTCTGTGTGCAGTTTTTCTATCCATAAACTCCTATTTTATATATATACTGCACACTAGCACATTTATTGCAAAGTTTTATCAGAATCTGATTGTTTTTCAGACTTTAATATTAATCATTTGTTTCTGCTTTAAAAATTAATCAAAAAGTTTTAAATCACCTATTCACTCCCCTCTAGGTGATTCTTGCTAGCTACATCACATTAAAACTGGTCTCCACCAAATGTTGCTTTATTACTCCTTTTTCTTTCGAGCCGCAAGTCCCTTTCCCACAGCACTTGAGAAGGACTCTGCTTATGAGGTGGGTAGTTACAATAATCAATTGTTCAGTGGATTGAGTGAACATTATTCAAATGCTTGCATAGTGTTGGCCCAGTTAACACATCCCCAGTTAAGAACATGACTCATCTTCCAAGATCCTCCCAGACCTTTTTGTTTTGACATAGGAGATGTGCTCTTAGATATCATCTGCCATAAACTTTATTTCCTGAGTTTTCTGTGTCTGCATTCAAATTTCTCGAATCATCTGGTTGGCCATTCAATCATAAAGAACTAAAAGGCCCTTTATCAGAACAAAGTAGTGACAAAAGCAGAAAACATGGTCACGCATCATTTTCACCTCCTGTGCTTGCAGTGACAGTTCCACATGTACAAGCACCGAAAATGAAAGTGAAACCTCTAGTATACTCCAGCCCCTTTTGTATTATTAATCATCAAACACTGTCATTCACTCCCAACTTTCCGCTATTGACACTCTTTTGCACAGTTAGTGCATATTGACAAAGCTTGGCTCGTAAACAAGATGGAGCTTTCACCAATGACATAGAAGCGCAGAAGAACAGTTTCTCTAGCTTCAGTGTACTTTTCAAATGGTTCCAAATCCAATCAGTGTCGAATGTTATGGAGCGTACGAGTGCATGCATAACCTTTGCATCGCAACATTTGAAAGACGGAACACGTCGCATTCAACAATTTGAAGCCTATAGAAAGCTCTCTATTCAGGCCGGTAACGTAAAAGCTGTCCTTCAAACATAATTAGCGTGTCCTCTTTTTTGGCAAACTTCACAAGAGATGGTTGTTATATTTGCTTTCTACATGCAAAGAGCAATCTTTTCGTTGTGTAACTTGAGTTGCTCAGAGAAGGAAGAAGTATCCACGCACGAACATGGAGTTTCCTTTCTGCGCACTGCGGTACAATTCAACGAAGGCAGAAAACGTGACAGAATCATCTTTGGTTCCATGAAATGTCATGATGATTGAAACCAGCCAGAAAAAAAGCAACAGAAGGATGTGTAGTATTGAACATTTTCATATAGTTTAGGGATTAAATTGAATATGTACTGAAAGTTCAGGAACTACATTGAACAAATTAAAAGTTCAGGGACCAGATTGCACATTAGGCTAAAGTTGAGGGATCATATTCAACAAATTAAAATTTCATGGCCCACATTGCACATTGGATCAAAGTTCATATTCAACACATTAGGCTAAAGTTGAGGGATCATATTCAACAAATTAAAATTTCATAGCCCACATTGCACATTGGATCAAAGTTCATAGACCATTTTATTCATTTTTCCTTCATACATTATAGGTGCCAATATGAGGATGGTCCCTTCCTTTGCAAACCATACAAGAAGACGAAACAAAGTTTCTCATGTAGTATCGCGTGAGATTATCACAGTTGTCAGAAATATATTATCTGATTATGTGTATCTCTCGGATCGTAGTTCCTTTTGATCGTAGCTTCTATTGTAATATTATGTTACTATAGATAGCTGTACTGTAAAGCAGTACATAGAAATTACGATCAATCGGGATTACAATAAAAGAGATACACGGAATGAGAAAATATATTTCTAACAACAATATTGTTCCAACCTGGTCAATCCGAGCATTTACATGCGGAGTCACGGATCACAGTGGTGGTAATCCGAGTCAGCCGTGGAACCAACGTGTCAACATTATCAACAATTCTAACAAGGCCATGGCATTCACGAGAATATCAACAATTCTCACGTGGCGCCACGTGGCTCTTGTTGATATTCTCGTGAATGCCATGGCCTTGTTATATATAAAGCCCTCTCCACCCACATCTCTCGCTCAACCCCATACACACTTCCGTGTACTTCTCTTTCTCGGTGCATGCTTATCGCAACAACCACAAACGCTGCATCTCTCTCTCTTCTTTATCAGAGAAACCATAGGAACATCTTGCTTTTGTTGGGTTTGACTGAAAGTTCTCGAAGTTTTTAAGTATCTGGTGTGGTGTCTTTCTTGAACTTGGGTTTGCCATTTTCTTGAAGAAGAGAGAAAGATGAAGGAAAGCTCGCAGAATCCTTTGCATCTCAAGTCTTTGAACCACATTTCGCTCGTCTGTCGATCGCTTGAGGAGTCCATGAACTTTTATCTGAATGTTCTTGGTTTCGTCCCCATCAGGAGGCCCGGATCGTTTGACTTTGATGGTGCATGGTATTCAATCTCTCCTTAAACAATGAGAGGCTAATCGAAAAAACTAAAGAACAATGCAGTGTTAATCTTTCGTGTCTTTTGCTCTGAGCGAAAAACGAATGTTCTCTCTTGGATAAGCCTTTTTTTTCTTTACACAGGCTGTTCGGATATGGGATCGGAATACATCTGTTGCAATCGGAAGATCCGGAGAAAATCCCCAAGAAAAGTGAGATCAACCCCAAGGATAATCATATTTCCTTTCAGGTATATCTTTCTTAAAATAACTTCCTTTAATTATGTGCACAAAGGAGCACCCAATATCGATGGTTGGAGTCAAATCGTCATTTGTCAGTCTTGTCTCACTGTGTTAATGTTCCATTCAACGTTGATGAGAAAATCGGTTTCTATGAAATAGTCGTTCGAATACAAATATTCATATTGATCAGAAAAGATTACGTTGCTGCTGATAAATAGATATCACCTTTGTGGATATTGCGTCGAAGAATTTAATCACTGGAAAATCAAAATGTGATGTACAGTGCGAGAGCATGGAGGCAGTGGAGAAGAAGCTGAAGGAGATGGAGATGGATTTTGTGCGGGCGACGGTAGAGGAAGGCGGGATCCAAGTGGAACAGCTCTTCTTCCATGACCCAGATGGGTTCATGATCGAGATTTGCAACTGCGATAGCCTCCCCGTGATCCCTCTGGCCGGCGAGATGGCACGGTCATGTTCTCGTGTTAACCGCCAGATGTTGCAGCAGCAGATCAAGCAGGTGGTCCAGCAGTAATGAAGTTCTCTTCTTTTTTCTTGTTATATCACTAGTTTATCTCAGAATGACAACTTGATTTGATCAGCAATAATAGACGGCATTCTGAGTTTTGTGTCCAGTTCATTTTCACCATTGCTTGTCCAAGTTTTTAAATTTGTAATGTAAAAAAGACTGTCTAGCACGTTTTACCTTGATAAGATGGGACCTGTACAGAATCTCTCTCCATCTCTCATGCTGTTCTCTTCATGGTTGATCATGTTTGTCACCTTGGATGTTCAGAACCATGGGCTTAATCTACGACACTTTTCATTGCATGATGGCTCTCTCTTTGAGAGGTTCTATGTGGCAAAATTACTGCATGAGTTGACAAGTAATCAAGTTTTTTTCCCATTAGTATTAATAACTTTCTTAACATAATCTAATTATATCTGAGCAAGGGATCAAAATCATGGAAAGAACCATGCATATTGTCAAGGTACACAGAGTTATCTCTTAACCTTGAAGTTTATGCTTGATAGAGAGAGCTAGAGAGAGAGAGAGAGAGAGAGAGAGAGAGAGAGTCCTGTGTCAAGTGAGAGATTAGTATAACCAGGAAAAAAAATGAAGGGGCGCGTTTAGAAGGAAATTCCAAAAACCATGGAAAACAAACAGAGCAAACCCAATTTGTTTGCTCGGCAGAGAAGTTACTATTCACACGTAAAAAGCTGCAGAACAAATAATCATGCAAAACTGAACGTTTCGCTTACATTTTCTTTTCTGTTCCTGGATTAAATACAGCATGAAGAACAAATTACAGTAACAAGAAGTATTAGCGCGTGACTTCTTAACTAATGAAATCTCTTCCACTCAATCTCATGTCGAAAAGCAACCAAAAAAGTGAGAAGATATATACATGATTAATGTCCGTCCCCGGTTGGTCAATGGACGAGCCTGCTTTTATTTCCTGACTGGCTTCTAATTATAACCAGAAAAGAACGCAGAGTCCTTGAAACCTTGCCTTGGAGATGCAACGGCTTTATGCAAGCCCCAATGCGAAGGGAAGGAAAAACATCATGACTCTTCTTTCAGAAGGGATGAACATTTTCAGAGCCAGACTGAGTTTTCTGTTTAATGAAGCTGTCTTTGTTTTCGAATGAGATGCAAGGAGGAGGATATACTAAACCGGAGACAGAACCGTGTGCTTGCCAACAGAAGGATCTTGTAGTACCACCAGCATGTGAAAAGAGATGTATGTCTTCTAAATATATCCCTTCACATGGAGCATCATCGCTGCAGGCAAATATCATAGCATTCTCAGTAGCTGATGTCCCTCTGATCCCCAAGAATTGTATATTTCCCACTTTAACAGCCGATGTCTGCATTGATTACATAATGGGAGTTTCAACAGCGTTTTAAAGTTGCAGATGAAGGGAAATTACACCAGATCAATCAAGAAGAAATGAAATGTAAACCCTTGAATGGTGCTGAGGTTTTGCATCGTACAAAGTTGAGGCAGGCACTACAAATAGAAGATGCAGACAAGGATCTGAATCTAAGACCCATTAAAAGGGAAGTCCCTTTAATTGTGCTAGTTCGAGGTCAAGCAGGCATATGGAAGATAGTCCCGTATTCCCAAAATTAAAGGTAAGCATTCTTTGTCCAATTGCAAAGGGTGCAGCAATTCTTGATTCAATTTTTGGCAGGCTTTATGAAATAGCTCATTCTGCATGATGCCACAACTTCGGAGGCTTAAATGTATGAAAATGGAACAATTCCATTATTCGACGGGATTTCTGTTAATAAAATTGCATGGTTCTCCAAATCTAGAAAACAAATGGAATTCAAGGGCCACTCCATCCATATACTTCTTCTGCTTGATCCACAATATACCCTTAGTCAAGTAAGACAGGATATACTAGCTACAGTTTGCATAGGACTACATCCTACATAGCAAACATCAAGGCACTTACAGCCATTTGAGCCAGTAGAACGGTGAATTACCTGATTGGGACAAGGCTGAAAAGAATCGCAATAATACTGATCTATGATTATAGGATGTGATACATTTTCCATCCACACATTCTGGAAGATTACATTGGTGACAGAGCCACCGCCTCCCTGAGAGACAAGAAGAAAGTGCAGGATGACAATTCAGAATAAAGGAAGTTACTTTGCATGAGGGATTGTTTATTGAAAAAGAGGTTTTGGAAAAGAAACCTCGTATGCCATGATACATAAAAGAGAAGTTAACCTGCCATGTTTTAATTCTCAAACCATTTTCAGTGTTGGACACAAGCGCTCCGTCAACAACTACATCATGAACGTCTGCCCAAGAGTTCAATTTCCCCAAGCTCCCAATACTGAAATAGTGAAGGATGATCGGCATTATCCCTCATATTCCTTAAATTACAGTTGACTGAAGGGAGAAATTCTTTCGTACCTAATACCATGTCCTGGCCCACAGATAATGTTTCTGACCGTGATCCGTGAAGAATTGCTGACTATAGAGATGCAGTCATCTCCTGGATAAGGTTCTCATTATGTTTCAGAAACAATTTAGATTTTTATGAGAAGCAGACATATTCATTAAGGCGATATTAATTGTTGATAATTCAAACAGGAGTAAGCCCCAGGACAAACTTGCTTACAGATACTAGCAAAAGAAAGAAACAAGATAAAATATCAAAATCGAGTCACTTCAAAGTAGGATAAAGTTGTTATTCGCATCCTCTATCTTCTGTAGTCAGTTGGGAGTCCAGGAGATAGGTTTTAACTCCAAACACATGAAATCACTCATAGTTGGATGGTGCTATGTTGAGTAAAAAAGCCAAACCTGTTCTAATAATGCAATCCTCAATCTGAACACCACGGGAAGCACTTATATGGATTCCATCAGTATTAGGGCTCACAGCAGGGGCTATCACTCTGAGGTTTGACGCTTTAACCCGTAGACAGTTGGTAAATGCTACGTGCATCTGCTGACTGTTGATCACCCTGAGGTTCCTCACAATCAAATCTTTGCATCTATGGAAAATGACAGCCTGGATATGAAATTTTTAACGTTAAAATCATAAAATAAAGGTTCAATTCTTAAACATTGAAGAAAACAGTGACATCGAGTAAAGCAAACATTGCTGCTGACTGCATAGCATCCCAGATAAATTGTCACTAACCGTTGGAGCAGGATGACATGGCTGCATAAGAAGTAATAAGAAGCTTAGATGGATGCAAGTTTTGAGAAACTCGAGAAAAATGAGAGATCTGCATAAAACTTTTACGTTAGTTGCATTTGTCTTGCAAGACCGATCCCACCATTCCCGCCCCATTCCATTGATTTTGCCCCCTCCTGCCAGAGTAAGGTGCTTCACTCCGTGGAAATATATCCATCTATGGGGATTTAATCCTTCCCAGGCTTCAGGATCTTTGGGAGCAACAATGCTGCCTGCAATCTATCATAAGTTCGATTTCTTCATATGTTTAAATACAGACTATTGGTTCGCATGAAGAGCAGAGTTAGGATAAAGTTTTACAGGAATCCAGTTTTCATACTTCACGAGTACCTCTAGGGTGACCTTCGATCGACAAGGTCCAGCAAAATCAATTGAGCGAAACAAGTAAGTCTTTCCAGCTGAGAGAAGAATTCTAGTTGGGACAGCAAGAGAGCAAGCTAACTTCCATACTTTTCCAATAACCTGAAAGCATGAGATCATCATTACAAAAGATGTAGGTGAACTGAAAGATAATATATTCAAAGGGTCTCATAGGCAGTTCCCAGTTACTACCTGTGGTTCTTACCTGCACCTACTTCATTCTAAAGAAATAATATTTTAAATTTTCTACATCAATTGCTTGTTCATACAAAGTCATAGTATCTCAAGCTATTTCACAGCAGCCGGGTACTCAGACTGGATTCAACATGACAAGAAAAGAAAGGCAAAACTGTTGCAGCAACAGTTATAATAGGAAACAACTGGATCACAGATTTCATCAGTTACGGAGCTTTCAGATCCTCCAAAAAAAAAAAAGACATCTACAAATGACACGGTTCCCCTTAGAACAAGAACAGTTCCATGTTCCAGACAAACTTTCCTCATTTTAATATTCCGAGAAATCATAATCAAGCAGACAAAGTGCAGCTGAAGCAGCAATCATAGAAAATAATACCTCGCTCAACGAACTCAAAAAGGTCAAAATTTGCTACGTTAATTAACCAACCACCAACTACCCACCATTTTCCTGACAATTTGGAAAGCCACAGCAGAACGGGACCACATTGATCCCCAATTTATTCACAAGAGAGACAGACACAGACAAAGTTCAGGACTTTACCGCAGTATCGTCACTAACACCATCTCCTCTAGCACCATGATCGTCGACCGACAGAACAATTTTGGATTTGGGCCGGCTCGGGATCGACCCAGAACCTGGTAGCCGCAGCAGAGAATCGAATCTCTCTGCAAGACCGATGCTTGAGCAGACAAACAAGAGGACATTAACGTGAAGAACGACGCGTCCCGGAGCAAAACGTGACCTTCGTCTCCTCATGATCAGTCAGCTAGAAGAGAGGACAGTAGAGACAGAGGGAGATGTCAAGTTTCTTCGGGATTTGTACAGGCGTAATCCGATCCAAGCGGGAGATAATGAAATCCAGGGACGCTCTGTCTTTTCGCCGCTGCCGAATGGCTAGCTTAAAGAATGAAAGGGAACGATGCGCTTGAAATTGTCAGCGAGTGCGAAAGTTCGGAATCCATTGCCCCACCTCTTCACCGTTGTAACGGTGTTGCCAAAATGCAAGTACAGCGACGAAGTTTCCGCAAACCATTGGACCCTGTAGTTCTTCTCGTTGGTCGAATTACCTGCTTTTGGCTTTTGTTGTTCTTTATCCACGTTCTTGCTTTCTAACCAGGGCCAAGTTAGCCAGCGAATTCAGCAAAGTTCAAATCTTTTTTTGTCATTATCGCATCATACATAAATTGAAATGTTAGTAAGTATCATTCTTCTGGTTGAATCCTCACGGATCTATGAATTCTGATGAATTCGTCCTTCCGTACCATTAAGAGTGAGCTTTGATATGTACTTTCGAACACAGTTTCATCCGAATGTCACATTAGACAACCCAGAAAGCGTTCCTTTTCTTGCCAAACAAAATCAGAAGTCGAGGGAGACCAGTTCCTACATTCTGCGTTTTGTGTCATTGATGCTCCTTTTGTCTGTGTTATCGTGCTAAACGCACTGCTTCCTTTCGTTTGTCAATTCGGGCATCTGTCTTTGCGTCTGCGCGAGGCAAAAGAATCCCATCCATCCTCATCTTCTTCCGATTCGTGCGGTGGATGAGAAGGAGCGGGACTCAGCCTCGAACAGATCGAAAGCCCGATGATGGTGGGCTTCCATGGTTCTCGGAAAGAGAGAACATAAACAAAGGGCTCGTGGGCTTCGAGAGTCTCAACACCCACGCCCAAAACTTTGCGCCCCGTCCAACGATCCCATTTGGGGCGGCGGCGAGACGGCGCAGTTTCTCGTCGGCCCGCCGGGTACACGGGGTGGTATATCTACCTCTCGTTTTCACTAACTATACAGATTCGATGATGACATACGAAGTTACAAGAACAATGCATTTTGAGATAGTAAGATCGATGACCCAAAAATCCATGGAATCTTGTAACCATGTTTTATCTACTTGGTTATGCATACCTCTCGGGATTATGCATGTATCTTCTTTGATAGTGCATATCGTTGATTGATTGATTATATTTAGTGTTATGTTTATCTTATTATCTAATAGGCTCAATGTATTCTTCTCTATACACATCGAGATATACACACCATGGTTCCCTCTTCCGCGTTGTTCTCAACTTGCACGTGAACTCTGATGAGACGAGCTTGGTAGGCGACAAAGAGAAAAGCCAAAGAAGAAAAACCATTTGCATCGTTTAAAAATTTTATCACCGTGTACAAAAATATTTCGTTAAACGAAAAATTTTATGTTAACTAATTATTTTAAATAATATAAACGATTATTTTTAAGAAAAGTAATTTTTTTAAATTATTGGAGCCTAAGTAAGAAAGCGGTCAAACGTGGGTGCGAGATAGGGGCCATGATTAACGGTCAATTACGGCTCCAACGGTCTAACTTGGCTGCTAAATGTCGGCCCACACGTACTTCGCCGCCTCGCCCTACGCTAACCACACATCATGCCTATCCTCGTTCACATCATTATGAATGTCTTCGCCCCTTTCGTATTAACTTATCGACGGGACCGGGGGGGGGGGCCCACGAACTTACACGTGTCGCGAGGACGGGCTAGGTGCATGCCAGCAGGATCTCTCACTTTAGCCCATTTATTGGCTTTTTGTTTCCTTTCTCTCTTTTTCCTTATGTTTTTTTAATTTCTAGTGGCGGTTCAGTAATCGCTAGTGATGTGTAAAAGAACCGGGACCCGCCCGGAACCGGATCGGAACCGGTGGTTCTCAAGGGAACCGGTCCGGTTCCCGGTTCCAATTTTTTGGAACCGGTATTGTTTGGGCCGGTTCCCGGTTCCAGGTGTGGAACCGCCCACCCGCCCTCCCGGACCGGACTGATAATATAATAATAATATATTTTATTTTTTAAATTTTTAATTAAAAAAATCTGACCAAAAAAAATTAAAAAAAAAGGAGAAAATTTGTTATCATGTCTAAAGCTGTTGTGTAGTTGAGATACCTTGGTCATTTTTCTCAATAATTAATGGGTACCTACTTGATTTATGGATGATGTGGTTAATATAATCGATCATAGTGTAGGAATTGTATGAAAAGTTATGTTCTTTTCCTTTTGTTCTGTTGATCCGATGTCGGTCCACAGATTTTTTTTTTATTTGTTTAGGAAAACTTGTTGAGACCGGTTCCATAGACCCGCCCAAGAACCGGACCAGACCGGTCCGGTTCTTGGGCGGGTCCATGGAACCGACGGGCGGTTCTCGATTCCAATTTTTGGAACCGGTCCTGTAGCAGGCGGTCCACGGTTCCGGGGTGGGAACCGCCCACCCGGACCATGCACACCCCTAGTAATCGCAGTCCAGCACAAAGGGACACCAGACACTGGTAATGTGTTCATGCTCGGTGTATCCATGTCTTTCTTTCTTTTCTTTTCTTTTTTCTTTTCGCACATACCTTTCCCATGTCGAGGAAAATTTAAAAAAAAAATCTATTCTTTTGTTTACGCTAACAAATAATCGGATTTATATAAGTTTTCGTGAAAATATCATATTTACTAATTTCTATGAAAATTATGGAGTAAATAGATCTAAAACAAATAACATCTTTATTAAAAGGTAAAATGACCCAATCATGTCCTGAACATACTGCGTGAGCATCTGTTCGGTCCTAAACTTTTCAGATTTGCCGGTTTAGTTTCGAATCTCTGCACGAAATTTCAACGTAGTTCTTTCGCTCGATTTCTGCCAGAAATCGCTGACAGTCATCACTGGCCATCCTGCGTGCCACATTGCCACGCCCACAGCTTCGGGCGGAAATTAGTCGAGAGGAAAACATCGGAATTTTGTGTAAAAGTTTGGGACTAAATCGACAAAATTGAAAACTTTAGAATCGATTAGACAATTTTCTCAAATAAAAATTATGTTATGTGTGCAACCCACGTTCCCCATAATCAAATGCCAAATGTGGTGGGATTTGACACTAGATCGACATATCAATAAGTAACGCGGCCTTACTGGTAATTGAATTAGGGGGTGAGGATAGATAGTACTAGGTCCCGGATTCGATTCCCGTAAACACTGCATATACATATACATGGAAGAGAGATGCGACACCAACAAAAAAAAAAAAACAAGGGACCGACGTGGATTTTTAGGGTTCGTGGCGATTGCTCTGCAAATGCAGAGAGAGAGAGAGAGAGACCTGCGGGCATGTGTCAACGAAATCGAGACACGGTCGCGGCCTCCCCATCTTTGGTTTTCGGGTCGGACCGTGGCATCGGATTTAGGAAATATTAATCGCCGGACATATTAAATCAAATGGAAAAATGGAGCCTATATGTCCCGAGGTGGGGTCCACACCACGTTTTGGATCGTGTCGTGTCGAGTTACCCCGATCCTTCATGGGATCGGCGTCTCCTCGGGAGACGATCCTGTTTCAGAACATGATGTCCTGCTCTTTTCCATTTGTTTGTTTCTTCTTTTTTTTCCCAAATAATTCACCGGCTTTTTTGCAGCACATTTTTTGCCGACTTCTTATCAGCAATTTAGCAGCGAAAAGAACAAATTTCGCACGTGGATTAGATTTCTTGAATATTTAAGGTGATCCATGTATAGCATATCGGTTAACATTTTACGATGAAAATTTTGGATAATTTGACAACCGTCCCTTAAAAGAATTGTTAATGCACTTACTAACCTCTTAACGCATGTTTGAGAATTGGTTCTCCAATCATAATTAGAAAAACATGCGCGTATATTGCTAATACAGGGCGAAGATTATGCAATGCGTTGAAGTCATTAGAAAAATGCGCCTTGCTAGGATTTAGGAAAAATTGTTTAAAAATTTTTAAATTAATTATACGACAGTCAATTCAATCCTAATTTTTTTTAATTAATCAATTTAGTCTTATAACTTTTTGACGGTTTTCTTGATATAATTCTCTCGGCCAATTTTGGTTAAAAATCACTAACGTGGCGATCCAGAAAGCGTTGGTCATTGTACGTGGCAAGGTCGACGGCTGACGTGGACGAATTTTGTAATTTCTTTAAAAAAGAATTTGAAAATCCTTTTTGCTTTTCTTTTTCTTTCTCTTTTCCTGTTCACTTCCTGGAGAAGAGCCGGTGAGGGTCGCCAAGATCACAGCCCTCGCCAAGATTTCGGCAAGGGATGTGACCCTCTCTCGGGTCGCAAGTGATGGTTGCAACCTTCACCCAAGCCGCAAGTAAGGGCCCTACAAAAGATCATTTATATTAGCGTTGGTTGTGCCACGTATATGATTAGCTCTGATTTGATCGCTACATCAAATATTTCCAATTAAAATTGGCTGAAATGATTATATTGAGAAATTGTTAAAATGTTTATAACTAAATTGGATAATTGAAAAAGTTGAGGAACTAGATTAGCCCCGTACAATAAGTTTAATCCCACTTACTATTAAACCCATTAATTTATCGACAAAGTCTTGCTTCGTGAAAAGTATGTACGATCCTAGTTGCATGATTACCCGTCAAAACTCCTAATAAGAGTCCGTGATTAGGTGTACTGGCAAGGAGTAAAGGATCACGAACGCGCCCCAATACAATGTACCGACACCGACGAATATTGATTAGACAATAATCTTCCGATGATTAATCGGACATCTAAATTAATTATGGAACATTTAGTCGGCGGTTGTTATCATGAGACCCGCTTGAAAATAAACGAGAGCAAAGGAACTCTCTCTTGCTACGTCGAGAGCTCTTCAATCGAGTCATTTTCTTATAAAGAAAATTATCCAAAAAGTTCTGAACCTATTATTCGACGATCAATTCAGTCCCCAACATTTTAATTTTGTCGATTTAGTTCTAAATTTTTTGATGATTTATCATTGTAGTCTTTCCGACCAAAATTATGTTGCGCGACTGCCACGTCATCGCTTTTCCTGTCAAAATTGGCCGGAAGGATTACGTTGGCAAATCACGAAAGGTTTAGGACTAAATAGGCAGATCGTCAAAATGTTTAGGACTAAATTGACAGAATTTGAAAAATTTAGGACTAAATTAGCCGACGTACGATAAGTTCAGGACTTGTAGTGCAATTATCCTCTTTTTCTTTGTGCGCTAATTGCCGTTGATGGGATTGCTAAAATTGGCACAAATCAGTGGGTCGATCTTGGGACCGTGCTAAGCTTGGGCACTATCTCTATTTTGTTCGCATTCTATCTTTTCCCTAATTTATGAACCATAGAATATTCAAAAATAGGTGCGGCCAGTGGGGGTGGGTGATGTGTAGCCGGACTACATTGGCAAATCACCAAAATATTCTGGACTAAATGGGCTGATCGTCAAAAAATTCAGGACTAAACCGGCATAATTTGAAAAGTTTAAAACCGAATTAGCTGCCGTACAGTTGATTTAGGACTCGCAGGACAATTGTCCTCCTTATTCTTGCGTGCCGCCTACCGCCGATGGGATTGCTGAAACCGGCACAAATCAATGGGTCGTTTTCGGGACCGCGCTAAGCTCGGGCACCATCTCTATTTTGTTCGCATCCTATCTTTTTCTCTGATTTGTGAACCATAGAATATCCGAAAATAGGTGCGGCCGGTGGGGGGTGGGTGATGTGTGGATTGATTTCGGACCAGATCGCGACGGGGATTTGTTAGAGAAGCGTCGTCATGCGTCCCCATCTTTGCTCGACTTTGGCTTGTGGCAAGCATGGTCCCCCTCAATCTCGTCGCGAGGCCCAGGAAGAGATACCATGTTCATGTCCATCCAAAATCGAAAAAAAAAAAAAACTAAATTTGAATATTGGCTCATGAAGCTTCTTTTGTTAATTAATCATGTAAGCTTCGAGAAAATGATACGATCTTATCGATCCCCGCTACGTGCGGGATCGATCGAAAAAAAGGATATAAGAGTTGATATATGGCGCGATTGAGTGAGTAAATAATCCGAGGAAAAAATGGAAAATTTAGAAAAGAAACCTTTAAAGAGAAATTAGTCACGAGATAAGCCGTACCCTCGAAAATTCCTAAGGTCAGGGTCCGTTGTCGTCGATGGGAGATTTCGGATTATCAAAGTTTGATATGCAATTTTTTACAAAGATTATGTGTACGGTGAATCCAACGATGGGACTTATGCAGAAAATCGCATATGGCAAAATCTAAACAAGTTTAAAACAACTGAACATTGAAATAGCACTGTATAAGGAGCAACCAAAACAATATACACAACCCAGAAAAAAAAGAAAAAAAAGAAAAAAACTTTCGGGATGCGCTTGATTACACAGAACTCAAGATTTGAAAAATATTTTCTGAAAAAATATCGATTATATCGCTTATAAAAATGAATGAATAAAAATTACTTTTATCACCCACAAAGATAGCTAATCATAAATTATTATTAATAATAAAAATATTTTTTATTAACTGATATTTCTAAGCGATATAATCAATTATTTTTCGAAAAATATTTTCGATTCTCGAATTTTTCGTTAAGCATACGCACCCTCAATTTCCAATTGTTCTCCCAAAAATCCTCAACCTTACTTGTGATAAGATCAAACGAAATGACCAGACCGCCCCTTGCTCCAGCACAAGAACTCGAACATCTCCTAGAATTCACAATTGAAAGCCCTAACAAGTTTAAGGAAAGATTCATCTGGTCTGACGCTTGCCGTGCTTGTTCGTGTGCTTCCTGGCCTTGTGATGACCACCAGGCGGCTTCCTGAACGCACTGCAGAACCCGCACGCGGAGACCCTCGGGGACGGCGGCTCCACCGCCGGCGGCACCCTCCCGGTGGAGGCCCGGTAGCCTCGCCCCCCGCCGCCGCCGCCGCCGTTGGATTGGCTACTCTCCAGCGCCGCGGGAGCCACGCTGATTCCTGAGGGCCGGGTCGCGGCGTCCGTGTCGCCGTCCCGGTCCCCGCGGAGCTTGCCGTCCCTGGCTTGCTCTTCTTGCTCTTGCTCGTGCTGCTTCACGATCTTGTTCAGCTCGCCGGACAGGAACCTGTCGTCCCAGACGAGCCCCGACGATCCTTGCCTCCTGAACGACACCTCAGATCTCTTCAAACCACCCATCTGGTCCATGATCAATCTCTCTCCTTCTCTCTCTCTCTCTCTCTCTCTCCTTCTCTCTTTCTCTGTGGATGTTTCTGAGATGATGAGAAGAACGAGACGTGTTTTCTGTTCTTGTTTGCCTTTTCTTCTTGCTTTTCTGCGGGCTAGCAGTTGCAATGTTGGACTTTTTTTCTGCGCCAATATATTTATACGCGAGGAGATGATGAAATATGAAGGTTTGGTGCTGCATTCCGAAGTGGGGAAAAGTCTTCTTGTGGCTAGCTTAGTCAACATATCTTTTTCTTCTTTCTTTTCCACCTCCCTTTCAAGTTGGTTTAACTCAATTAATCTTCACGTTCAAGGCTTGATGCTAAAGATAATCATGACAGTTTTCAGCAGAACTTCATCGAATCCATTAAGGACTAAAAAATGTTAAAATTTTTCCCATAAGCTGGATTTTACTGGAGTTACGCATTTCCAAGCGAAATAATTTATTAATTATATTTTTACATGTTATATTTATGTAAGGATTAATACCACAAAAAATCTCAGTTATGTCCACTGTGATATAAATACCCCGAATTGTGTCACTAAAAACTTTAAACTTGCTTATTGTGACATAAATACCCTAATCTTTTTTTTTTGTGTCATAAAAACCCCAAACTTATAATATACGCCGGATGAAACTGGAATAGATGGTATATATGTCACACATGTATAAGTTTGGATTTTTTCCTGACACAAAAAGAAGTTGGGGGATATTTTTGCCACAGTGAGCAAGTTTGGAATTTTTGGCGACACAAATTTTCTATTGAGCATTTTTCTCACAGCAGGCATAATTTAGGGGGTTTTTTTGTGGTTAAAATATTTTTATTTCCAACAAGATCGAGATAACGGAATTATCACCAATTCGTGATGAGTCATTCAAGTATTCGACCTTACGAGATTGGCTTAGTAATGGTTTTTAGACAATAATATGGATACGAATTAGATACACGACGCACGAACGTACGATTGCCCGACACGGATGGAAAGAGCACAAATCATTCTATGCTTAGCCATTTACTATGTCCATCAAAGTTTTGGGTATTCTCTTAGATATTTTTTTTGAAGCTAAGTGCATATTCCCTAGGTCGAATTTCACCTACTAAATTAAGTGAACTTGGTCAATAAAATCAAACATGGAACGAAAATAGTAAAAAGAAGAGAAGAAAAGCAAAGGAAAAGGGTAATTTTAAGCACGCCGTCGTCCAAGACGCGGACGCTTTGTAAGGGCGCGAATATGTTGACGGGGCTTTTGGAATCTCTTTGGAGTCTCAGTCAGTTCAACCGCACATTGCATCAAAATACTATATTCTAAGCTGGTCAGATTAGAACAACAGCATCTGTCTTATGGAGAGGATTAGACCGCGTCTTAGCCACCCAAATCATGCCCTTCGCTCGAATATTCAAAGAGGAGAAACATGAGGGATGTTCCTCAGTCCTCAGCCTCACCTCATGCGCACACATGATGACAGAAGAGAGAGTGTTCATCTGCATGTGACTAAAGAAAGAAGACTGGACCAACTTGGAGGGAAGTACAAGCTATATAGCTTGATAGGTCTCTGAGCAACTGTGCAATGCAGCTGGGAACTCGACTTTTCTTTGATGGGTTGACTTTCTTTCCAGCAATGGAATGTTCAACCAGCTTACTCAAATAACTGAGTAAATGACATTCACGGACTATTCGCATGAGCTCATTCAATTGCTTGTCGGAGTCAACAAAGGCGTATGTGTAAACAAAACTCATGAACCGCGCACCTCTTTTGAAAGAGAATTTTAAGGGTATGAATTTGGAAAATGGGTTTCTTTCATGGACTGGAGCTTTTCTGCAATCTTTCAAGGCAGTCTTGCAGATAATGGGGTCTCATGAATTTCTGAAATTCAAGGGCAAGTCAAGATGGGAATCGATGTTCGTCCTCGTCATGATCGAGCTCATTGAACGTGGCAACTTCCAATGATAGCAACAAGGGGAGCCCGGCAAGTGATTTGCTTGTCAAAAACAGCATCGAGCACTAATTTGAAGTGTGACTCATCATCATTGTCATGATAAGATCAGCATCACCGCACACAGTAAGATAAGGATGAATAGTATGCAAATTTGCGAGGGGCAATACAAATCCTACACTGCAATTATGGATGATGATGAGGCAATCAATCAAGACTTTTGCTGCTACAGATGTGGTGGGCCTCAGAAATGTTCTGCAGCATTTAGTAAGCTGACCCACAAGACTGAGGGGACCCTTTCCACTACTTACTACTAAAACGTTATTGTTGTGAAATTAGGAATTGCACTGAGCTTTGCAAGTAAAGTTTGATTTTGGATGGGCCGTCCGTGTTGTGTTTGACAAAGCTTGAACATTATTTAAGACGGACCTCAAGGATAAAAGAAAGCTATAAGGAAGACCCCTCCTTGTCTTCGTCAACTCAAAATTTTGTGTAATCATAATAGATTATGCACCCATTGAGATCTTAATGCAGATTCGAAAAGCTTTGCTTTCCCAGTTTCTGATCCTTCCACTGCTCTGAGTGCTTAGCTTCTTATTGATATTGCAGTGAACAGATTAAGACTAATGGTGCCTTGATTTGATGATGCAAATGAGAAGACCTGATCGAGCTCATTCAATAGCAGTGCTATTGCATTGGAAAATTTGCTGTTGAATGACACTATAGTATTGGAAATGTACAGAGGGTTCAGACCAAGCCAAAAACACAGGTCATGAGTCGGATAGACCAGAGTGCGGTGCACTGCAATCAATGTGTTACGAATAGACTATCATGAGATAGAAACCTAATTAGCTCGAGTCGCGTTGAGTACTTCCGGGCACTTGTTAAAAGCTGGCATTCTTTTTGTGACTTATGCTTTTATGGCAGAATGAGCTTCGTAACTTTGCAATGAAAACCGTGCTCATTTCACAACGAGATGAAAGGTTCTTACGAGGCTGTAGAACTCGGGGAAGAATCAAATACAGCAGCTAAGCCCGAATATTGGGACCGCTATTTATGCTAGAGAAATCTTCTCCAGTTGAGCAGGAAGGAGATGCATGGAAGGATTCGAATTCCAGCTCCTTCAGATGAAAATAGTCACGCCAAATGTCAATGCCAAATATCGTTATGATAGGCGAAACGTCCACATCAGCATAGAACAGGGTTCCGTCTTTGGATTCTCATCTTAGTGGTGGCAAGTGAATCGTCCAAGGATGAGCATGAATAGCCCCGATGCAAATTTTTCTAGCCAACATCACTGGCATTCAGCTTTGCTTCCAATGCTGGAAGCTCTACTGCACCGTTGTCCAAATCTAAAGTCCAACTGATCCATCCACAAATTTTATCGGAGGTAGTTTATGACCCAACAATCAGGGCGACTCAATGATTCCTGTAAATATTCACATGCCCACATCTGCTTGAAGCTGCATAGCCTTGTTCGGCCCCTATCTTTGACCGAACAGGGACATCCTAAGCAGTTGACTCAATGACTTTCCCAACACTCTGACCAACCTTTGAGACTCTAGCCACCAATTTAATTCGTCCCTGATTGAACCTACCCATTGTTCCAAGGGATCTCCGGTTACAGCTCTTGCGAATTTCTCAAGCTTGCCTTTAGACACTACTCTTCTCCTGTTCCTGATTTTTGGATGTAGCTGTATCAGTGAGTTCAAAGGTGGTATCTATTGGGCGATCTAGGTGGGGGTTATGAAGCTAGTTGGCATTTTTCTACTTAATTTGTTGTGTCAAATTTTCAAGACTATGCATCGGTTCCTCCAAGTTCTGAATTCTTTTAGGAGCTTCATTGTAATTTCTGCAAACTTGCTACTGCCGCTATCATACTGCAAAGTGCAAATTATCTTTGTGGTGGTAGAAGCAATTTGCAAAGCTTCCATGTTTTCCAGTGCCAACCCTTCAACTTTCGATCAAATTCGTAACATCGATAGACCAGACCAAAGGGCCATTGAGGAACCCCATGGTATGCTTGCAAAATGCAAAAGGAAACCAATCATCAAAGGAGTTTAAGGAGCAGAACTCTCCTGCAGAGATCGAGAGAACACGATCATTCTCTTTGCGTACATAATAGGTACAGTCATCAAAGCTTAAGCTCAACACCGAAACAGATTTAGCCATCGGGCAGTGAACATGATAATATAGTCAGATGAAACAAGCCGCACAAGGATCTGTCGAGATAAGTCTGCAACAGGCTATCAGAGAGCCCCAAGAAGATGATCAAGTGGCAAACTCTCCTGCTCACAAGAATGAAGATACCAGCTGAAACCTCACACTCAGTTTAGAAATCAAGGAACCCCCATGAGCTCCCACACTCCATTCCAATCTAACTTTTTTGACAGCTGAATCAGTAAGAACCTTCATTCCCTCTACTTGCAAATTTCCACTAAAGATACAAAGACCCGTGAATCTTATCAGCATAACGCAAACAAAGATAGTGCACTGCGCTGTTCCACTCAATCATAGTCATACACCATCAAGTCCTAGTTTCCATTTGCGCAGATGCTCAATGCAAATCAGCTAAGATTGGAACCACTGCTTCGCACTCGACACATTCTAAGATATTCGACTCGACGGGCCGTTATCTGGGTACGGCCCATCTAAAATCCTTGGCCCATGGGCTTTCTGTTCGGCCCGTCATATGACTTTAGAAAAATAATTTATCACCCCAAAACTTGATCAATGGGAATTATTATTGACATGATATATTACTCTATTCTGACAATTTCTACATGTGTATATATATAAATTAAATCGAACGCGTTGTGAATATTAAAGATTGATTTGGCTTATCCATACTTTTTTGTGCTTGTCCTTTTTCTCTACTTTTGGTTGAGAGTTGGTAGGTGAATTTTTTTCATAGTATTTTCCTTTTCTTTTTCCTTTTATATTAGAAGTGGTAAATGAGTTTTCAAGATTATATTTTTTATACCAATCCTTGAGGAATGTTAGGAATCCAACTCTTACTACTGTTCATTTTTATTTTTTGAAATTTTTATGTTTTCATTCTGGTAGAGAGTTGTAGATATGTTCAATCTGTTATTTTCTTTTGTCTTTTGTTTTCTTTTTGGTATTAGAGTTGACAGGTGATTTTTATGACTATTTTTGTTTTCAAAAAATCATAGATCAATATAACATTAGAGAATAAAATATTGCTATTGTTATTTTTTTGGTCTATGTTAAGGAAAAAATTAAAATTTTGATTCTGCATTTGACCATTCAGGAAAATTCTTCAAAGGTACATGTTTGTGAACGGTGTTGCACCCAAATTACTAAAAGTTGGAAGTAATAAGCCAACTTTTTAGACTTTCTAAATCTTTTCTAATAAGATATCTTTTGATAATTTGACTTCACATATATGTATGATATGTTGTTGGTATCTAACTATTGGATCTTCAAGTACTGGTAAAAAACTTATATACTTTAAAAGAAACATTCCATCAATTATCCTTTTCAAGTGTAAGCTGATATAAATGAAATTTGTTCATGTGACCTAAGCAATTCAAATTTTTTTTAGTATAATGGGTCAAGTGGTGTCTGGGTCAACTTTCGCGTACTTTACTAATCCATTTTTAAGGGCACACGCCCTCATATCGAGAAGGTGCATTGAGGATTTTACTTCTAAAATGCTCTCAAGACCACAAGAAGAGGAGCATACTTTCTTGCCATCTATGTGAATACTTTATTAGTAAGCAATTCCATTTTTATTTGCTTTCTTCTCACCCTAGTTTTTAGTGCTTTAGAGTGATATCGAATTGATTGAAATTAACTAATACCGACCTTAAATAAGTACTCTTAATTATTTTTCCTTCAAATATTTTACATATATTATAAAAGTCATGAAAATTTAATCGCAAAGTCAATGATTCAGCTTAAAGGCCATCCTTCCTTCTTCTTGATAGCATTGGTCTCGTCCTCGCCCTAAAGGGCCGGCATGATGGCAGCGATGGCTGCTGCTGCTTCAAATTTGGAATTGGGCTCCTAACTTTATAGATCTTGGACATGAATACGGATGTTCTCACTCAAAAACCACTGTAGCTTTGGATGTTAGAACCCGTGATGGCCTCCTTGACAAAATGCCTATATTATAATATCCTGTTAATCGTATGGTTTCAATTTTAGTATGTTTGTATGCTGATGGGACAAAGGCAAGGGAAGGGATATGACATTTCATGAGGTTATAACTATGATCACTGCTTCTGATGGAAAATCATCGGCTGTTTGAACCACACAACCTTGGAGATCGGTAGACGTGGCCGAGATGTACAAGGTGAGAAACCATCATCATCATCAGCAGCACACGACCACATCCGAGATAGATAGGCCAAAACTATCCTGACAAGAAGCATTTGATGTTTTTCTACTTTCCTTGGTAGCAAGCTATGGCCCATGTACAGGATGCTTGACTGATTGGCAAAGCCGAGGATGTGAACGATTGTTGATATGATCAGTGAAATCCAATCTTTTCAACACCATTTTCTCTACCAGCTCAAATTAATTTGGAGTCTTCAATGGCTCGAATTCAAATGGACAAGAAGCAAGAGATGGAGATGGGACAAACAGAGATTGATGGTTCATGATTATCTCATTAGATAAGGATTTACGATTTGGATAGACTCAATGGGTGCTGCAAACTCACTCGTCCTTGGTGTATTATTAGTCTGTCTCTTATCAAGACTTAACCCCAATCCATTGTTGAGTGTGGTTTGTACTTCCCATCGACAAAAAGGCACGGGTCCTCGCTCCTCAGTGAGCGGGCAGGGGTCATAAGGGGCGGCATCCCCAAGACTGCAGAGGGTTTTTACAGTTTATGCTTGTATTTTATTGATAGTTTTAGCTGGGGCCCATGAATAACTATCAAGTGGCCTATGGCTTTCCCGGCTCTTAGGTTTTTCTTTTGTTGCATATATATAATCTCTTTCTCTTGTAAGTGAGAGTTGTAACAGAGAGGTATAATGTGCTCTGTTAAATGTAACCTAGTTTAATGGTGAACTTGGATAATTATGGTTCAACATATCCAGACGACCAAAATCGGCACGTAGCGATAGGAATTTTAAGTTTGATGGTTATTTGTGTTATTTTCCAAAAGAAAAAGGGAAAAAGCAACATGAAACCTCAAATTATGTCCACTGTGACACATTTATTTGAATTTTTTTTGTAACGTAAAAAATTCCAAAATATGTCCACCGTGACATTAAAGAGCCCAAATTTATACTTATGTAACATATTTACCATCTGTCAAGATTTCATTAGATGATTTTTTAGCCAAAACAAGTCATTTTTATTTCACTTAAACTACTTGGACGCCATGTTAACACTGTTTGTTTTCTGGTGTTAGATTTTTAACGGTTCTCTATGGAATTTTGACACAGGGTAAATGTGTCACACATGTACAAGTTTGCAATTGTCATAGGAAAAAAGTTTAAGGAAATTGTGTCACAGTATGCATAATTTAGGATTTTTGGTGGCTTTTGCGTAAAGAAAAAAGAAGAACAATTTTTTTTCTTGGAATGTAAAAAATGAATGTCGCCGCGAGGATAAAATGTGAAGGTGTTGCTGTTGCAGAAGAGGAGGGAGACACCGTTAGGGGTGAGCATGGTTCCAAGTTCTACTCTGGAACCTGAGAATATGACCTGTGGGAACTTGTAGGTTCCAGGTTCTAAGGTATGCAGGGTAGGTTCCGGGTTTCAAAAATTGGGGAACCTGTTTCGACAGGTAAGTTCCAAGTTCTAGATAGGTGGAATATGGAGCCTATAACCTGGAAACTGAAACCTAAATAAGTTTTTTGTGTTTTTTCTTGATTTACATATTCGCGTGATTCTGCTGTGTTTCATGGCGTTAGATGATGAGTATATAATCTGGAACCATTAATTTGAGCTTCATTTTATGACTTATTAATGTTTCATACTCTTCGTGTGTCTAAATATAAGTTGTGGTTAGTTGATCATAGTAGTAAGTGGTAGTCATTAAATGTGATGATTCATTATAATTGTCCAATTAATAATACAGGTGGAATCTAAATAGACTCTACAACTGACCCTCGAACCTTGACAGGGTAGGTTCCAAGTTTAAAAAAATGAGGAACCTATTATCATGGATGGAACCTGTATGGAATATGAAACTGCTCACCCCTAGTATTGATTCACGTAATGACTTCTCATGTTAGTTATATTTATTTGAACTGTAATGTCAGGAAAGCTAGTCTTTTGTATTATCTTTTATAAATGACAAGTTTGTTTAGTATTTTGACGTTCATTTTCGTTTTGATGAAATAAAAAAAAAAAGAAATCTATATCCGAAGATAGATTTCAGATTCTAGATGAAAGCCGTAAAGAACTTGGAATTGCTTAGTCCTGCTGTCGTGCTAGCAGAAGATTCCCCTTCCACTTGCCATGTTAGGTTCTGGGTCCCTCTTCCGGGGATGATTGGTCCCCGTAAAATCCCTCGGAACTAGGGGAGCTTCTCACTTCTCCCTTCTACTTCACAAGTTTGTCTGTAGCTTGAATCTTAGAGAGTCTCTGGGTTTTAGGGCCTGGGTTTTGTTTTTGCTCTCGGAGAAGAATGTACTGTGATTCTCGGGAGGTTCTAGTGGAGTAAACATTCTCACTTGGAAGGTGAGTTTCTTGTTGCTGGGGTTGTCTGTTTAGGGGCGTATTGCAATCTTTGGCTTTCAAGATTGAATTTTGCAAGGTCATTTGCAGATTTTAGGAATTGGGTTTGGTTGTGGATGGAAAATAAGAGCACAGATGGGATGTTTCTTGGTCTGTCTTAGAATCTTGAGAGTGTCTCGGCTTTCTTGATGGTCTTTTAGTTCATTTACTCTCCTGTTGCTAGAGGCTGGTTTTGCAATTTTGGGGTCCCAGGTTGTTTGAGATCAGAATTCGAAATTTGTCACTTCAGTGGTTTTCTGTGGGATAGGAGAATGTTTGACAGAGGCTTCACAGTGTCTTTGCCCGCATTGAATTACCCGGCTCGGACATTCGGGTTTGTTAGTACGCACGGAGCACTGTATAAGAGAAGATCAAATCCAGATTTAGCTGTACCACCATCTTCCGTTCTTTTTCAAACTGAAGAGAGTGATAATTTACCAGAATTACGGAAGAACCAAAATTCAAACTTTGCTTCAGCGAGTTGTGGTTCTTCTGCTTCGATGCTCAGTCAAGCAGATTCGGTGGGCATAATTGGAGGAGTATCTGTTGAATCAAGCCTGAACTTTGTGAGAAAGCTAGTGAATTGGAGTACAAAAGTCGGAGAAAATTGCCTTCCTTTTGTACTTTGCTCTGACCCGGTTTTGCATCAGGAACTGTTATCACACGAAAGAAGTTCATTTCCTTCGATAAGCTGTAAAAGTGAAGTTTCCAAGATGGACCATAAACTGATTGTGGAAAACCTGTGCCAGAAGCGCGTCTTTCTTGAGAAATCAGGAGCTCGATGCATAGTAATGCCTTGTCATATTTCGCATTCTTGGCACGATGACATAAGTCATGGATGTTCTGTTTCCTTCCTTAACATGGCTGAGTGTGTTGCTAAAGAGCTTAGTGAAGTGAAAATGAAGCCACTTGAAGCTGGAAGCCCTCTTCGGATCGGTGTGCTTGCCACAAGTGCAATTCTAGAGGCAGGATTTTATCAGGAAAAACTGGAAAATGAGGTAATTCCATTCCATCTCTCCTCTGCATCTTCATGTGATTTACATTTCTGTATCATAACATAATTGGTCAAGGACTTCCCTTGAAGTTGTATAACTGGAAAACAATGAGTTGGTGTGAATGTTTAGCAATTCATTTTGAAATTGGAGGGAATCAAACATGACAGATCCCATTTGGTTCACTTGACTTTTTACTAAATCAGTATCCACCGAACTCCTGAAAGCTTGTGGCTTTCCAGAAAGGAAAGGGCACCTCCTGACTATGTTGAAGGCCTGCTGCTGCAATATTTTTGCCTATTGCATCATTCTCTCACCATTTGCTGGATATATTAATTTATATCGAGTTCTTCTGTTGACTTCCAAATATGTATAATAATAAGCTGCTCAACTGCCGCCTAGGAGTGAGAAGGATGGCGGGTTCATAATTCTAGTGATCCTCTGTAAAACTGGGTTTTCATAGTAACGGAGATTGCAGTATTTGCAATGTGATAAAGAGGAGAGTACAGATGACTAATATGGCTCAGGTGTATCATATGATCTTTGTATGTTGTCAGATGGAATAGTGAAAAACAGTGTGACACCTCAGAATCGAAGGGAGTTTCATTTGTTATCATGCTATTCAAAAGCATATTTATGGGAAATGTTTATCAAGTAAAATGTAATGCTACTGGTCTTGGCATAATTCCCGGTCCTGCATGGGTCATTCCTCTTGTTTTGTATAGCACAATGTGTCATAATTTGTCCACTAGTATGCTTTAATTTGGAAATCTCCCGTGAAAGATAATTAAATATTCCCTTGATGTACGCTATTCATGTACACCATTCAAATATTTTGTTGGAGTTTTGTGTAGCATATTGTGTTGATAACATAGATTGAAGTGAGGACCCAAAAATTGAAATTCTGTATACAGGTATGATTTAAGTCATTGATGAAGAAACATACAATACACAAATTGTGTTTTAGTAAATGCTGATATTGGAGAAGTACATTGTCTTGTTGAAATTCCTCTACCACGGCTATTTGCAGCCTCTACTTTGAGATTGCGTCAACCATCACTAGGTTCCACCGAGTAAATACCACGATTTCCTTGCTGTGTTAATTGCCACTTCTGTTTCCTCCTCATACTGCCTTATTCACCTTCTGGACTTTTTATGTACCAACGGAAGATGGCAAAGATTAAATCCTCGAAAAGCAATTCTGTCTGATTTTTCTGAGATACCCAGTTTCATGAAATTTCTGTTCCTTTGACTTAAATGTGAATCAAGTAAAACAGTCAGCACAAATGTTGACATTTTTAGTAGAAACCTAGGCTTTTTGATGGATTTTGACAGCATTATTCCACTTTTTGTTCTTATGCACAGAAGCTTTGCTATGTCCACCGTTGTGGGCTCAGTCTAGTTACATATATAGTGCAAATTTGATGATAGCACTAGCAGGAAACCTTATCTTCCCGCTCATCTGCTTGTCCCTTAAGTTGCTTGTTGAAGGAGTGGGTGGTATAGATGAGGGCACTAAGTTTTGGTCATTTCTGTTTAACTCCCTTGTTTTCTTAGTAAGTTGTGCAGTCTACCCGGGTGATGGGGTGGGTATTACAAGTATTGACTGCCCTAATTGATGACACATCTAGGTTCCTAAGAAGATTTGCGAGAGGTTTCACATGGACTTGTGGAGTAGCATTTGTTTCTGATTTTCTAGCACAGTTTTGGCAGCAACCGTTATAGATTTTTAGAGGGTTTTAAATCCTTGACTTGAGCACGACAGGTTACAGGACATCCTTCATATCATTTTCTTGTGATGTAAATCCGAGAGACCGAATTCTATCTGGGCTATCGTCTGAGTGGCCATTTTCATGCAGGGATTTGAGCTCGTGTTGCCGGATAAAGCAACAATGGAGCACACTATAGTTCCTGCAATTGAAGCTTCGAACAGAGAGGACATGGAAGGGGCTAGAAATCTTTTGAGGATCGCCCTTCAGGTTCTCCTAGTAAGGGCGGTGAACACTGTCGTCCTTGCGTCCGATGACCTGCGAGACATTTTGCCTCAAGATGACCCTCTTCTTAAGAAGTGCATAGACCCCATCGATGCATTGGCCAGGTCAACTATCAAGTGGGCAAAGGCCGTTGAAAGACGTTCTTTAGATTAGATAGAAAATTGAATACTTGTATGTGGTCAATGCTTGTTTTTCGTTGAAAACCTCTATAGTTTATTTATTTCATCGATTGATATCGTGTACAGGGAACTTTGGCGACAAGAACTAGTTACTACATTAATCTTTAGCTATTGTGTCAATTAAAGAGAGAGTCAACATTGTAATTCATTTATGAACAGGTTGCTTTCGAGTAAGCTATTGGTAGTTCCCTCTGTTATTGTTTCTGTCTCGGGTGATTCAAACGATCACTAAATCTCTCTTCTTAAGCAAACGAAGTTGGTTTTCAATCCCCCACGGTCCTTGATTGCATCAATAGTGAAACGTGGATACAATTTGAGGCAGAATATCAGGCAACTTGAGGTAACTTCTTGGAATTTGTTGTTCCTATTTTGTTCAATAGACTAGCTACAAACTCAACTAGGACCAGTCCGCAAGTTATGCTCTCTCCCTCTGACTGGAAAACCCAAGCCATCATCGATTATCAGACAATTTCTGTTCTGTGGGAGAACATAATGTATCAAAAGGAATGCTAGTATGGCTGAGCTCAAGATCACGCGCCAAGAAAGCATATATTTTGAGTTCAGTTTTTAATCGCAGATGTGCGCAGCTTTGTAAGCAAGCTTTCATAGTCTACTTGTCTTCGGCACATAGAGTTGCCAAAACTGGTGATTTCACTAAAATGCTGTCTTTATTGCTAAATCAAGGAATAGACAAAGCACGGCAATGAAAAGGGGTCGTTTACTGTTACTTTTCAAGAAATATACACAAGGCATGATACCAGGTAAACTTTCTTATGATTAGCCTGGAGATTGCCTTACATGAAGAATTTTAATGGCCCAAGCACAAAAGGCTGAAGAAGAAGTAAACCTATCAGCATCTCGATAGCCAGGTATAACTGGTAATTTAATTCTGAATAATTCCAATCTTAATCTATTGTTGCCATAAAGGTTCGTGCTTGTAACCTTCGCCTTTGTATTCTCTGCAGCAATGTGTTAAAACTGTCGAGACATAGGGCTACGTCCAACATTTCTGATCTCCTTGTTTCATTTGAAATAGACAAGGGGAAAAAATTATCTCACTGAAGTGAACATTGTACCATCAATAAAGATGAATCTGAAAGTTAGAACAGCTAAATAAGCCGCGATAAGTACACTCTATCCAGGGCTGAAGCTATCGAAGTTGCAACACAAGGTGAAAAGAACCATCTACTGCAGCTTCTTGATTCCAGGAAAAGAAGGAAGAATGGAGATGAGGGCATCGCCATATCCAACTGGATCTGTCAATCAAACAGAGCAAGAAAATATGAGTAAACCAAGCATATAATAGCAACTTAAAACGGCTACTACATCAGAGAAGGGTACATATGGTACATACCACCATCCTCTCGCAGGATCTTGACAACCTCTCCCGACACATCAGACTGGAAAGGATCAACACAAGTAGATAGATTAGAAACCAGACTACTTTGATGCCAAGATGAGCCCTTTGTGTGACCTGAATTAGGACAAGAAAAGACTCCATTCAAACGCGCAGAAACAAAAGTTAAGACTGACCTCAAGTGGAAGTTCTCCACCAAGCTGTTCGATATAGCAAACTACTTGACCCTCCTTCACTATTTGCTTCTGTCAATCCACAGAATTATCAGAAGCCATGAAAGATGTACACAGAAAAGGACTGGCAGTAATTTCATAAGCAGCTTATAAGTTGATTGTCCATAGCATCATATCAACATTGTTTTGCCCATCACGCTACTTTTTTTTTGGTCGATCATCATGCTACCTTTGAAAGCGTTTAGTTTAATGAGAAACAAATAACCAGAGCATTCTAAATTGGACATCCTATGGACTTGCTCAATGCCAAAGTTCAGACCAAATTTCAACACTTAAGGTCAATATTATTTATAGAAGGTATATCTAATTGCAAATTAAGTGAAATCATTCTGGGAGCTATTGGCTTAACTGCCAACCCAAACAAAAAAAGTACTATTCACCTGATATGATATATACAAGAAAGTATCTAAAAATTTTGCCTTAAAAATTCCCTTCTCCCTAATAGAGCAAGGCATATACGTTTCAACGACTTTGAAAGTGGAGAAGTGAACAATTCATTCCATGAAACTATCTCCTTGTATGGGCACGCAAAAACCTACCTCTTTGCATGCAGGTGGGGCACGCTTCCCCTTGATGGTTCGAGATCTCCGAAAAAATCCCACCTACATCATTTGAATTTTAGCGCAGACAAAGAAAACAAACTTTATTTTTTTCTTTTTTTTTGGGGGGGGAGGGAGAGAGAGAGAGAGAGGTTTGAAATTCTCACCCTTGGAGACTGGAGTATCACGAGGCCTGCATCAGCTGCTTTATCGAGCAAAGTTGGTCCTCCATCTGAAGAAGTTAGTGCTTTGGAGATGGCCAAAGATGGTTTTGAAAGTGAACCATTTGTATCAGTCGCCTCAAGATTTGCATAAACTGGTGCTGGGGCTGGGGAAAGTGGAGGAAGAGGCTTGTGTCCTCCAGTTACATCCCTTGCCACATATAGCCGAAATCCATTAAGCTGACAATTTTGAAAAATTGAAAATCAAAAGAGAGAATTGCAAGGAATATGTAACATCTGGGGAAAATATACAGGAAATAAATTTATAAAATCCAATTTGTGGAGTCCAAGCACAGGAACTGGCTGCTAAGTGCTAACCTTCAATTCGAATTCTGCAATTGATGTCTCGCATATATCTGTGAGCAGAGATTCCACCTACAAATAAAGAATGTGGAGACAATTGCAAACTCCAATAATGGAAGGACGCAGTAGTGAAAGCATCCCTATTCTACGAAAGACAAGTTTGGAGGGACGAGTTGCAAAAATCTTGTCCATACCGAGCTCATAAAACCATGTGATTTTGCCGAGAATATAGGAAGTTTAATTTCATGAAGCTGCCCCTAGCTTGAGGGGCAATGTGGAAGTCAACAAATAGTTGTTCTGGCCCAATACCATGTGGGTCAAGCCTCCAAAAGAAGTAAAAAGAGTGCAATTTGGCACTGTCAACTGAGGATCGCATCTCAAGTTCCTTACCCTTCTATATGGGGACATTATAAACCTACCACACTGCTCATGTTGAAATTTAGTGCCTAACAAGCACGTCCCATGCACAAGCAGGTGAAGTGGAACATAAAAGGAGGGCACTTTGGGCAAGCTCTTTTCACTCCATGTGGGAGTGCCACAGTCCAAAAAGAACATTCAAGCTAGCTGTTGCAAACAGATTGGAAGCTCTACATAAACATTGAATGAAGGGTACTCTTTCAGGAAAAGTATTGGTAAATACATTGATCGAGAAGCATAAGTGACTAAGATGAACACTTTCACGGAATTTGGCCTTATGCTCAAACAACACCACGTGTATGAAAAAAGGTGTACAAAAATGGCATATCCACTTCCGCTTGATTCTAAAATTGATTATAGTACGATCTCATCATCATAACACTGCTTTCGATGAATAAACTAGAACGCTGTATCTAAAAAAAGCTATGGCGATCAACTCTGCACTAGGCAGTACATGATTTTGTACAAGTATGACAAAAAGCAAATGACAGGAGAAAACAACGCAAAGAAATTGGCTAACTGAAACATTCATAATTTATATATATTGACAAATAATAACAAATACTAACCTCAGATGAATTTGGTATGAGCTGGCTAGTTAAACTGGATGGTTTTGAATCTTCAGAATCATCTGACAGACTTGTAGCAGCTGTTGCAGGGTTAAAGAGAACTTTCAGAATAAGCAAAGGTGAAAACTTCAAATGAAAAACAGAAGTCTCAATATGGATGCTTCCAGTAGAAGAGAAGTGTAAGCATCAACAAATGCTGCTTACACGGACTTCCAGAAGATGGATGACAGCAATCAGGGCAAATTTTATCCAACCGCTGTACTGTCAAACCTGCATACTTCGGTGTTTTCAACACTATCCATGTTCTACCATACAAGAGACGTGATTCGCCAATTTTTAGTCTACCAGAGTTCAAGTTCGATATTTTAACATTTGAAGCTCCTAAGCTACCTGAAAAAGAAAATAAGCGAATTATCACAGATCCATAGCTAAACCAGAGATAAAATACGCAGTAACAGGCCATCTCACAATTGTTTCGATGTGTTGACAGGGAAATAAGGCTACAAACTGACAACTTTGATGATTCCATACATCTACATGTTCACCACACAGAGAGAGAGAGAGAGAGAGAGAGAGAGAGAGAGAGAGAGAGAGAGAGAGAGAGAGAGAGAGAGAGAGAGAGAGAGAGAGAGTCTAAAGCATTTTAACATGAGGTCTACTCACTTGCTTTGATAACCTAAAGTTCTACATGCCGGCTACAGTAACGAAGTTGTGGTCTCTTCAAATGTAACAAGTAGCAAAGACATAGCCATAGCCCATGAAAAATCCCGACTTAAATTTAAAGCACGCCTTAACAAGTAGCTTTCATAAGGGGCCAAATTAAAAAGTTCATTGAACAATCCTCTTATGCAGCCATTATATTAGCGCAGTATATGTGTTTAATAACCTATCAACCCGCTATGGAACCCTACAACTAACTATCCAGCATCAAACATGAAGTCAATTGGAATGGCAGTACTGCATGGATTTGATAAAAACTGGCTGGTGTCAATCCACTGATTCCACAAAAAAAAGAGCAAGAAAGTGCAGTGTTGTCATCTACACAGTCTAGAACTAATAATAAAAGAAGACAAATTGACTCTTTTTTCCTTCAAAAATTAAGTAGCTGTCTTTTCTTTCGAGCCATCTTTCATGCAACAGCAGTGCGGTGGATGTGCACTTAGAGAATGTGCGAAAGTAAAACAAAGCCCAACACAGAAAATACAGCAGAATCTCATATCTTTGCCTTTTCGCTTTCTTGTTGCTTTGTAAGATCAAATACTACCAGAGAGCACTATGGAAAGAACACAAACAAGCAGGAAACAAGAATTAGTTAATCAAAGACGCTCCAAAGTATTAAGACATGAAAGCATGTCTTTACAGAGACCCTGATACACTAGACACTCAATTTCCTACTACCCAAGATTTTATCAACGCGAAAGAACAGAACGCACGTAGAAAAAGTCAATGAAAGTCATGGGCGAGACCCGAAAAGCAAGAGAGAGAGAGACTCACAAGAAGCCATTGACAGTAGCATTTGAACTTGAGGCAACTGAGGGTGGCGGCGGAGCTGAACTAGAGGAACGAATTACCAGCGACGGGCTTGCAAAGCATCAATCTGGGAAAGAAAAAGAGAAGAGGAAGGCGTGGGTGAGTACTGAACTGAGCAACAGGTGGTGGAGCGCAAGAATCAGAAGCTTATACAGTAAAAAGTTGCAAACTTTTTCATATTTCCCCTTGCTATGGAGTCCGAGAGAGGCAGAGAGAGACAGAGAGACAGAGACCCTCGTTGAGCGTTCTGGAGGACTGACCTTCCAGATCGCACAGAGAGAATGCGCTAAAACACCACTTGACTTGCCAAGCGCGTGTCGCTCCAATTGGATTGGTCGGGCCCAACATCTTCGCTTTGTAATATATATAGCTGTCTGATCTGATCCATATTTCCACTTGAAAATAAATACAAGTTTATGAATATTAGTTACCTGTCCTAAAGATTTGTTTTTTCACGGGTGGTGTTTGTTCTTTTCCTGTCTTAATAGGATATAAGCATATAGACTATGCTAACACCTACTCAATTAACAAACTTGCGTTTTTCATTCCACCCATTTCTTAGGATGTGAAGTCCTAAATCATATTCTGGATGATCAATTCATTTTATTTTGGTTGTTGTTGGAGATAATCAAATCATCACCGTGAGAAAGAGAAGCGGCTAAGTTACGAGTACATCAAACAAATGTCATTCATCACACATTCTTCCCCTCCGAGCAATGGCTCAGCAGTTTACACATGACACTAAGTTCCAAGCAGAAACGTTGTTCGATTAAAAAAGCGAAACAATAGCTATTTGGATGCCCGAAAAGCTTCCCCTCTCTTCTGTAAACGCGTCATGTCAAATGCTTCTTGAGCAGTGACTACAACGTAACAAATCAGCAATCCAGAAACTTCAATCTCCCATCTTTCAGAAGCAAATGGCGGTCACTCCGAATTTGACATGTAAAATGTTCGGTTTTGTGCGGTTTGTTGCACCATACTTGGGAAAGTTCCTCCAATAAACATCAACCACGAAACGAGACATGCAGAGGAGAGTTCATGTCCTAGGCACCGCAGATTCCTTGGGGGGCTGAAATTGAAGCGAACAAAAAACACAGAGGTGTCATTACAAGAAGCCGCAGCGACATGCTTCAGCGCAGCACTAGAAACTATGGTCTTGTTAAATGGACGTGATCACAATTGCCTGAAAGATGGTGAAGCCAATCAACATATTGCAAGATGCCTGCTGTGATACATGTCCATTGATCATCGACTAACAACAGACACGGCACCTTTTCGAGTCTCGGCAGTTTCCTTCCAGGATTCCCAAGCAGCCCTGAGTTCGTCCAACTGCGTGTCTGGAATAGGAGTGTGCTCATCCAATTTCTCAACCCATTCTTTCCAAGGGGGTCTTGAAGGGTCAAGAAATCTAGCAACTTGAGGCAACATTACTGATCTGTAAAATTTGTCGACGGTGCTCAACACAGCATCGGCCTCCACTAATGCCATCATTTCAGGCCTAACAACATCAATAGGTCCCTTTCTCATGACATACTTGTTCCCTCTAAGTATCAATACCTCAGATGGAGCAAGTGGAAGCACAACACGAGAAAATTTGGCCAGTGACAATGTGAGAATATCTCTAGGAAGTAAGTCACGCTTTACAGCTACAGCAGTCCCCACCATTTTGCGGATCTGTCGAATGCACAAGACCTCCTTATTATAGGAATACAGAAGCACTATATATGAAGGTAATTTTCAGATGAAACCGTGCAGTAAAGAAAACAAATCGTTTACCCTACGCTAGAACCAACAAAATTTCTCCTGCAATCAATTGTATGAACTAGATAGCTTATAGCGAAACCTCAGGAGTTAAGACAAACTACTTTGAAAAGCCTCACCTGATGCAACATGAAAGACTCTCCCCAGATGGAGAGCTCAACATAACCTGACCCAAGCAGATTCTCCAATTTGCCACAAGAGCAGTGAAGAATCTTTCTAAAATGAGAAGAACTAATTCGGTCTTTCTCATCAGGTTCATGTAACCATCTTGCCCTAATGACATTATCTGAACTTCTGCTCCATAGATCATTCCTACGATTTTGGCAAAAGTCAATTAAATTTTCATCAAGGCCACTCCCCTGCAGAGCATGTTCATCCGCTCCCTTACAATTAATTGCAAATTCATTCTCAATAAGCTCTTCATCACTTTCTTCCTGTTCAGATGCAGATGCTGCATCAAATGGTTTTTCTTCCATTGTTGAACGCTTGTCTCTCCGTGACTTCTTTATGGGCAACTTTCTTCTGTACTTAGAACGTACAGTATAGTTATGAAAAGGATGCTCTCCCTGCAAAGAGGACATATACAACAGAAAGGGCCTTATGAATGCCTGTTAAAATTCCTTCTGTAAAACAGACGTAACCACAGCATCGAGAACAGCAAAGATAGGATAAGTGGGAAAAAGAGGGAGACAAGTACAGAACCTCAAAAGTGCTCAATATATGATTAAAATCCGATATGTGATGATCAACTTCACTGGAGGTACAATTACTTTTCATCCCGATAATGTCAGCAGGAAGAAGGTACGAATACTTCCGGATATTGCACTCCCGTCTTGGATCAAAGCTCCTGGAGATTTTCCAGAAACAAAAGTTAGGATTGATAGGGAGAGAAAATAGACACAACACAACATCACATAAATGGCCATTGAAAATGCCGCGGTAATGAGCAGCTCCACAAAACGTAAAATATTTGGAATAGGTGATAATATATGAATGCTCATCAAGGTTACTAAAGAATAATGATCAGTATCAAGTGCATACATTTCAAAATTTTGAACAAACACAAATGGCACATTACTTCCACTTCTTTCAACACCTTGAAATGTGGACATTTAGTGTTAATGAAAGGTTACATGAAGCTTCTGATGGAAAGACATACTAAAAACATACTGAGGTTACGTCCCGCAGATAATAGTATTTGCAGTTCATTTAATTATTAGAACTCTTTAACTCCCTTCCCCTATGTCCAAAGAGAAGGTTCATCAGTACGATTCATATCAGCTCTAAAGACAGTTTCTCACTCAACCAACAAAAGTAGTAACACTGCATTATTACAAAGCCCCACTTGGAATAACTTAAGTGCAGATATAAAGATGCTGCCCCACCAAATCCCATCTTATGATTTTGTTTTCAGGCAGCATTTGAAGAATGCCTCAAATGCTTTACATTCTTAGAATTTATTTGGCATCATTGGTTCTATAGAATTCTAACCAGAGATCCTCTTCAATGATATATGCTAACATCACTTTCAGTGACAGAAACTCAAGCAAATAAGTTTGAGACCCCCAGCAGCTTTCCACCAACTAATAATCCTGAAGATTATTCGTGCCGGTTCCACATCAGAAAGGAACAACTGACTAAATCCACTTGGACAAGAACAAGTCTGTGCTAGCTTATTGGCCAATTGAATTCTCATGTGAAAGAAAGTAAAAAACAAAAAATGAAGCATTCTAGGAAAAACTATGAGAAGAAAATCCTACAGCATTCGTGACATGCTGTTTTTAGTAGCGTAACCGAGCGTAGAGCTGAAAGTAGCATTACATATGACCCACAGAAAAGTAATTCTTATTAGATGAATGTGATGAACATATCATAAACTCAATTCTCCACCTTTTTGAAGGTAGAATGCTAAAAACTCTGATATCTTCAGGAAGATATGCGTTAATATGACTGGCGAGATGGATACCATAAGGGTCTCCCTTCCATGCACTGTCAGGAATTTCCATCTTGAGCGATATGGTAGTCGCCAGTGAATGAACCTAGAAAGTTTTCCACCACCATAAGGGTTAAGACATCCAAATTCTCATCCTAAGTGATGACATGAAAAGACGTGAGATACTTATCAATGTCAAGGATTTCCTGAGAACGCACTCCTTTATCGGTCCGGCTACTTCTGGCCCAGGCAATTCTATTCAGATTCCCATAGTTACTTTCTAGAATTCCACCAGCCTTGTAGATAGCATTTTCCAATTCTTCTTCTACAGCTGCATTTAGAGCTTACATGCTTAGCCAGGTCTCATCTGGGGTAAAAACAAACATGACCTCCACGGCAAGCATGTTTTGAGATATATTAAGACACACAAGCAAATAAGTAACTACTCAATAAAAACATGAATCGCCACCCAATAAAAACGTGAATTGCTATATTTATGAATTAAAGCAGCTATGATCGAATCGTCTATTTTGCGCACAAGATGCTTTCATCATCAGAATCCCATTCAGATCAGACAAATGGAAGTGTGGCTATAAAAATTTCCCCTTCCACAGTGACTTCTGTAAGTAGAGCGCAACTTGTGCACACATGTTCATAAATTACAGACCTGCAACAGTCTTTGTCAACATGAACTTTGAAGAGGCTAACTCCCAAGTATGGCAGCAACACGAGGGCGTAAACAATTCAAAAGAGGTAAAAAGATGTCTCGTCTCGAATGGACTTGTGAATTGGACAAGAGTTATTTCCATTTTGTTCGTAAAGGTGTAGTGGACCAAAGTTCCACGATAGAGATCTGGCTGGGAAGACTTTGTTCAACTAGTTGGGCCCTCTGGCATCTTAGACAAAAGCATGGGAAAGGTTCTCGACAGAGCAGGATTAAAGAAGGGACCAAGAGATTAAAGGAGAGATATAATGAAGATCAAATGACCAAAAGTCCTCATCAAATGCAACCAACTCATGGTAGCATTTCACATACTGTTGTAAATTATTCTAAAATGGCAAAGAAACCAGTTCGTTGACTCGCTCCGTGATTTCGTAATCACAGACAACGGTATATGATAAGGTGCAACTTGCATAAATTAAACCAGACTGCCTACACATTGGACAAGCTGCTTATTCTCAGTACAATGCCTGAAAACATCCAGCCAAACACCGAAAGCTCAGAAATTTCAGCTGAGTACAAATCAAGACAGGAATATAAACAGAGCAGTTAGTCCAAAGAAACATTTCAGCTGCGAAAGTAAACAGAGTAGGAAAAAAAAAAAACGAAGAGAAAGCAACACAAACATGAACTTACTTGCCAATGAGTGCTCATCTCGTTGCATCTGAAGACCTGAGGCAAAAACCCAAAAAGGAAAACAAACTAGTTCATCAACAAACAGATCAAAAGGCCTCATTTATCAGCAAACAGCATCATGGGCATTGCTCGAGCGCTTCGAGCTCACCTCTGTAATTGGTGCCCACGTAACCGACCCGCATCACCACCTTCTTCTTCCGAAAGGCCAGCCATTTCAGCGGCCCCGGTTCTCCCGGCGCGCCGTGGGCCTCGGGAGCGGACGACGGAGGCGGCGAGGGAGACAGGGCCTGAGCGGCGGAGCAGCAGGAGAAGAGCCTCCCCATGCGCCTGTGTCCATCCGGGTTTGCAAGAGCCGAGGTTGTCGGGCTCGAGGGCTTCAGCAGCAGCAGCAGCCATGGGAAGTGCAGCAACCGATGCGAACACGCCGCCATGGCCGGCGATGGAAGCGATGAAACGAACGTAGTGGAGGTGACGAATACGTGATGACGTGAATTGCAGAACAAATTGAGCTCGAGAACGAGAGAGAAACAAGCTGCGGATAGCACTGAGCTTTTTAAGGTAGAGACAAGCTCTTCTTTTGTTGGCGTGATGCTCTCTATTTGGTTTTGGGTTAATTACACCCAAAAACCGAACGAGTGCACCCGTCATGAATTTATCTCAACTAATTTTTTAACTATAAAAAATTCAAAATCGGTACAATTATTACAGTAAAAAACCCAAAACTAATACATTTATGAAAAATTTAAGTTTCGTTAGTTTCCGTTATATTGGATTAATGTTATGAAAAACCACAAATTAGTAGACTTAAACTCTGGTTACACTCGTTAACTGTCACGTGTTATCCAATTTAATAATTTGATTGTAAAATTTAACGAAATCTAATAAAGTGTAAATTTATCATAAGTGTACCAGTTTGAGATTTTTTGTGGTAAAAAAATTAGTTTGGAGTAAATTTTTCACAAGAATATCAGTTTCGGGTTTTTCGTGGTTTAATCCTTTAGTTTTTCTGTTTTTTAGTCTTAAAACTTGTCATTAAAATACAATTAAGCTCTAAAATTTATAAAAAGTGTAATCAAGTCCTAAAACTTGTCAAATTGGAGCAATCGAGTTTTTCCGTTAACTCCGTTCAACTTGGTTAATGAAAAATACTGACGTGATTATTTTAATATTTTATCTCTTGTACATGGCGATGGCATAGCTAAAACATGAAACACAAGGTTAAAAGTTTAGGCTGGGCAAGAGCCGACATCACATAAGACTAGCCACCGACGAAAAGGAAAGGAAAAAAAAGAAAAAAAAATTTCTACGTTAGTGTTGGCCACTCCACATAAGACTATCGACACTGATTGGATGGTCACATTAGCATTTTTCGGTCAATATTGGCTGGAATGACTATATTGGCAAATCGTCAAAAGATTAGGAATGTCAGGATTGAATTGGCATGAATGCAATAAGTTTATGACTTTTTTGGTAATTTTTCCAATTAAAAGAACAAGGGCTTGATTAGAAAAGGCCCGAAAGTAAATGGATAAAAAGTTGCATTCTTCCTTTTCTTTAATCGTTGGTCTATTATGCTAAAATTTTTTATTTCAAATAACAAGTCTCTGTAGTTATGCAATTGCATATTTTCTTTTATCTTTATCACATAACATGTCGTGCCTAATATAGTCAACTCTACTTAAACTTATAAGCACAAATATGTTTTCAATCTCATAACATAATAATTATACTACTCATTACGATTGAATATAATATCACACAAATATATATAAATACATATGATATTTCTGATTATGTTGTTATTCTGATATATTCTTCTCTTAAATTTTTCTTGGTAAAATCTAGAGACTTCTCTCAATCACATAGTGGTTGTGCTTAGTCCATTTCACTACACCATTAGAATATGAACACTATAATTATACGTTTGCTAATCGAGTGAGATTTTAAGAATTTTTCCTTTTAGATTTTTACTTTTCTGCTTAATATAGCTCTAGTATAAGCTGAAATTTTTTGCCAAATTGTGTTGTGGCTAAAGAGATGAAGTTAATACCATCAGAAATGACAGATTATACAATCCTGGTGTTGTCTGTACTTTTGTTTTCCTCTAAACATTTCATCTGCATGACATGAACATCTGTAATCTTACTTGATAGCCAAATTTTGCACGAACTTGATCAGGTTGAGAAATGGATTATTAGGACTGACGGACTCTGTGATCAGCTGCCCTTTAATTAAAATCAGTAGTTCAAACTGGAAATGATCTCTGCAAGCATCCTCTTCACGACATGAGTGCGGAACTTGTGCCTCTTCAGTCCACGATGGGAATGCTATTAGCCGCGCTGTATGCCGATACAGATGCTAAAAGATTTTTTTATTGCCTCTGGAAGTTGAGCGCCTTGAGGGAAACAGCGAAAATGCAAGAGAAGATCACGGGGAACATGACCGTCATGATGGCGGCCACGCCCAGGAAGTCGTGTCTATAACCCAAGTAATCTTTGATGTATTGTTTCACTGAGCCTCCATAGTCCTCGACCGTGTCCTCCACATCGCCGTACTGCGAGGCCACCATCCCGTATAAAGTCCAAGCAGTGGGGCATGCCCAATAAAACCATCTCCACCAAACCGGCATCCTCTGTTGAAGATATAGCAGTAAGCAGTCTCTCATTGTCAGGCGTCAATATCGTGTTGGATTTAGGAAGAAGAAAATCAGCAAAATCATCCAAATGGTTGCTAGATAGAACTTACCGTTCGCGGCACTAGGAACCCTGAGAAGAGGTTCCATTGAGGGAAGGTTGCAAAGGAGATGATACCGGCGATTTGCAGGTTCGGGGTCAAGCCTACCGCTATCATGCCAAAGTAGTTGTAACTCAAAATGACGAAGAACATGAAGAACGTGTACCAGAAAAACTTTTCAGCTGTCCATTCGAACCCAATCATCGGATAAACTATGAGGCTGTACATTATGACTTGTGCAAGGATGTAGGGGACTTCAATCAGAACCTACAATATCGGGATTCAAACCACATAAGGAACGTTTAATTAGAGTACTGATTTGTAAGAGAAGATCAGGATTATTGCGAGGCAAAATTTTACTTGCGCTAGAGCATATGGAAGGGCCAAGTACATCCCTGCAGCTTGCTCTCTATAAAAGACTATTCTTTCCACTGATATAACCGGTTGCACGGGAGATGCATTTTGGACCCCAATGAAAATAGCGGTAGAATACATTGAGCCAATTGCATTGAGCAAGTCTGTTCTTCGGTTCCTGCAAGATTCGAAAGTTTAAGAACACACACCAGTTCGATGGTACAACGGGCTAAAAATTTTACGTGTCTAGACAGGACTTACGTTTTAGATCCGATATCCCAATACATACTCCCGAACATTAAGGCTACGAAGAGGGTGAAGAGGTGCCGAACAGCTGTATAGTTTATGTTGCGCCAGTAAGACCAATGTTGTTTCCATAAGCAAGCGATGAATTGGGTGAAAGTTGACTGTGAATACTTAGTGGGGAAGTAGAGATCCTTGGAATTAGGAGGTGGTACGCTCAATTCTTTGATCAAGGCCTTGTTTCTCCTGGAAAATTGCAGGATGTGTCATTCTAACTCTCTGTGATCTATGTGAGTCTGCCTCTTATGATCACTTACAAGGCTAAAATTTGGTACTTTGGGAATTCAGTGAACCCACCTATACAAGTCCGAACTTTTGTATAAAGCGGCAAAATCAATCCCCAGGGAAAATTCTCGTGCTGGCGCTGTGACTTCAAGCATCCAAGTTGCTGGGTTATAACCATCTTTGATTTTACTAACTCCTTGGATTCCCTTTCACATGAAGATAACTCTTTTTGGTGATTCTAGTAACTTCGCAAAAAAGGGAAATTGAAACCGTATCAGCCAAAATAAGCACCTCAAAGTACTTGATTAGATGACGAGAATGGCGACCCAATGGACCAACATATATCTCTTGCCCACCTCGTTTCAATAAGAGAAGCTACGGCACAAGTAAAAGCACATGGCTCATGTATCGATAGCATTACGAATAAATTCTTGTACTATGGATGTGTAGACACTACTTACCTCATCAAAAGCTTCGAATATACAGATGCTCGGCTGGTGGATCGTGCACACAACAGTTCTGCCTGTATCCACCGTATTCCTTACTGTTCTCCTGACAATTGCGGCAGCTCTGGCATCAAGCCCAGAGGTTGGCTCGTCCATGAAAATAATAGAGGGGTTCGCTACTAGTTCGACCGCTATGGTTAGCCTTTTGCGTTGCTCGGTAGAGAGACCGTTGACACCAGGCAAACCGACCAAGGCTTGTCGCAGCGGATTTAGTTCCACAAGCTCCACGACTTCCTCAACGAACAACTGCAAAGGTTTTTTGAAATACAAATGATACGATGGATAAGACTGACTATTGATGACGGCTTCACATGTAGCTATAAAAATGAACCAAATACCAGTGAAGATGACAAACTTAAATTACCAAAAGGAACCATCACTTGGGATTTTTAAAGAAGCAAGAATTTGAAGAGATTATTTCAAGGGAAAAAAGACAACTGTGCTAAAAAACAGACATTGGGAATAGAGGCCAACCTTTCTGGTTTCATTGTCGATGTCAGCTGGTAAACGCAGCCATGCAGAGTAAACCAATGACTCGTAGACCGTAACATGAGGTGAATGGATGTCGTTTTGTTCACAGTTGCCGGAAATCCGAGCGAATGTCTCTTGCTTCTTTGGATACCCAGATATCGTTATGTTCCCTTCGATGTATCCTCCAGTTTTTATACCGGCCAACACATCCAACAAAGTTGTTTTACCGGCACCGCTGACACCCATCAAAGCTGTGAGAACACCGGGCCTAAAAGCACCACTTACTCCCCTTAAGAGCACCAATTTATCCTCGAGAACACCTTGACTCGTCATTTCCTGCCAACATAAATGAAAAAACGAATTATTTAGCTACATTTGACATGGGGATATTTGCGTAGGAACGTTTATGCTTCTATCATGATGAGGGCATCTATCATGATGCACGATGAGGTACTATCTTCAGATTTCTCAATGTTCAACTTGGACCCTGTTACCTGTGGCATGTCAACTGAATACTTGATTTCATCGAAAGTGATAGAGTGTTGCACAAATGGCAGGACCATTCCTCTTTTCCTATTAGTCATGGCAGCCATCTCGGGCCTTGTAAATGAGGATCTGGGTGAACTCACTGCAAGTCCAAAAAGAAAACATTGGCAAAGACATTATGCAAGTCCTTTATAAAAGGAGTTGTTCTTTCAGTCTATTGTTGGTCTTTTGTTCATCACCCATCTACTAAAGATAGACCATAGAGGCTAAAAGAAACTATTGAGACTTCGTACCTGATACTTGTTGGTTACCAGAACCCTGAGACAGCAACTGAATCAATCCTCCTACTCTATTGCCATTTTCATTGCTTTGATGATCATGTGATTTTACTGTCTGAGATCTTCCATAGGCTGCAAAATTGCTTACAGAACTTAGGCTAGCTCGAATGGAAGGAAGCCAAAAGAAGAAGAAACTGGAATCCACTTACGGTCAAGGAA